AAAAATTGTTGCTTGTTTTACTTCGTCCCTTCCTTTAATGCAGACTTTTAAGGTAAATACTATCCTTACATTGACGGTTGATATGACATTGCATTTGGATGGAATTTTTCAATTAGAGAAGAGAAACCGTTACACTTAGTGATATATATACGCTTCCATGTGTCGTTTCAAGGAAACGAATATTTCTATTCGAGATTCATTTAACTTTACAGGTTTCGTTAGAATATATTATTGATCTATGAATAGATCTACCTTAACAATTCACTAAGCCTGTTATTACGATCAGGTGGCAACCTTACTGTAAACAGGCAGCAAACAAAACACCGGATTAAGAGGCAGCTAGATCTAAAGGTGCAATGGCTGCCAGTTACACAGTGAATATTCTTATTCTAAGTATGTATACCCTTTCTAGGAGAAACTACATTTCTGGAGCAACTGCTTGGATAATTTCTTCCGATTCAGTAAGTTGACAAAGCTAATATACTTTCTTTTCTTAATTTCATGTAATTTTTGATTCGTAATAGATCCACTTTATTAGCAAAAGAACTGTTGCCGTAAAACTGCTGTAAAAGCTGAGGCAGATCCAGAAGAAATCTTTAGGTCTTTATTTTTATTGTAAGCCAGCCTGACCAAGTCAATTTCCAAGCGAGATCATCATATTAGGCATATTGATCGGAGACGTCTCCACAACCAGTTACGAGAAAGCTCTAGGTGCTTAGGCAACATATTGGCAATTCCGTTTGGAAAATTTATTTTTATGAAGTAAATTGACCTCTGAAGGCGAAAAAACTGTTTGTAGAGTCCTATTGGGACAAATGAATTGACGATTTTTAATGAATAGCAGTTCTTCCTGCAAGGAAGGAGCGTTGTAAAATGTGTATATGGAAGAACTGGCTGTTTAAGGTTTTCATGGGTAAGTTCGCGTCATATGCATGGGTTTTACATATCCCTTTTCTGAATGTTTCGTTCTTCTTCTATCAGGGACAAAATGGAGAAAAACGATAAGAATTTGAGAGGAAAATTTATGCGTTGATAATGCTCCTTTCGTGACTCAAATTGTCAAAACACAGCTGGACTGCTGTCATGAATTTCTTTCTTAAAAAAATATTTGATGAACTCTTTCAACACAAACAACTGAGGAGATTGGGCAAACTTTGATATTAAGGCCATGATTTCTAAATGTCCTTAAGACGAAGATTCTTCGTTAAATTTTTAAGATAAACAGAACAAAATGCTTTTATGTCTCTTTTACTGACCGAGAAAATACCATTTTTGTTGCACAGCACGTGAAATATGAAAATTAACGAACCGATACATCATAGAATATGCCAAAACGAATGACACCTTTGTCATGGTGGGTGACTTGCTTGCAGAGTATTGTTAATGGCTTAGCACCTGTTGGTAATTTTTTTCTTTCAATAAAAACAATCGATGACAACTTTCTAGAAAAGTGCGCGTAACTCTTCTTCACAATTATTGTGCTTTGATTCGTTAGGATATTATAGATACTGTTGTTTGTGTTGTTGTTGTTGTTTTTTTTCGAGATGCTGCTTTTGTTGTCTTTCTTTTTTCAAAAGATATTCGAAGGGAACAGTTACAACACTAATATAATAAGCTAGAAACTAAGGAAGTTGTTCCTTCAGCAATTATATTTTGTAACGAGTGCGTTGTAAAGTGCTTAAAAAATAAAATGGCAACAACGAATTAATGTTTATATCTTGTGCTAGATTACCAGATTGTTCGGCGATTCAGTTATTATTGCAGCGAGCATGGGGCTTTATTTTTTTCCATGCGAAAGCCAGTTACAAGTTGATATTTTTTAGCTTCCTATACAAGTAAAGAATTCTTCTGTTAAGTCTGGAAGTGACCATATTTTCGTCCAACCCAAAGCAGCTGGAAGTTGTTTTGAGTTGGACGAAATCGTTTATTTCCCGCAGAGAGAATTTTTTTGATCAGTGACCACAACGAAATGAAGTTTTGTTAGTTTTGTCTCGCTTGAAGATTTCGAGATGTTACGATGAAGAAGCTTTTCAAACTGTACCTGGCCGTCATAATGTTGCTTATTTATGGTGGCCAAGTAAGAAAATACACACCCACTTTAAACTATAGATGTCCTTGCAATGTTCTTCTTTTTTCCCTTTTTCATAATAGTGAAGATTTGTTGTGAGATAATAAAGGTGTGAGAGGCACGTCTTCAAACGAAAACTCGCCAATTGCTAATTTATTCTTGTTTCCATAATTGGAGCTGATTTAGAGAACATTTTGAAAAGGATAACATAAGCTATTGGAACAAACCAGAGCCCCACTGTGCGTTCGAATTTAATGCCAAACATAGATATGCAGCTTGATGTTACAAATTGGTGACAGTTGGGTGCTTACCTTAACATAAAGTTTTTTGGCACCATACCCTAATCTGATACTAGATAGTTAAATGAGAGGGATTTATGACGCCTTTCGATTTGAGAATGTTCCAACAAAAACAAGCTGGTGACTGAACACTGACCTAAAAGCTGCTGTGAAACTTCGAGGTTTTATCCATTTCCACCCCAAATCCCATGATTGAGTGGAGTGTAAATCTGAGGGCCTAAAGGTAGGATTTTTACCAGTTTTTCTCTTGAAAAATAAAGTTTCAGAAGTGTTTTTCATGCATGGAAAAAGACATCGCAGGAGGGTTTTTCGCTAATTATAGCTAACGTTGATGTAACTACAGAAATATGAATCAATGCAGGATTTTTTCCCACTGCCAATTTCACATTGTTGAACATTCTGCAATTGTGAGTTTGACACTAATGATCGCCAGCAAAATGTGCTAAAGGAAGTCTTGCGGTAAAGTCTTTAATTTTTTAATCTTTCCTATCATACAAGGGTTTATGGCAATCACTGTAATCAATTACTTCATCACAAGTACAGCTTTTGTCCGTGACTTTATCCTTCTAGGTTGTTGTGGAGCTTCAAAAAGCATAGAACCATCCTTTTGGACATTAAATTTTTAATCTTGGGAAAAAAGACTTTTCACCTGTCCATGTTTTTCATGGTGTATATACATTTGTTGTGCTTTTCGCGTCTGCAATTACCATTTATATTAGTACTTTGGTATCAATTTAAAGACGTAAACCTCTTAAGGAGGCTCACTTGAAAAACAAATACAACCAAGAACGACAAAACAAAAACTAATTATCGAAATATTTGAATAACTGTCCAGGGAACTTGATAAAATTTTCTCGATTAGTTGTCTTCGCAATCAACAAAAACTCATAACAATGATAGATTAATGAAGATTGTTTTATTTATTTTGTAGTAGTTCAATAAGTTGAAAGGAGCTTATTACCATTACAGTTTTTATTTATTTATTTGTTTATTTTAGCTGCCTTTTAAACTTGTCAAAATTTTGAAGAGCACAATTAGTTTGGATAGATTGTCGAGAAAATGTTCTCAGTCATCTAATTTGAAGTCAACTCAATCGTCTATGAAAGCCATTGTTCAGTGTTTGACAATAAAAGTACAACGACACATTGCGAAGTGTTAAAAAAAATTTCAACAGCATTCTTAGCCCAGAACAAAGTAGAAAATTGGCAAGAAATACTGGTTCTCTATATTCGGATAACACTGGAAAAAGACGTATTTATTGCACATGAAGTACCTTTTCTTTAATTTCTCGGGAAAAAAAACTTATTTGCGTATTATTCAACCAATTAAAACCGAGCCTTTTGGACAGTCCAAAAATAAGTTTAACCAATCTTAGAATTCTGAAGTTACTAAACTGATTAGTATCTAGCGAATGTCAGTTAAGGGGGAGGGGACGGGCATGAAAAGTCAAAGGGGAAAATGGGGCCGAAATCGTCTTTCAGGCTGTACTTCTCCTATACTAGAAATGTTCAAATCAATATTGGAGAAAAGGTATAGTTTACTTGAGTTTTCATCTTTCTATGTTATTGTGCGTGCAAGGTCAACTAGAACTTCTCTTAACGACTAGACAACGTTGCGTGCGAAAAGGTGTTAAAAGTGAGGGCCACAAACAAAAATTAATATTTACAAAAATATCTTCAAATTAACAGTGTTAAACTTCAATATTGAATTTTTTGTTTTCTTTTTACCTCAGTCGTTTTTGCGGTTATACACCTCGCAATCATGCGATTTGTAATTTATTGCACATGCAGTACCTTTTCTTTAATTTCTCGGGAAAAAAAAATTATTTTATCGTTACTCTTGGACACGGAAAGGACACCAATGTCCGCTATCGTCATTTTCCCAGCTTAGGCCGTCTAGCAAGCAGGAGAAGAAAGTGGAAAGAAAAATGTTGTTTTTGTGGGGTTTATACTGAGAATGCACGGGTCATAATTTAGGCTTAATTCTAAATACTAAATTATGTCGATGTTGGTACATTTGGTTTTTTAATTTTTTTTAACTGAATAGACCTGGCGAGCCTTGAGAAAAAAATTAACAGCATTGTTCGTTACAGGCTTTAATGAAAGAAAGACGCTCTTTGTTGATATGCAAATAATGATCAGTGCATTTTCAAATAATTTAAAAAAATAGTAATAAAATAAAATCCCGCACAGGTAATAAAGGGATAAGTTTAGAGCAATGGCAAAAGCAGGGAAGAAAAGGTTGATTTCGATTGCCTCTTTGAAGTGCTGAGTGCATCTGTCAAACAAGTTGGTTTGTTTTCACTTCATAAGCGGCAAGAAATTATATCGTTGAATGATTTACAGTGGGCGGTCCTATATTGTTATTGAGTATTCAACTCGGGACGTATACTTCACTCGGCAGGAATTGTTATTTTAATATGGTTTTTCGGCTGCCTGGCTGGGAGAATAAGAAATGTTAGTTCTTTTTCGGCAGAAGAAAAACTCGCGCAGCGAGGCGAAAACACTGGAAACTTGCTGTTTTCGTGTTATTCCTAATCAGCATATTGCTTGAAGTAAGTCATAACGCATAACTCAATATCTCGAAACTGGGTTCGAGTCTTGTACGAAGGGATTTTCTCAAAGCGTGTTAGCCTGTATGTCGCATGGACACTAATTTTTCATTCATCAGACTTCATATGTCTGGTCTGTTGTTCGGATAACGTATAAACTGCTGTCAAACTAAGGTAAGTTGTAGGCTCTGTTTCTATTCGTCGGTAAGTAAACCATTCGTTCATAGCTTTGTGGTCATGAGCTTCAAATCGACATCTGATGAATAAAATGAAAGATGTTTATTTTTCTAATTTATAGAGCGAGACAGGGAGTAGAATTATTACCAGAATGTAAGAGTTATAAAACGGAGATTCCAACCTTTTTTAAAGATTTTGCCATAGAAGAAGAATCATATTTCTCCTCAGAAATATGATGGAAGCGACTCTAAGAGCTGAAGAGAATTATAGTTGAGATCGAATACTTCTCCCTTGTTCTTCAATGGTCTTTTCGTGCAATGAGTATTTTTGTTTCATTTGTCTCAGACAGAAAGGACGGCTAGGTAAAATTCGTCAAAATATCGTACATAAGGAAATTAAGAAATTTTCTGCGCTAGTGCTCAACTGATCAAGTTGTTTACACCGATGGATCGAGATCTTTGAGCCAATCAGCGGACGTGTTACCCCGAATCTTGTTGTCATTAAATATATGGTGATTGCGCATACTTTAGTGCACGTCAGTAAGATTTCACGCTTTTCAGAGAAGGTATTTCTCCGACTAGTAAAGATTCAAACTGGAAATATCCGCTTCGTAGTTTGCGCCGAGGATAGCATTGTCTTAAATCTTTTTCTTTCAACTAGGCAGCGACAGATTTATCACCAATCAGGTATGTGTCGCATCTCGCAAGGTTGTCAGTCGTCCAAATTAAAAACAATGATATTTTAATTCGTGCCCAAAAATCGTGGTATTTTGTACATCAGTTGATATTTTATCTTCACTCAATGTTACTTGCTGGGATTCACATTTTCATCTATATGTGCACAAATTGTTTTTGGAAGAGTTCCTATCGAAGGAATCGTGGAATTATGAAATTTCGTTTCCAGAAATGTTGTGACTGAATTCGTGTGCCCATAGTTTCCCATTGAATGTTTTAAAGTATTTTTCTCAGGATTTATTATTTTCCAACAGAGCGCAGGAATATGTCCTTGAAATTACCCTCCTACGTGTGTTGAAAATTAGAAAAATCTCAATGGCAGCACGACGGCTCAGCCGCCTGTTTGATCGAGTAGGAAATCGGAAGTGTGATAGAGACAGTGAATATAATCTAATTTGAATTGTTATTGTGTGAAAAGCCGCAGGGGGAATCAGGATTTTTGCTAGCATCATCTCCATCCAAAATAATGACTAAGACAAAATAGCGAAAAAGCAAACCTATATGTGTTTTCATTCAGGAATTTAGTGACATTTCGTTATCATTTCCTAATTTATTGTCCATTAAAGTCCTCGAATATGAAGCATGGATAGGTGATAAAACTTGCTCCTACTGAATATATGAATACAATTTATTCAGTTGGGCATCAACTAGTTTAGAAAACTCTTCGCGTCTCTGTTAACGCTTGTAAGTATAATCAATTACGCGGAGACCAGTGTCTCTCTCATTAAAGTAGTTATCGTAAGCGTCGAATATTTTTGTAAAATCTTCAGAGATGTTGAATTTATCAATAGTTGACAATTTCTGCCAATGATTTTCGCTACGACAAACAGGAACGCATAATTAAAGCCCCGTTAACGTTATGCCGGATAATTTAAAAACGGAAAAAGCTGTTTACGCGAACGTTTTCGTAACATTCTCAGAGATGATGAGTTTTTGAATAGTTAGCAATCTCTGCCAATGACTTTCGCGAGGATAAACAGCAACACATAAAGTCCCGATTTCGCTAGCCGGATCAATTTCAAACCGGAAAAAGTTGTTTGCAAATGTATTAGACAAAGTCTGCAAGAATCTCATTTTATGATAAAAAACTACTACAATTTTTTTTCCTAATCGCGGAAAGAGAGCGGAAAGTCTTTTATGCATTTGCTGCCGTAAACGGATATTACGGCGTAGTCTAAGTTTGAATGTGCCATAAAAACAGGCAGGTATATTAAGCGTCAAAGATTGTGGAAACACTAATATTCTAAGGTAAAAATGGATTTTAAAAAGTCATTTGTGCGAATTTTTCGCGTGATAATCGCTATCAGCCATACTCCAACTTCACCATGATCTTTTTTCTACCGTCCTATAGAATTTACCTGGCATAAATTGCATAATTATTGTTACACGCTCGTTATGGCAATTGGTGTTATCATCAATGAAAGTCTTTGTCTCTTCAAAATGGTTTATGGCTCGTTCGAATAATCAACCATGATCTCTAAACACACATCGAGGCTAAAATATTCCCAAAGAAGAAAGAAGCGCGAGTTAGGTTGTAGATTATAATAATAGTTAAAAAGAGAACTGAAAATAGTTAGTTAATAATCATGTGTGTTTTCAATGCACGCATGTACAAATTTCAGAGAGAAGATTATCTTTAAGTAACAACAAAGAGCCGATAGATTCATGTGGAATTATGTGTTACAATAGGTTCAGTGGATGATTTTGATAAGCGGTTGTTTGTATTTGGCACAATGTTTCTTGAGCTGAAAACTAGCCTTGTTATGTACTGAATAACAAATCAATAGAATTTATTGTTTTTAGTCGATGTTGACAACATAGCGAGATTATCCTCACAGGACTTCTTTGCAAGTCATTGTAATTCACCTATAAAAGAAATACTTTTTACTTGTTATCATCCGCAGGTTGAAATACGATTTATTCAATGAACTTTGTGATCAGATTCCTTCAAGGGAAATAAGGAACCAACGAAGAGTTGCCTCGTTTCCAACGTGTTGCTCATTACTTATTTGTTTATAGCGCCCAATTGGACTCTGGGAGGCACGGATTCGGTTTGCCAGTGAGACCCCTTTTCTTCATTTCTTGTGCACTACTGTATTGCTTGTAAAATGATTGCGACACAAAGTGTATACGCATGATTGATGTTCATAGTAAGTCATTTCATTAGTTTCTGCACGGCGAGTTTTACTCCATGAGATATTTTTCCACTCTACTTTGCCAATCATAACTGATAATTTGCATTGTTTCAAATAAACGTAAAGCTAATTCATTAAAGTGAAATTTTTTATATTTGAGCCATCAATCCAAATTTTTTGAGTTGAAAGAGTAAGTTTGTAAAAGTTGGGATTTGTAAATTTTCCTATATTTTCAATTTCAGTTGAATGTAGGTAACTTAACCTGTGGTATAGACATGATCAGTTCAGGCAGGTTTTGTGCAGGTTTTGTTTTTACCCAGTGAATGACTAAATGAACCATACAAAAAAGGTTGAGGAAGAATTTACCTCCAATTGCAATTCTATAAAACAAACGATAGTTGACGTTTTGAAGGTGAAGTGTTTGTGTCGGAAAAGAAGGACATAAAATGATACAATTACGATTAAATCAAGTTGCACATAACTATAACATTATCTCGGCGCATGAAATTACTTGATTTTTATATCCGACCGGAAGAGACGCGAAGCCTTCGCGAAGATTATTGGCTTCGTTTAATCTGTCGCCACGTAATTTATCGAAAACCTTGAAAATTTGAAATTATGCCTGAATTAAACCATTTCATCTAGAAAGAGAGAAGAAAGAGTTTTATTCTCCGATTCATGCAACTTTTGAAGTTCCCAAAATAGATTTAATTCTCTCAAATACATATTTATATGACCATCTCTTTTCTCTTGTTAGAAACGTAATGAAACAATCACTCTTGATGTGAAATTTTGATCATCTTCAAAATTCCAAATTTTCAGTTCTAAAGCAATTGAAACGTTTCTGTTATTTCATTTATTGATTCTCAAAAATGCAGCCCAATTTTTATTGCGTTGATTGAGCTACGACCCTTTCTTGAGAGAGTAATTGGAACTATTGCCAAATTGATTGGAAAGACTCTGACTGTTTTGACTCGTTTCACTGTCTCTAATTAACACCATTGCTGTAATATTGGGCATTTATGGAAGCGAATTCAATAACTACGCAAACCTCGGATTAAATTTCAAAATTAGAGTTGAAACTAACGATCAAATGAGTTCTTTATGAATACAAATTTAACGTTCAGGGTAAAATTCGCCCCTCTGTTTGTTGTTATTAAAACCTGCCTGCATCATTTTCAGAAAGCATGAAAAATTAATACCTGAACAATCAAAACAAACTGAAGTTTAATCAAACCAACAAATTGAAATTGTCAAGTTTAATTTATATTAGTTTCTAAGATAGCTTGAAAAAAGTTCAGCTGCACATGCTGGAAATTTTAATTTTAATCGTAAATTTTCACTTGGTCTGGTTTCATAACAAAGTATGATTTTTACTTTTATACGCATTTCTTCCTTCCTTTAGAAGCCGTAGCGAGCAGATGATAAACTTAATTCTTATGATTGTTCTTTGGAAAGTAATCTCTACTCAGATAATTCAGTTAAAACCCGGTGTGTTAGAGCTATCTCATTTTTTGGTTTAATTTTGTATTACAATTAACGATGCCGTCTTTGATTTTCTTGTAGACTTTGTGTCTGACGTGTTGAAGTGAACAATGAAGCATCAACAGACTTACGATTAGTCTCCGTCGAAGCAATTTAAACCGACAAGAAGCTGTGCAAATTTAGTTACAAGCCTTACCTTACCAAGGTGTTGATTTTGCCCTTTGTTTGTCAAAAGGATTACCAAGCTGAACTTCGAAAAGCCTTTGACGCGAAAGGTTGGTTTAAGTCGACGTAAAAATTTCCTCATTGTGTCTTTAGATCAAAGAAACTTACGATATGAGCGCCAACAGAAATTCTAGTTTGAATCCACCCGAGAAGTTCGACACCGCCCATATCGCCCTTTCGTGTACATTTGTGGTGTTGATAATTCTTCTAGCTATCGTGGGCAACACATGTGTCATCCTGGCGTTTAAAAGGTTCCGTCGACTCCGCCGTGTCACAAACTACTTTGTTGTTTCACTGGCCCTAACAGATATTCTGGTAGCTGTGATATCTATGCCAGTCTGGGCAGCTTATATAATATCTGGTCCATCGCTGTTTATACAAAGGCAGTTGATACAAATATTTTGGACCTCGACAGACATCATGGTCAGCGTGGCTTCGATATGGCACTTAACGTTTGTTAGTATCGACCGCTACTTATGTATTACGGGACCGCTGTATTACCATACACGTATGACCAGCCAGCGAGCTATATTAACGCTTGGGGCCATATGGTGCTACTCGATCATAGTGGCTTCTTTATCGCCCACTTTCTGGGAGTCGGATCTCTACACTTTGATGATGGTTGTACTGAATTATGCAATCCCTGTCATCATAATTCTCATTGCGTACGTGAATATCTTCAAAACTGCTCGCTATCAGGGAAAGCAAATCGAGTTGACCATCAATGGAAAGGCAAGGCGTTTTTCGATGAGCGCTGAGGTGAAAGCAGCGAAGACGCTAGGAGTGGTGATTGGCGCGTTCATTGTTTGCTGGTCTCCTTTTTTCGCGCTTAACTTAAACTACTACATCTGCCATTGTCCCCCTCCCCCTTTAGTTGTTTCAGTTACCAAGTGGATGCATTTTGGAAATTCCATGCTCAATCCGCTTATCTATGGAGTTATGAACAAGGATTTCAGATTTGCTTTCAAGAGGCTGTTTACAGACCATTTTAAGAAATCTTCTGGGTTCAAAGGCCGCAGCATGGGGACAACTGCAGATCAAAACAGCCATGGAAGTAATGAAGAAGAAGACAAGATTAATTTGCAAAGTGACACAGGACTATAGCTTTATTTACGTCGTTATTGTTTTTTATCGAGTACAACTGTGATTCTGACCATCTTCTACAAAAGATGTACGATATTTTTCACTAATGTTGCCTTCTGGGTTTAGAACACGCTTGGAACCGTTGAGGGGAATTTCATTACAATCGTATAAGTGTACTTTTGAAGTCTCCTAATGGAAAATATGATTAGGCCCTTGAAAAAACAATAGAGTATGCCAAAGAAGCTTTTTATGAAACTCGAGGAAAGAACAAGACCTGGTAGCCATAGCAACGGTTAAGGATGCAACTTGCGTTATAAACCGACGTCATACCTTTCAATATACTTTGTAAATATTTTCCCTCCTACAACATGTTAACCAATCTTATTTTAGAGCAGTTGCATTTCAGTATAATTATCAAATAATGGGGTAGAGATATCATAATGTGTTCTCAGTGCTTAATCGATGGCAAGTTGAGTTTACTTGATGTAATCCCAGGCGTCTAATAGCCCATAGATCTTTGTAGTCACTTAATAGCAGGAAAAGTCGTTGATATCAATCAGGGAACCCGACGATTGAGAGGGCTCCCCGGAAATTTTATTAGAACCAGAACATTTTGCCTTCCGTTTTGTTTGGTTTTGTGGGTGCAAAACCATCAATGTAGTTATATTTAGGTAATGAAATAAAACTTTGAGCCATATCAGCGGTGGGTTAGTTTCATGCTCCCCTCTTTTTTGAGCTCTACTAAATCTGCTGTCACTGACCGGACTGAAGTTTTTTTTACAAGTTTTTAAACTGATAAAACATTGATATTGATGACGTCATCTATTCTGTTCTTTTAAGTATTTTATAAGAACCAATCAAAATGTTTGCAGTATTAACATCCTTAGCGGTCCTTTTATTACTTATGTCTATTTAAACTTGAAAGGCAAACGTTAAGGTAATTTTTATTATAGCTTCGTTACCAAGTTTACTAGAAATATAATTGAATTTAACAGGTACACTTACTTCACAGAACTAAATTTAGATTTATCTCGGAAAAGTGAATAATTAACTTTTTGCTTTGTGATGAATTTGTAATTTGTAAGTGTATCTGGAAGTCAAGCGATTGGAACGTTTTTGTTGACTTTATCTGCTCCATGAAAAGAGCACAAGAATGAAAAATTTTCAATAACGACTGTGTGCGCTTAAGGGGTTCGTTGCTTTGTGGTTAATTTCAGTGCATGCACGAATTGACCTTTGTCCCATTGTCTTCTAGGTTCATAGAAAGGGACAATACATATCACTACGACGGTAAGGTTCTCGTCCATTTTAAGTGTGTCTTGAAAATATAACAATGTTAAATTATTTGGACAAAACAGCTTACCACTATGAAACATCAAAGACGAAAATCAAAATCAGTTCAGAAGTTGTTTAGTGTTCCCTGAGCTGGCTTATCTAGGACACCATGCAAGGAGGAAAAGTAGATTGCCTGGAAAGTTTAACATGACGTTAAGCCGGACAGACGAAAGGGGAGCCTAATTAAATTAAGCTAAGTGTACACATCCTCAAGTGGTAAATCACCGGTAAATAAACCAAAATGACAGCAAAGCTGTAGATTTTAATACATTACACGTCATTGCACCTAAGAATTGGCGCTGTCAACAAGAGTAGAAAATTTAAGTCTTGCACGTATACGCTGCATTTTTTTTCTCGAGCAGGAAACGGCTTCGGTGCTCATACCAGGTTAGTATGCGAGCCACTGTGTTTGGAGACATGCATGTATCAGATGGCAAAAACTTTGAATCGAACCGAGGTTTTAATGTCATGCAATAACATTACATTCAGTTATTGTCTTTAGAGGCCACAAGTTTAGTTTTTTTAATCCTAGTCTTCATAAAGTAATTTGTTAATTAATCTTATTCAGATCCACGAATATATATGATGTCGAACAGGAGTACAAATATATGATAACGGCTGATTTTTATCTCCGTTTGTTCTGCCCACCCGCAAAATATCGTCGGCCATGAAAGAGCGAAGTAGACTTGCATGTCCTCTATGATTCATCTCTTCTTCATTCCGAGTTTCATAACGAGAGCGCCATCAATACTGCAACAATAGCCTCTGATTCTCACTGAATCAGAATTTATTTGTTTCAGGACTGAAGCAAGAATGTTTATTTGTTTTAAAATTTCCCGATAACTCATCGACTTAACACTCCATCCAGCCTTTCAATGACGTCATCATCAATAAGTTTTGTCAGTTAATTCCTAGTAGCACAGGAATCAAGAAGAAGAGAGAAATAAGAGGCCTCAAATGCTTCCTGATCCTATTTAACAGCTCGCACATTTTTTGACTGGAAAGAAAGTCTTGTGAGGCCTTGAGATATCTTTGGTAACTTATTATTATATTTATTTGTTCCTTTGTACTTTCCCTTTAATAACCGTCCTAATGGTCTTTTATTTCCTCGAAAGCTGCAAATCATTTAACCTCCGGGTTGTCATTTTGGCTTCTTGTTGTGTATTAAAATGACTTTTTATTATACGAAGACTGGGAGATATGAAGATTTAACAATGTGAGATTCGCTTTTTTGGTCGTAACATGAAAAGTTGACCAGAGACTTTTTATTGTACGAAGATTGAGAGATATGAAGACTTAACAATGTGAGATTCGTTTTTTGATCGTAACATGAAAAGTTGACCAAAGATGAACAATACGTTACGAGACAATTTGTATTATTGTAGTCGTTTCAAATGTAAAAAATTTGGCTAGAAATAAAGTAAACGAAGTTTTAAACCATATCTTCCATTGATCTTCGAGGAATTTGAATCTTTATTTCTGGTATTTATTGGATTTTGTAACCTTCCAAACTTTCAATGCTCATTAGAATTTCACCTTGTTATTAAAAATTCGATTTTCGAAATGCAATCAGGTTGTTAAGATATTTCTGACAGTTGAATGAATAATCAAAAAAAGATGAAACATTTTCCTTTTAAAACCTTGATGAAAAATTTCTAATTTCTTTACGGCTTTTGTCGATTAGGCCATTTATTTTCCAATTTCAATGGAATATAAAAGATCAGAGCTAGATTAGCTAAACTTGTGCAATGCCTTTGTTCAAATAAATAATTTTCGTTCAGATGTTGCGTTGCCATGGCTTTTGTAGTTCATTATATGTATTTAAAGAAAATACATATAAAATATTTGAATTTTCTCCTTTGAAAACTTGCAGACTGGCTATTAAAGTGACAAATTTCCTGTCACACATGCTGAATTAATATTTTGTTCCTTAATTACATCCTCATAAGTTATTGAAAATGTGTTAAACGAAATGAATTCCGCTTATGAGCTCATGGGTCAGCACTGAACAGCTTGTCGACATATGGTATGAGACATTGACCAGTTCATGCTTCGCAACCTTGTAGTTATCAGGTTATCAGACCGGTAAGTCAAAATAACCCGTCAGATTTGTTTTCCACTCGTTCTAAAAGTTATAGAGGCAGCACGAGGATAATCGGTGGAATAGTTCCGGCTCTGTGTTAAAATCACATGACAAAATCAAGTTGGCGAGTAAACACTTTCTTTGAAATCGTTCCAACGTTTTCACATTTTGATCTTCTTTGCATGACAAGTCCAGTTTGCCCAATCTGTTTGCACCACTTTCTTTTAAGTAACATTTGAAACAAGTATAAGAAGTACTATAAAAAATATCATACATGTCGGATTGAGCATGATACAAGTTAAGTGTCTTGTAGCTAAATAAAAATACGGCGAAGAATCCCACGTACGCTGAATGTCAATTAATTGCGAACCAAAAACTTAAATTCGTTCAACTACAAAATGTTTTTCTTTATATTGTACATTGTTCCAGTATCGATGACAAATAGAACAGCTCTATTCAGGAATTTCAAGCACAGATAAAAGTAGGAGATCAGCAAGGTAATAAGACTGAGATGTTTTGTGGAAAATATGTAAAATAGACCAGGACTGACTGAGGCGATTTGAAGAAGAACTGAAAAATAACTCACAAATCATGGCAAAATCTTAAGTCACACTTGTAATAAGTCACTCTTGTAATATTTCTTATCAAGCCATATCTACGGTGAAATTCCAATTTTGAATTACAGTTCAAGCAGGTGGCTGTGTACGGAAGCGGTTTTTCTTTCGGGGTGCAATTCAGAAGTGAAATTCTTCCTGTTTTGTCTGATATGAGAACAGTTTAACATAAAGTCGAATGTGGTTCTTCAGTGTTAACGAGTTTTCCCAAAAAATCTAGTGTCCAACTGTTTGACTTGAACAGTTTGAGCGTAAAAGGGCCATTTATCTAAGAAAGTGTAAAGGCCTCGAGTAAGATATTGTTTCAAAATAAGGCTTTTTTTTTCTTCGCGTTTGCTGAAGTAATTCTACAAAATGATGCTTTGGTGTCCCAAAAATGAATCTTTCTGTTTTCAACAATTAACAGGAAGGTAAACGTTGAAAAATTACAAATTTGCCTGCTGCGGTCGACCGTTTGAGTTATAGGTTCCTGTTTGCGTGCTATCAAGTTGCCACAAACTCGGTGTCCTTTTGTTGCTCTTTGACAGCTCTCAGTTAATTCGCTTTCTGTATTTCCCGAATAAGACAATCCTTCCCTTTTAAAGTTTTTTCATCTCTTTTGTTGATCTCCCATTTTCTTCCTTTATCCAGTCTTAATCTCTGTCTTGAAATCTGCTTCTTCATTCATTATTTTTTTCAATTCTAACAATGATGGATGATCCAAGTTAGGAACATGGCGCTAAAAGTTGTTATAGAACAGTTTCACGTCGGCCGTTATCCCACAAACGACGTGTGCAAGACAATTACCGGAAAGCATTTACGTATGAAAATTGAACTTACATCTACAGTTTTAGTACTTTGAGTTTCCTATTCAAAAAAGCCGTTAAAGATTATGAGATTCTGCGGCTTTAGAATGGATTAAATTCTCGTGAACTCAGTGCATAATATCCCCCTTCAAGTGATCGTCAGTCACCCAATGCAAGAATCACTTCGATAAATTCAAAAGTGACAGGAAAAGCAAGAAAAAAAACACATCTATTGATATCAACACATTTTAGTTCAGTCGAATACGACAAAAGGGTTTTAATAGTTTTTTTTATCTGCCGCAACTCACGAGAAACTTGAACTTGCCAATTTATTTCGATGTTTTGTGATTGAGCAATTTTCGATTGAGTGACGCAAAACCAAAACCAAAAAAAATTCCAACAGCCAATCAGGAGAAAAGAAATTAATTTATAGAACGAGTGAGACCTTAAAGTAAAAGCAAGTGAACTGCCTATACGCGGGAAAGCGCGGGCGACCAAGTCGTGATTGGTCGAGATAGTGGCGAAAATTTTTGGACCAATCACAAGCCAATGTAAAGCAAAACCATTGCAATTCCGGACTACTTTCGACACTCAATTAAAATCAACTCGAGATTTTTTTTGCATCGATTCCAGTAGAATCATAAGGGGGGGGGGGGGGGGGGGGGGCTTTTCTAGTCACTATGTATAAGGCGAATAGGTTTAGTTATCTGCATCTCATCTCGTGAAGAACTTTATCTTCTCACATTTGCCCACCAATTACAACTTGATTCTACCGCAATGGAGAGACGGGAATTTTGAGTACCACAAATTCTTAATAACAAAAGCAATAGTTATCGTGGCTGAAAGCTTTACCAAGATTTTAAGGAATCGAAAGTGATGAAACCCTCTTCGTTGCGTCGAATTAGTATAATCCTCTGCACTGAAACTGTAAGATAGTCAGTAATTTATCTCTATGATCATGTAATGTAACCACAATTTTAAAAAAAACCAATGGAATGAAATTGAAATATTTTTAGAACAAAGAATCCAAATTGTTCAAACAAAACATACATGCGTACATGGATGATAGCGTGCGAAAGCCAAGAAAGCGAGTTAATGGCTTCGTAATGGATCTTCCGACTGTAAATAACCGCCGACAAACCAGTGAAATATTAATTGAAGGTTTCATTATATGCATTCACAAGTCCCAGGATTCGCGGAAGAAACTTAATTAATAGGTGGCAGATTGTGATGTCGTGAGAGATTTAGGTTTTTAATTTACCCTTGAGTGTTCTTCAGTAAGTGCTTTCCACGGCGTGGTCAATTATTAAACGGTCACTTAGAGATATTACAGATGCCTCAAGGATTTCACTTACTCATTAATGTGCATCTGTAAGTTAAGTTTTGACGTCGGCATGATTAATTTGTCCATCATGGTCTCAGATTTAAATATTGCGGGTGTTTTAAGGTTTTACATTACGTAAAAACAGAATTGAAGCAGAAAGACTGACGACCTCACATTTTGCTTACAGCGTGGCATATGCATCTTGAACTGAACGGCCGTATCCTGCAAGACTGAGTTCAAATATATTAAAGGGACAATTGAAAGAGGAAAGGAGAAGAAAAAGAGGAGGAAAGAAAGAAAAGGGAAAGGGAACAGCCGGATATGGCAAATGGTAACCGTTCAAATTCATCTTCAAACTCCCTTAGAGAATTTTCTGACGATTTCCGCATTGGAACGGCCACATTCACCATTGTTCTCATCTTGGCTACAGTATTTGGAAACGGTCTCGTTGTTGTCGCCTTTTCACGCTTTGCACGCATCCGTACAGTGACAAACTACTTCGTCGTGTCGTTAGCGTGCTCTGATCTCTGTGTGGCGCTATTCTCTATTCCTGTATGGGTGGCATATCTCCTGACAGGACCCGTGTGGGTATTTGGCGCAGATTTGTCACGTGTTTGGACCATGGTGGACATCTTGATAGGTACCGCGTCCATCATGAATTTAATGGCGATCAGTTTTGATCGGGTTCTTTCCATCATGACTACAATGCGTTATTCTGTCATCATGACTCCCCGGAGAGCGATTTTTATCATTTGCTGCGTTTGGATCTATTCTTCGTGCATGGCCACTGCGAGCTTTTTTCTGTTCGCCAAGCGCATTTTCAACCTCGTTGCCACGATCATGTGCTTCTGCGTTCCATTGCTGGTGATAATCACTGCATACTCAATTATACTGAAAGTGGCGCTATATCACGTGAAACAAATACACGCAACAACGCCTGCGCAGTACCCAAGGAGTCATTGCAACTTTTTAAGGGAGCTCAAAGCAGCCAAGACTTTGGGAGTTGTTGTTGGCGCGTTTGTGGTATGTTGGCTGCCATTTGTTGTGATAAACATCATTTACAGTTTATGCGAGCAACAACACTGTCTTCTGGTTAATCCACAAGTCATATTGGTGACCAAGTGGATGCATTATGGTAATTCAATGATAAATCCCATTATATACACTGCCATGAACAATGACTTTCGGAAAGCTTTCAAGACTTTAATTTTTGCATCAGATGCTACCCTTGAGGATGAAATACCGTAGTTACTCACAAAAATCGAACAAACTGAGACGAGGAAAAAAAACAGTGGCCAACAGGAAGAAATTATCTATTAAAGCTCTGCCCAATCTAAAAACTTGCCCAAAATTGTGTTAAAAAAATAGAAAACGAACTTCGTATTGCTACGCTGGGTGTGAAAAATTCACCATAGTTTCAAAACGTCCACCAGTCCCCCTTTATTGGAAATTTAATTCGCACACGTCAGACTGACATTTTCAATTTGAAACCGCTGACAATGTACGGCACAACAACCAAGGGCCCGCGTGTGATAACCTAAGTGCAAAAAGTGTATGAGCCCCGCCCGAGAAAGTAGGCTAATTTGTGCGCAAACATCTTTTTCTGCTATTCTGGTTAATGTTCGATCTGAAAGGAATGCATGTACGGGTTGATAAGTTAAAACAGCAGCGTAAAAGCGTCTTGATTTGAAGCGATTGATTCATCATCTATCTTACGTGTTGATGTTTTCAAGAAAAATTTTGGGATGTCACGTAACGCTCCGCGCCACAACGCTTCTTAAGGGGAACATTGCATGACATCCCAAAAAACAGCTGCTAAGGAGACTAGATTTCATATTGATTCGAATTTTTCTCTCAATAAACAAAGAAATCAGGCTTTAACTCTCTTCTTTGCTGTAAGTATCTGTACCGTGACGTTTTAATCGATTCAGATTAAAATACGTACCTCTGTGAGGTATTCAGTGCAGTCTCCACTCTTCTCATGTGACTCTTGCATTTCTGGAAAAAGTTCGGGCCTTTTCCCATTTGCAATCAAAGTTTTCAAAGAAAACTCCTTAAGGGATCATGAGCACCTGAATTTTAGCCAACTACCAGTATGCATTCGCCAGAAGAGCTTGTACCATCAAATTAAATTTTTCACCCCTGAGTTTCGTGCATTTTGCCATCGTAAAGGTCGAGAGATTGTAATCTCTTGTAACAGTTAAATCAGTTATCGGACTGAATTGTGCACCTCAGGGGTTTTCAAGTCAGCGTTATTCTCCGCGCTCGGCCAATTTAAAATCACTCTGTCGATTACTCCCTGAATTGTACTCCACTCAGCCATTAGCATTCGAAAACGTAGCGGTTGGACTCGTTTCACCGTTGCATGAAAGTAAAATTAGGCTTGTCTATAGATTATGGTGTTACTCTGTCAACCTTCTATACCAAAAAATGATCACAACAAAGAACAAGCAAAGGAAAGTAACAGGATTTTCGAAAAAAGTGGAAACATTAGCCTATCGAAGAATCAATGTTGACAAGATAACGCAGCCGTTTTGAGCCTAAACTGCAAGCAGTCCCTCCTTTTTGACGAAATCCGTCGTGCGAGTCAAGAAAGTTCAGCAAAAGGAAAATCGAAGTTACCACGCCTCACTCCCAGTGATCGGTAAGCAAGGCGCGCAAACATTGATTGTTTTTTTCCTGAATTTTTCTTACTCGCGCGACGGCTTTCGCCTGTAATCTATTTTTGGTCACGTCTAATTGCCTTTGTTTATACGTTTAATCCGCGATGAAAAGGTTCGAGTTACATGCGCTCTGATACTTTGTCCAGTAAGCTGATCGCGTTCTTTTGTACAAGGAATGCATGTAAGAATATGCTCAAGGCTGAAAAGTTTGTTTGGAGCATTTTTTTGTGCAGTAGAAAATTAAATGTACTGAAGTCACTCAATGTTGAAAAAAGTTTTCTGTAACCATTGAAATTTTTGATAGATTAGACCGTTTCTTCGAGAAAACTGGCTTTTTACCGTATTCTCTGTAAAATCCATTACATATCTTTGCTCACGCACGATTTGCATTAGAGCGTGACCTGACCAAATATGCTAAAAATATATATAATAAAATATATCTAAAACTTGGCCGGGATTATTCCACAATATTACTAAATTTCAAATCTTACTCTAATACAATGGAAGTCTACGTATAAAAACTGATCTAAGATTTTTTGCGTTTGATTGTTAGTTTGGCCAATATAAAAATGTAAACTAACATTTTGTTCTGCACACTGAGAAATCTTTCAAGCATAAGAAATGGTCACAGTAGTTTAAATATCATTCGATCTGATTAAAATCCTCCTAGGCTTAGTATTGTATCACATCGGTCTATCACACAACGGTCTATGCAGTGTGACAGTGGTTTGCGTGACACATGCAAGCGATATTATGTCTCAAAATTCTGTATTGGTTTGGCTTGAAAAGCTTGTTCTAAGAGTTAAATATTGAATAATTTTCTGTAAAGATATTTAGTAAACAGGCCTATTATTCTTCACAATAGAAAATTCTCTCTCAAGGAGGATCGGTCGGTGATCTCTTGTCGGTAATGAGTAAACCACAATAGTAGCGCCGCTATTATTACGAAAGCTTTCTTACTGGCTAATATAACTGTGTTACCTTGCCATATGCTCCACCATATGCAAATATACTGTTGTTTACAATGAATAGGAAAATATAAAACTACAGCAAAACCTTTTGGTGTTAAATGCACCAAACGTTGCTTTCGTATTTTAAGTCGCGAATTTCAATTTTAAAGTTTAAATGGTTTGCCAGTTCCGAGTATAATTTTTTTTGATCCGAGTTGATAAATATTCAAACCAAATCAAATTCAAAACAACATTAGATATTTAGTGAATTACAGATTTAACTCAGAGGCAGTCGTGCTTTTTTATTGGGTGACATTTGAACAGGTTATTGGCACATATGCTTCGTCGTCACCTTATATGGAAAATAACCTCGTGTTTACAATTTCGTTTCTTTCACGCCAGTGTTTATTGCTGCGAAAATCATGGCGGTTGCAAGCAATCGATTTGCAGAATTACCGCCCGAGGAAATACAGAGATTATTAGACAATGCTACAGCGAAGTCAACAGTGAAAGCCACGAAGTTTGGAATGAAAATATTTTACGGTGAGTTTTGTTACGCTTTACTACAAAGGTTTATGAAAACGTCTCGAATGACACAAACAAAATGTTTTGTTTCAGAATGGCAGGCGAGCCCTGGTGGTGCTAAATTCTCGAAACCAATCGAGGAAATGTCGAAAGAAGAGTTAAATGTCTGCTTGAGGTCCTTTTATACCTCAGCAAGAAAACAGGACGGCAGTTATTACAAAGCGACTTCGCTAAAATCCATTCGATCTGCAATTGACCGCCATCTTCGAGCTCCGCCTCACAACAAACCTTTCTCAGTCATTGCCGATGCGGCGTTTACAGAGGCAAACAAAGTCCTTGGCGCCTTCGTCAAAGATCTGAAATTATCTGGCAAAATAGAAGCTACTATTCACAAGAAGGCCATGACAAGGGAACACGTTCAAAAATTATTTGATAGCGGTCAACTCGGGCCAGCTGATAGCAAAAATCCGTCGCAGCTTCAGCGTACAGCATGGTTTTATGTGGGGCTGTATTTCGGTCGGCGGGGACGGGAAAGGCAACGTTTTCTGAAGCGAGATATGCTTGTCCATAGAATGAGAGATGAAGGAGTGGAATATTTCGAGCTTCACAGAAAAATGACTCCTTCTTTACCATCTACCACTTCCGCCGACGCTGATGACGAAGTGGAATCTGATACAAAGATTTTTGCGGTACCTGGCTCCGAAAGATGTCCAGTAAATACGTTGAAAAACTACCTAGCACATCTGAATCCTACCTCTGACGTGCTGTTTCAAAGGCCCAAAGATAGCCACAGCGCAAGGTTTAACCCTAAAGACACCGTCTGGTATTCGCCTTCACCCATTGGAAAGACATTTCTTAGCTGCTTCTTAAAGGAGATGAGCAAACGAGCTGGGATTGTGCCGCATCTCACCAACCACTGCTTAAGAGCGACCTCTGTTGCTGTTTTATCGCACGGAAATTTGCACAGCCTAGCACCTACTGCGGAATCATCAACTTTTGAGGTGGAGCAACGCAAATCTTCGCTGCTGAGCAGTTTTGTTACCGCCGGCCAAGCTCCACAGCATTGCTACACAACCCCTAGCCGTGAGGCTGATCAAAGAGTCATAGGAACAATGGTGGAGATCCAACAAGAACACCAACCCGGTGGAGAGATAGTTTTTCAGGTTCGTAAGTTTCCAGTTTTATTGAAAGACAATCAATCCGTTGCTGTGGCAAATGTTCCCGCCGAAAGCAATTTGGCGCAGAGTGTGAAAACAACTCCTATCCTTCCTAAACCAGTTTAAGTATATTTACAGTAATTGTTAAAATGAGTTTTTTTTGTTTCTGTAATTTGTTTGTTTGTTTGTTTGTTTTGACCTTGAAACGACAGGAAGAGGGGAGGATTTTCGGAAAATACCTTAGCATGCAGTTTTCTTAGCTTTCGAGCAAAATGTTGTGGAAGTTCTACGAGTTTTTGTTTTTTTTTTCTGGGTGAATAACAGTTAAGAATAGATCAGGTAAAAGAGCTCGCTGATTAAAGCTAAGTCGGATGGAATTTTTTATACAGGAAAATGTTAAAAGAAGGATCAAGCGAATTCTACTTTTATATGTACGTAAGACTGGACCTTTAAGACTCGTTTCATCTCTCAAAAGTTATAGCCATTCATAACTGTCGTTGAATTTGCATACAGAGGCAGTAATTTCATTTCAAGAGGTCAACACTGCTCTTATAGGGTCAACCCTTTCACTCCCAAGATCTCATTAGTAATTCTCCTTACTGTCTGCCACGTAGATCTTGTGATGTTAGTTTGGAGAATTTGGTAAAGGATCAACTAATAATCTCCTAATTAATATTTTTCTTTATTCTCATCATTTGTCTGCTTGATATTGCATTGATATTGTAAGGAGAAATTCTGTCTTGGTCACTCATGGGAGTTAAAGGGTTATGGGGTGATGGCTTTTTCGGCTAACGTATAAAATTCCTTTGTGACTAAAAGAAAAAACTTAACTGTTAACTCTTTTTGCGACTGACGGTTAAAATTTGTCAATTTTTACGCCTTATGGATAAATCTTTTGGCCGTTTGACGGCCAACGGTTCAGTTCATTGAGACCATCTTTACGTTCTTGAGGAGTTGGGTTGAAAGCGAAGAAATTTTCACGAGTTTTTTTTCTGCCGTTTTTCTCCTTCATAGACATATTCTCTGTTCGATTATCTTTGAAATACTTGTCTTTCCAACTTTATTCACGTCATATCATAACTTCACGTAGTGTAGATATTTTTTTTTTGGGTGCTTATAACCCTTTCAACCGTAAGAGGGACCAGCATCTAATCTCTCCTTACAATAATATCGCCAAATCATACATTAAAGTCATGAGAATACAGAGAATGATCACCAGTTATACAAATTTCTCCTCGTGAGTACCAAAGGATAGGGTAGAGTATGGAGAAGATGGATACTGATGTTAGGGTGTCAAGGGTTAATCGCTTCCGTGCAGTAATGAATGGTTGAGATTATAAGTTACATTGAAAAGTTATATATTTAACCCGGCAACAATTTGCTCTGTAAATATACAGACCGTTTATCTGTTTTCCGATGTTGGTGTAGAAATTGTCCTGCACGTTTGAAACTATTCTCGCGACCATTTGCTGGCAGATAAATGCCAATATTAGGAACAATGTTCAATGTTTACCATTACGCCGATTATATCTATCTAATACTTGTGTAACTCGGCGAAAAGTTGAAATAATTTTAGTTGATATTTTCATGGTTAAATTAAAGAATGAATTTCAACTGTCATTGTGAATGGCACTGTTTGCTTGTGTGCATTGCTGAGAGCCTCAACCATTATGTTACATTTACTAGGAGCGAATTGTCCATCAGGCGCGAGTTGTTCAAAGCTGGGTTAAGACAACCTAGGGTAAGTGTGAACTTGATTTGAGGTCTGAGAGCTTTAAAAGAAAACTCAGTTCAAATGCTTTTGCTTGCAATTTGATCACTGGATGTTCTTAAACAAAAATATGGAAAATTTTCCCTTAAAAGGCTTTTGAACAAAGAAATAAAGAGACCTGGATTTACTCTTTAACACCTGAGAGTGACTAGCATCTAATTTCTCCTTACAATATCACCACTGAATCACACATTGATGTCAAATGAATAAAGCAAACGATCATCAACTCAAGAAACTATTGATTGTTAGACAAATTCTCCTCATCAGCACCTTAGTAAATGTACAGAGAACAGTATGGAGAATATGAAAACTGATGTTAGGGTGTAAAGGATTAAATTTAACCCTGGGTTAGCGCTAATCGGCCTTCGAACAATTGGAGATTATTGGGGGAGGATAGGGATTTTGGATGGTACAAGAATTATTTTTTTGAATATTCTATTTTTTATATTTTTGGCTTTGCCCGACCCCCAAACCCTCTCCCCTAATCGCTTTTAGAATATAGGTCATCCCTACGGGGGTGAAAATGAAGTGCAGTAAAGGATTTGAAACCCAGACGAGCAGTTGATCGTGTAGTATGATTTTCCAGTTGAGGGTTTTTTTCTAAAAAGGACTGTCGTCGATGACAGTGAATAGGGACCTCAAGTAAACCACGACAGCGATGGCAATAAGGTCGCGGCAAAACGAAAGATCTAATGGACAGAACAATAGCTCAGCACGTGTGTTTTATAAACTTTGGACATTTCTTAGTCGTCTTCTGCAAAACTCCAAAAGTGCATGACCACGAGAAAGGAAACTACGACGGTAAATTATTTAAGTTTCTATTTAGAACTCAAAGCTGCCCTCATATATTTTCCTGAAGTTCAGGTGTGACACCGTTAGAGACGATTAACGCATCCACCCATTCGCGAAAATATTACCAAAAATATAAAGAATTTTTTAAATCGAGGTTTTCTTCGGCCTTGTCGCCTTGACTGATCAAGGTCCCAATAACTTCTCGACAAATTAGGCGACTAAATCATTAATCTACAGTAAAGCTTTTTTGTAAAATGCTTGAGGACGCCGTGTTTTTTCTGTCATTGCAAGTCAATCGGCACCTTTTTTTCCCTCTCATCCGCTGTATTTGACCAGATTGGTCTGACAAGCGAGTTTTGTGAAGTTTCTTGTTCTTATTTTGGGTTCTCATAGCTTATCGGGCTTTTACACTGATTCAACCCAAAAATACTATAATAGATACAAGTATACATGTACTTTCGGGTAAAAGTTTCACAAACTTGTCCCTGTACTTTTTTCTAGGTAATTACATAGTTCCGTCGTTGCAGCGTTTCCTTTATCTTGAGTTGATGATCTGATTTTTAGAGAAGTTAACCCCCAACTTTTGATGCTGGATAGTTGCCTCTCGATATCTGACCTTGTCACGGGCTGTGCCTTTCCCGTCACGCTAGAGTATGTTGAGGTGAAGAGATGTCTAAAGGCAGTCTTGAACTGTTTGTTCATTAGACCGTAGATGATTGGGTTGAGAACTGAATTAAAATAGTGAAGCGCTTTAGCCACCATTACAGCTCCTACTTGAATAGGACATGTACTACAACGAAAAGGAGTGATACTTACTGTAACGTAATTAATGCCTTTTGACAGAGTTACCACACAACTCATCGTCAGCCACCTTAAAGTCCGATCATTATTCTTCGCCTAGAGGATCGGAAGACCCCTCCCGCTCCCCCCCTGATTGGCAGTTAAATTAACAAAATTTGTAGAGTCTCCCTCTAATACTCTGTTAACGACGAATGCCCCCCCCCCCCCAAAAAAAAAAAAAAACCATGAGATCTCCCCCCCACAAATCCTCCTCCAGCCAGGTGATAAATATAACTGGCTCCGGTTAACTGAAAATAAGAGGTGTAATATCTGTGGTCTGAAATTTGATCCCTCATGGGCCTTAGAATTTGCAAGGAGCAATTATGCATGATTTTGGAGTTACACAAATGACACAACTTACCGACAAAGAGCGTTAAAGAAATTTAGAAAGAAGAATGGGAACCAACAGAGCACAAAAGCCCCCATTACCACTCCTAGCGTCTTGGCAGCCTTCAGCTCTTTTGGGAGGCAGAACCTTTTGGTTTTTTCTCCAATCTTGAGTAGCATTTTCTTCGCCTGTGTACGAGAAACTCTGAAAATCATAATGTAGGCGTAACTCATGATAAAAACAGGCGCGGCAAAACAGAGTGAAAACGCTGTCAACTGGTAAGCTGCTGAGAATGACATATCCCAGGTGACCAGTTTGATGATGGTCATAGTCAGCGCGAAGGACCACGCTGCACAAATTGCTACACGTGTCTTGGGCGTGGTCACAATACTGTGGTACGTCAGCGGAGAAGAGATGCAGATGTAGCGCTCTATGCTGATAAGTAGAAGATGTGAGATGGAGGCCACACTGCATAAAATGTCCATCGACTGCCAGATCTTCTTTAGCCACAAGGAGAAAATCCATGGTGGCCCTGTTAACAGATATGCCGCCCAGACCGGCATGGAAAACATGGCGACTAGGATATCTGTTACTGCTAAGGACACAACCAAGTAATTGGTAACGTTGCGTAACTTCCGGAAAGAAATAAACGCCCGGATGACGAGCGAGTTGCCGAGAAGGGTAAGCAGAATGATGATAATCAGCAGGAAAGTGGATATAGATCTCACTGTGGAGTCAAATGGTTGCGTTTCGGCGATAGGGATTATTGTGGAGTTCGTTGCTATGGTTACCGTCGGGTTTGCCATGTCTGTGATCCTCTAACGAAGGATGTACAAACTCCAATATGTCTGAATTTGAAATATAACATAAATGAAACATTGGATAAAATTAAACCAAGAGCACTGATAATCACAAGGGCTTTTCAGAGAAAAAGAAAATTTCTCGCGGAGTCAATGAAAGCGAAAAATTTAATTGTAACGAATGCCCACGTCGCTGCTAGGTTATGTTTTGGATTGAGTTGTGTTATTATTATGTTAAGTTTTTGGTTGAAAGTGTGGCACGAGTTTAGATTAATCACGAAAATAAGTAATTCAAGACCGTGGCGATCCCAGGTTGCTTTTAAAATTTAACTGGACAGTTTTCTATCAGATCCAGATGGTCTCAATGGGGTCAGCTGTAAACCGTTAGACAGCAAACACTTCGCTGTCAGGCGTGAAAATTGACATATTTTAACCTTTGGTCGTAAAAGCCATTACCCCATTGAGACTTACCAATATGTTCGATCTGTATTACTATTAAGACTTCTCAAAATCCCTCGCGGTGTTGGGAAATTGTGTTCTTTCTCTTCCTTTCGGTTCACCATTCGCATTTCAATTTGTATTAGGTGCTAATGTCCAGTAAGAAATTTGAACAAATAAAAACTGTTATGAATCACGCACGTTTACACGGTATCAATCAAAACGACGAGTTTCTTGAATTTTAACAAGCTTGTGAGACAGAAAAGGACACTCTTCAGTCGCCATCGAAGGAAGAAGACGTCGTTCTGGGCATAATGACGTTCTTGGCATAAATAAATGTCTCTTCATCTGCCAATTCTCGAAACAGCTTAGGAGTGAATCAAAAACCGGACTCTTCGTTTGTTGAGTTCATGTCATTGACATGAAAAATCCTGCTCCTGAATCAAAAAATAACAGTGCAACTTGCAACCACAAGTGGTAACCGTTCTACTCTAAAACGACTTTGGTGCAGGCGCTCAAGTTTAAGTTACCTTACTGGGATTAAAGCCCGATCGAATAATTTTTGTCCCAAGACGTGTACATTTCCATAAGAAAAAAAAACCTATTTCTTCCATTTCAACGCCTAAAAGTAAAACATTTTAAAATAAATGAATTTTCATAATGACCGGTTTTCGTTTGATGTTCAAACCTAGTCGCAAAAATGAAATGAAATAAAATAAACAAGAACAACAAAGAAGGAAAAACATACGTATCGCCAAAACATAACACACATATGAATTTGATTTGACTGAGATGCAGATGTCTCTCTTTCCAATTTCCCCAAGCGGGTCACGTCCTTGAATTAAGGCAGCGAGCGCTTTCACTGTTTCCTGACTATCAATCCATTATTGATGCCATTTGCAGTTTCTAGTGCAATTTAGTGTACTTAAAAGTATTAGGCATTGAACATTCTTAGACCGACAATGAACACTGATTGCATTTAATTGACAGGGCGTGATTCACAGAAAGCCATGAACTCCGCAATTTGATACTTTATGAAAAGAAAATGCTTCCGTCGTGAATTTACATTTCAACCGTCAAATGTCGGATATATCACTCCTGTATTTGCCAAAAACTAGAGTTACTTATTCATCAAACTCCTGGCTTGAATATCATGAGTTATGTCACGAAAAAGTAATGGTTTCAAAAAATTGTTGAAATATAGGATACACGAATAGAGTATCGATTTCGGCCAGTCGTTGTGTATAAATGCACGAAATGTGAGTTACTTCGTTAAAAAAATTATTTTGAAAGATCTAAATTTTCGTGTTTTGCTTTAAGTTAGGGCGCTAGAAATGAAGAGAAATTTTATCATGATTTGTAAACACCAGATGACACTATTCACATGAAAAGGTAAATAGTTTACCATGTTTGGTGCTGGCGTTTTTTTGTTCAGCGGCCTCGTTCACAATCTTAATTTGAAACTGTTTTCTTTCGTGAAAAAAAAAAAAAAAAAAAATTCGGCAACAATCATATGGCATGCATCGAGTTGGGTTCATATCTGCACTCAAAAATCGTTTTCAATCAGTCTTTGGCGACCACTTACTATTTTAAGTTTCATGGTGCTAATGTATGCTGTTGGAAGCTTGCCGAAAATTTGATTAAGCAGATACTGTGCATGCACTAAAGAATATGATCAAAAATACATTTTTTCTAATTGTTTTTCAAGGCAACTCTCAGCGTTTTCTAAATACTTATGTCCGAGTCCTTACCCGCCAAGTAATGGTGTAGCAGTCTTAATCAAAATATCTTAATTTTTCTAAGGTGTTTTAGAGTGAGGCAAAAGCTTTGTGGTGATCTATTTCTTTTCAAGATTTTTATAGCTGCGCTCCTTACATATCATAACAAAGTTTCCGTTTAGTTTGTTTTGTTCACGAGGGTGAATTTCAACATGGATTTCGTGGAGAGGGAATAAACAAATGGTTTCGCAAACTTACCTAAATCTTGGATCGATTCTAAATTTTAAATCGTGATTTTAGTAAAATCTGTCCGGACAATCAATTGACCATGTGTGCTGTGGCAGTTTTGATCTGAAGGTTAAGTGATCCTCACTAAATCCAATGCTCATTTGAATCTCTTGCAGATTTTCCCAATCGATCTTTTCAAAAAACACTTTTAAAATCACACATGCATGTCACGTATAAACCGCAGCTAAATTTCCTCAGGGTTTTCCGGCCGTCAAAAGCATGAAAAATCATTGATTCTCATTAACATACGTCAATCTTTCAAATATTAAAGAAACCTTTCTAACCTCACACGATTTTTTATTGGCTTTGATATGAAACTGACAAAACGTGGTGAATTCTAACTGCAAATTAACATAGTACATGTTCTAAGGATCCATTGCAGTCATCTGGTTCACTACGAAATAATCATCTTTATCATTTGTACACGCATATCTGTCACACCATTTGCGATTAAAAAGAAAATCGTTTTATTTATCTGAAAGCCAAGAATCGATATCTTAGGTAAAGTAGCCAGTTTCGTGTAGTTTGTGTGCAGTTCAATCTATACTACAGCTGTAATGTCACTTGCGTCAAAAAATACAACAAGCGAGAAGCAATTGCTAGGTTTATCATGATCCTGTTCAACATTACCAAAGCCTCTTTTACAAGTGTTATTGACAATGCTTATGTTTCGGTGCTTAAAAATGTCCATGATTTGGCAAGTTTTCCTGGCCTGTCTTGTCCTTGGTGTCTTTAAGAGAAAACTTCGACGACCTATTTCAACTGACAACAAAGGTTATTCTTGGCAAATCTCGTGGACAATTTTCAAACAATACATTTTCAGTTAGAAAAGTGAGCCTACCATAACCTGACATTTTTTTTTTTCAGTTTTGCCTCTTCCATATGGGTAAGTCTTTTTATTGACTCTTGTTAGGCATTAATTTTATTTTTCAAGTGCTCATATTCAAACAATGACACAAACTTTTTTTTAATTTTTTTTTTTAATTAAAAAAAAAAAAAAAAAAAAAAAAAAAACAATGACACAAACTTATTTACACTCTGGACACTGGAAAAAAAGGAACTTGCTAACATGTTTTTTGAACACTGTGCTTAGGGAAAAAATTGCATGCTAACCTTGTGAACTATGAATGACAATCGGTTTATAGTGAAAAAATTTCAGAATTAAATGACCGAGTGGTCCCAATTCAAAATTCAAACGCAAACATTAATAGCCGCTATTTTGTCACTAAATTGTTAATGAATTCTAACCTATAACGTTTTGTTTTAAAGACTGTAAAATTGACTAAAGCAAATTAGCGCTTTCTGGAACGAATTAGGAAATGGAACTCAGCTTTGTCTAGTCAGTTCCTCGAATCTGTTTGTTGAAGTTTTCTTCAATCATTTTCCCATGGCGTGGGAGAATTATTAGGAAGTTACGAATGAGGCACTAATTAACTGGGGTTGTTTGTTTGCAATAGTTAGAAAAGCAAAACTTCTTTCTGTCTGAGCAAATGTTTCCTTAACACAAGGCGTTTTGTGATGTAAATTCCATGATTTGCAGCTTTTTTCTTCGTGCTCACGAAAAACAAAAGTACCAATGAAAACCATGCCATTTTACAGTATTTCGTTTCGAATCCATAGTTTTTGTCATTTATTGTTTAGAATTGTAAGTGAAAATTGAGAGGATTATATGCAACCCCTGTATATTGTGGCAGACTAGAATTCTTGTTTTAATTTTTTGGCAAACGAAATTAAAAGTCGCTCATTTTTCAAAGCGATAACATCTCCAAGCGTTTGAAACTTCTTTAATTTTCGAAAAATCACTATTTGTTTTTGTGCCGCTTTAGTTTCCAATCACCGTTTCAAATTTTTGGGAATCAAAGAAACGAGATAAGTTATAGCTCGTTTGGCACGAATCTTTATTCCTCCGACAGTTGCATTTTTATATGATTTGTCGACTATCATATTTATTTATTCCGTTCTTGGCTTCCTTTTCAGTGTTGCCCATTAATTTTGCAGACCAGACCCTCTAGTTGTATTGTATGTTACGATTTTCGTGTTATTTTTTGATTTGCACCTGTAATGCAGCTGCGCTGATTTGCTTTAGCTTGAAATGTTCCCTGGTTCAAAATGAAAATATATTTAGATTGATAAATACTCAATTCATTTGGCATGCCTGTCTTTCTTCTTGAAATTTAACTGTAGTGGGTCTAGTGGGTGACATATTTCTTAGCAGTTTATTTAATCATTAATTTTAGCTATAATTGTGTCTTTCACTGCTTTCTGACTCTTGTTTCGCAACTGCAGTTTCAGCTTAACACTTAAGGGTCTTTGAAGTTAGTTCGTAAACAGACACATTAAAGAGCCGACTCATATTCGATTTTACTAAATATCCAGCTCGTTGGCCGGCAAGGAATCTTTTGTTTCCATTTCATTACTGCCGAAAAAAAATGAAACCACCATGATTGAAATAGCAAAAAAAGATATCCCGAATCTTTAAATCCAAGATTGCATGATGCTTGGACTGTTTCAAGAGTTTCTCGATATCTCGTTCGATTAATCGAGTTAATGCAGTCGGCTATCGTTTATGCGCGGACTCATGAGACATCGTTAATTCTTTTCTACTTCTAACACAATCGCTTTCCTATAATAATTTTCTACCATAACTTGCGATACTGCGGGTTAATCCACAGTCTAACATATTCTCCCCACTAACCTGAAAGATTTTTAATCGGCGTTGTGCCTTGTTGTTAATTAACGGGCCAGTAAATCGACTGATTGAAATAATTTACTAGGCCAAACTTTGATGGCTTGCACGGGATCAAAGCAGTTCGTCCTTGTTCTGAGCGCCGACTTTTCGCAGACTGTATGACAATTTCGACACCTGCGTTTAACCCAAAGACGAAACAGCTTGAGGGAAATGATTCTTTGTTTCTGTGGGACTTTTATGGCTTTTTTTATATCCTTCGAAAAGCTTCCAACTGTGATCTCCACTCGACTATTTGAAGTTTTCGGGCGAAACTCGTTTAAGGCAAACAGGTGCAGAGTTTGTTTTTGATGAACGAAAATTGTCGGCCCACAACTTGACGTGCACATTTCTGAGCTAAAAATTTACATAACAGTTCCAATTAATCCAAGCAGGATCTTACATATTCTGCTTTATATATATATTTTTTATACAATTAAGTGTGACCAAAAAATATTTGCCCAGTATCTCACAAAGAACTTAATCGTTCCCTACAGTTGCAAAGCTTTTAAACGAATTTGTGGTCGTGCTTTTTACAAAGCACGGGGATTTTAGGTTAAAATTTTTAATTAGGCCCGGATAAGTTTCGTCGAAAACATTATCTTCTCAAATTGTGTTTTTATATTTCAAACAACCGAAGTGATGAGAAGGAGTCCGATGTAATTATCAAACAGAAAATTTCAAAACAACTTTTAATCGTTCCTGTTGTTTCATAATGTTTGCAGAAATAGACTCAGTTTATCTGTGAAGTATTTCTAACAATTTTACCTAAGTAAACTGACGCAGATTAATAATGTTTGAGGCCAATTTCTTTCTCTTGGTCTGCTCTGAAAGTAGTTGTACAAAGTATTTATCTTGGAGTATGATCTTTTGTTATTATTTTTTTGGTTTTTTGTTTTTGTGAAATCTCCTTTTTTAAGATCTATTCTCTAGACTTTTTTTTAAACATTCGAATCACTCGACTTTCAAGAGCTTCCAGCAGATGTCGATAGCTCTTGAAACAAGCCTTTGTAGCGGTTCAACTGTTTTTGGTAACGAAGGATCACATAAATTATCAGATTACCTTATTTCGATAAGAGATTCCTGTCTTACGAAAATTGCTAGAGGGTCGATGAAGTACTACAATTTTCTGATCAACTGAGGTGAGTTAAAATAATTAAAGAAGTCAATATAACAAACTTATTTGTTCAGCTGGGAGCAGCTTGCAATGTTTTCGCGGGCGTTCGAAAAGTATCTCCGGGATGAAAAACTTGCGGGAAGCATGGGGAGAAATGATATGACGGACTCCACAGGGACTCCACTATATTCTCAGTTTCCTTTATCCTGACAATCCTCGAGGGCAAAAACACACTATAGACAAACCTACATTGAGCAGTCACCGACGAGGAATGGCAGCTGACCGTTTAATACCGACAGAAGAGAGGTAACGCAGAAAACGCTAAAAAAGTGCTATAATTGATCAATAGTGTACAAAAGCTTGCTAAAAAATACTACTAACATTGATTTTGGGGGAGAAACATGGATTTAATTTTACTTCAAAGATTATTCTTAGTTTTATTTGTGTAGTTCCGTTTTAAATGACCGTTCAGTACAGGTGGAAGACAATACAAACAGGCCATTGGGACTCACCCATAGGTGATCACTAGCGCCTCATAAAGGTGACCGCCCAAAAGAGATGAAAATGACAGTGATTGAGCAAAATAATAATTCGGAACTTTGGCAACCGAGCACTTACTACAGGGTGACCGCTTAATACTGTGCCGTTTAATACAGGTTCGACTGAAGAAGGGGTAGCGGTGACACCGGTTGCGAACCGATTATTAGGCTAGGGGGTTTTAGACTCCCGCGGCGGACTCCGTCGAAAATGAGGGACGGATCGAAGTCTAAACTATAGATAGCAGTGATAAACTGGTGAAACCAGTTAATTCCAATGTTACAGTCGTTCGTGTTGTAGTTTTAGTGATGGCAATATTTTTTGGTGGGTTACGTTAGCAGTACTTTTAAGGAATTTAGTTGGTCGTCTGAGAATATGCGCACAGCGCACTATGTCGCACAGCGCACTATGTCGCACGTTGACATTAGGGCTCAGTGTAATTCGTATGGATTTGTCAGCCTAGCACGGTTGGCTGAATGATGCTCTACAGTCGATATGAAGGTGTCAACTTTTCTTCTAGTTTTCCGGTATGGGGCATCACGTATACAAAATGTCAAGACATTTTTATTTTCTCTTATCTTAAACACAAGTTTAACATTCTAACAAGACTCCATCTTCCGGCTCAATTTTTGACTGCAATCATAGGCTAAGAAATAGCAGTTGAAAAAAAATTCAAAACAACAGTTATAGTGTAGAATATCCATATTTCCGAGTATTTAGTACTGCTATGGAAAAGAAACATTGTATTCTTCTAAGAAAAATATATTTCATCACTCGTCATCCATGTTTAGTCGTCCTTTGCGCCATGTTTAATTGTTTTAACAAAGTCCAGATAGTTGAAGTTTCCATCGTCGTCAGCGTTCGCTAGACGGAACATCTCATCACATTCATCGTCTGTGAACCTTAAAGAAAGCGTGACAGTCACGGATCAGTAACGCAACGTGGACGATGTTTTCTTTTTAAATTTTTTATCATCCTCCTTTTAAAGAAAAATACCCAAGGACGACATTCCTAGAATTAAATTTTCTTGAATTGCTAGAGCAGTGTATACAGCTTGACTACCTTTGACCGTTTGTATTTTTGCGTGTGAGAGATAATTTGCGTTACTCGTTCTGAAAGGAAAAGAAAGGAGTTACTGAGTAAACATTATGGGAAACTCTTTTCCTTGAGAACATGGGATACTGAATTTAACAGACATGGAACAAATGTGTTGTCAATGTAAATGTATATTCTAGACACGATACCAATTGTTTTATTCTTTTATAAATTTCATTTATTGATCCGCAACCCGATTTAACTGTCTACATGATGACAGATATTTATCAAATTGACGCTAGGTGTTTCGACGCTGTTGTTTACAACTGTTCATGCTTGTAGACGAATTTGGTGTCAACGATATGCATTCGTTTTCTGGTTAATATTAATTGCACACCTTAACCAAAAATTCACCTATATCTCACAAAAAATCTTTATGCCAAAACATAAAATCCCTATAGGGTTAAATACATTCGCTGTCGCACTGGGACATCTTGCTGAGAGTGTAATCTTTGAGTGCGAGTTGTCTGTCGAAAAATCTGCGATTACGATGAAGGTTAGCGAAAAGTAGCGACACGAAATGCAATACCCTGGCTATTCTCGACGCAAAGAGAGAGAATTTAGTCAATAAGCTAAGTGGATTTCGTTTAACTTGGCAACATAACAAGTCAACCACCAGAAACCGGCGGCCACTTGATTTATCATAAGCAGTTTCCTGAGGCGTAACCTATTGTTGCTCACCTTACCTAAAACGCTTGAAATTTTTGTTTTCCACCACAGATTATGAGATTAACTCCTATTTTTTGCGCTTGGTTTATTCAGTGCAGAATTTTTTTGTTAACGGGTCTCACCTCCAGCTGTACTACGCAGTTCGCACGCAAATGTGTTTAACTCCTGCGAAGCTTGCAACTTTATTAATTACAGATTTTAACTCTCTATCAAATCGCTTCAGCTTTTGTATAAGGCTTATGCAATTTTCTGTTTCAATCTAAGGCGAGATATATCTTACCCTGTTACAGTCTTAAGACTTTCAGCTTTAGCTTTAGATAGCGAGGGAGAAGAAACTATTAAGAAAATTCCTAACTCAGACCAATTTCACGGTCACTGCCCGCGTGAAAAAATACTTATTCAAATACTTCATTCTACGCGGCAGTCATCTTTTATTTTCGCTAAAATACCTAAAATACTTTGTTCTTCCTACATGTTGTTAGTGGTAGGGTCTACGTCAATAAACTGATAGCCCCTCAATAACTAAAACTTCGCATTTTCAAATCCCTTTCGGCGGCTTGGCCAGAGTTACTGCAACGCGCGTGTTCGTGGAATCGTGCATGTTAGGGGAATCGTGCGTGCTCGCTCCTCGAAGTAGGCTCCGATTTCTCGGTGAAAACTTTTAAGATAAAGAATTGTCACTACCCTGGTTTTCAACTGCCCAAGAACAAGAGTCCCCTGTGTCAGTGAGCTAACAGGTAAGGGGACTCGTAAAACGGACTGGTGCCAACTCTTATTCCTGAATCAATTTTTGGAATTCTGGGCCCTTGTGATTGATTGAAAAGGAGAAATCGTCACTCTTTCACCATAGGGTGCTACAATAGCTAAACAATCATAGAAAAACTGCTAAGTATATATACTTCGCATCTTGATTGAGATTACTGATTCAGGCGTTTATGGAACGAAATTCACCAAATCAAGGGAGATCTGATCGTAGACAAGCTATATATACCCAAAATAACAAAGTACCTCTTACCCGTACGGGGAAGGCCTCTTCCTTCCCGACTCTTTGTCTGCATAATCTATAAGGATTAAGTGCTATAAATAATTTGATATTTCACGTATATCTAATCTTACCTTTCTCCCATTCCCATCAATAAGGGTCGGAGCTTATCCTCGTTCAGTACTCCCTTGCCATCCATATCAAACGAGGCGAATGCATTTCGGATCATATCCTCAGGGTCTGTACCATTCAATTTATCGCCCATCAGCGTCAGGAACATGGTGAAATTCAACGGCCCGGACGCTTCGCCCAACATGTCATCGATGTAACTGTTAGACTCTTCCTTACCCAGCGAGTTAAACATATCCTTTAGATCGGTATCCTTGATGAATCCATCGCGATCTTGGTCAATCATGCTGAACGCTTCTTTGAACTCCTGAATCTGCTGCTGATCGAACATGGCAAACACGTTGGAAGTTGCTCTCTGGGCCTTCTTCTTGGAACCAGCCTTTTTTGATTTTGTTTTACCGGACATTTTGCTTTGATAATGCTAGCCTTTTCTACGAAATATTTCGGACAGTATGCAAAGCGTTGTTAACCCACTCCGCTGTAATTGCTCTCTCGTTGGGAAGTGTTTACAGATTTTTAAAACGCCGGTCTCAAACCGCGCTTTTGTGAACCGATTACAATACTCTTGACCTTATTAGGTATCTGATGGACAGATTGAAATCGATGTTGGTTACTTTTCTCACGAAAACGCGGTTACGATACATTGTAAAATTTTGCCTAAATTTCCACATTTCCGCGAACGGCGATCGGAGGGGACAACAAATCGCGAGAGGAGTTAGTAATTTTTACTTTGGAACCAAAACTTAAGGCTGACAATAACGCAGATTTCTTATTTAGCACTTTAGCGCCTGTTCTGTTTGTTATCAACCTCTTGAAATATCTGTCATATTGTTCAAGGATAATTCTCCGACTTCGGAACATTTTCATGTATGAAACCTAATTGTGATGGTAATGTTCTCGAAAAAGTCAATTTTCAGGACGAAATCTTGGGAAATTTGATTGGAACCTAAAACATCTTTTTAAACACTGAATCATTCAGTTATGACAGTTTCTGTAATCTCTCGTGCCATTTAGTTCCGGTTGAGTTATTGCCAACACCCTCTACGGTCTGTGACCTAATAATAAAAATTCTCATGACTAACAAGCAAACCCTTTTTTCGTGACATTTGGAGGCATCATGTACTGCTAAATGTTTACGATCCAAACCGCATGTTCACAAACAGGACCTATACGAATTATTACCGGCAGTTCCGTCGCACCAATACTCTTTTTCTCTGATTATTTCCTAGAGACGCTATATTCTAAAATTCCGCATAAAATTTTGAGACTGATGTGAAAATGACTCTCATGCAGACATCTATTTCCAGTTATCTAATCCATAGACTCAAAAGATCAGCTGGCGTATTCACTTTTTTCACAATTTTTAGCCAAAGCACCGCAGACAAGCTACTTTCCGTAACAAATACTTTTGCAGTTCCCTGGGCTTTAAAACTCAGTCTCATCAGGAGGGCTCCTGGTCTTATTAAAACACATTTTAGAGCTTTAATCAGTTTTGGCTAAACATTAAATGATTTCTGACATTCTTAAAGAATAAAAAAAAAAAAACCTGAAATATCGTGGGAGCTACCCCAGAACTAACACAGAAATAAGATCAATGATATCTTGAATTTTTCACGATCATACAATCCCTGCACTCCTAATCGTCTTTTTCACCATGTTTTATGATCTTTGTGAATTCATTGTAATTAAAATTCCCGTCGTCGTCAACATTTGCATGAGTAAACATTTCATCGCATTCATCCTCTGTAAACCTAAAATGTAACAAGAAACAGGCCATAGAATTATAAATATCATAATTGTAATGTGACCCAGACTTCCTCTTGCCAGCCTTGACCGTGCGTTCGGGTGATCGGGGCACAGCCAGCATATTTGTGGTATTTGGATAAAAGCAAAAATTATCTGTGATCTTGAAAATGTTAAATCTGACCATTTCTCATTGTGGCATCGACATTGGAATTTTAAGCACAATCAAAGTATGATAACAAAAATCTGGTCGGGTGAGATATTCCACTAGACTCGCACCGTACTCGCAGTTCTTTTCAACAGTAACTACAATAAACACATGACTCTTGTGTTTGCTTTCCAGTCCATTTTAAAAGCAGATGATCTGCTTTTAAAATGGACTGGAAAGTAAATTAACATAAGTTTAAGTTGACCCCTTGGTAATTGATTTAGTGTCTTTGTTAGGTTTGGATTGGTTCGAAACATGAAATACCTTCTCCAATAAGTGTATAAGTCCTTCCATGGAAATGGAATTGACTTTCATGAATCAAGACTTTGTTTTAACAGATATAACAATCTTGAAAACCATTTAGCGTTAACTAATTATGTATTTTGTGATATCTATCTCCTTAAGTATTCCGGTGTGTTTGATTTCTAAACAAATTGCCTAACAAAATCTGTGATCAAATACTTTGATTCCACCGTTCCAAGCAAAAATATGATTCGAACAGTCACTCTCCCCATGGACCTTATAATACTCCGACGTAACTAATTTAAACCAAACAAGCCGTGAAATCAGCCAAATAAATTATTTTGAGTTTAGCTCCCCTGAGCTAGTCGAATCTGTTTATAATTCCACTCTTAAAAAGTTCTTAACCCACATGATTGTCAATATTGCCACAGCCAATCTTCCCTTTTCCCCCTTTTTTTTTTAAACAAATTATATCTAGACAACGCGAGAAAGTAAGGAATTCCAGTATCTGGTAACAACTTCCCAATTTATAACCGCTGCCACAATCTAGTAACGTTAAGTTTTCCTGGAGGTGCTAAATTACAACCAGAGAAAAGATTAAAAATTTCAGTCAAATGCCCATTTTAACCATAAACAGAGAAGTTGTGATTTTTTCACTGATTCCTGCACTTGGCATACAACCTTAACCCCAACCTTAAACTTCTCATCAGAGCTGTACTTATGTTAGAGCTGTGTCTGACGCCCACTACGTCTCTAGCCTCCACCCCTCCCCCCCTCCCCCCCCACCCCCGTGCATGCGGCATATAACCTTTACTCCACTCCTTAAACTTCTCGTTAAAAGCTACTCTTATGTTAGAGCTGTGTCTCAGTGACACCACTTACATCTCTGCCCCCCTCCCCCTTATACAAATCCTGTAAAGTTTTGCTTACGTCTGATGGCTCGCATGTGAAAAATCTGCAACCAACCGCTTGTAGCGAATCAGGAAATAGAGAGAAATAATAACAACGCTATCGTTGAACAACTAACCTGTCTCCGAGTTTCATTAGCAGTGGTCGCAGCCTGTCCTCATTGATGATTCCAGTGCCATCTGGATCAAACGTAGTAAACGCACTCTTGATCATGTCTTCGGGATCGGTACCATGCATGTTCTCTGAGAACAGCGTCATGAACATCGTAAAGTTGACAGTCCCAGTAGCCTCGCCCAGCATGTCTTCGATGTAATCGTCCTTCTGAGGCCTTCCTAGGGAATTAAACATCTCCGTCAGGTCTTTGGCGCTGATAATTCCATCTCTGTCCTGATCAATGACGTTGAATGCCTCTTTGAACTCGTGAATCTGCGTTTGGTCGAACATCGCGAAAACATTGGATGCCGCTCGTTGCACCTTTTTCTTAGATGCACCCTTTTTCGATCTGGATTTCGAAGACATTTTGATTTTGCCGTGAATCAGCCCCAAATTTTCTTACGAGTTAAAGGCCAGACACACCTTCGTTGGAGAAGGGAGATAGAAATGAATTTAAAAATGCGCCTATGTTTATTATCTATGTGTTTTGTCGGTTCTTCAAAAAGAGATCTATTTTTTTAGGTTAATGGGTTGTTAGTGAAATGTCATCTAATCACATTTTGATGTACTTGTCAACGAATGCTCTGCTCACAACATTTAAGCTTGAAAATTAAGCTAAGTCCATCTCCTAACCCTTTAGAGCAAGATACATATTTTGTGGACAGAACAGAGCTAAATCAAACTGAATCTAGTCATGAAAAAATGAAAGTGGTAATAACGTACGTTGCAATAATAACAGCCTACAAAGGAAATTTTATCGTTCAAAAATCGTCCTTAACTTCTTCACTTGTCAATCTGTTAACTTATAAGGAACGCGTGCCGTGCGCGTCTGATAATCAACCGGCTGGATCATCTTTCTGTTTTCTCAAAGTGACTCTTTGGAGGATAACTGAAGATTTTACCTCTCAAGTCACCCTAGATACTACGGGAAGATTTGAAAGACAAAATTTCCTAACAAAATTTATGTTTATTCATCCTCCTTGAGGCTCCATATGGATCCATCTCCCATACAATCTGGGTCACGTAAAGTTCCTTACGTCGTCACTGTCAGTCTAACAATAGCGTCTTTCTAATTTGCTGAGGGAGATGGCGTAGGCGTCACGTGAGTGGGTCCAGGATCGATCAGGATCGAACGGTACTCTGGGGACGCGAAAATGTCAGCGGAAGAGTTTTTTTTCCTTCTTGATGGCTTTTCAGTCACGCGGTAGTTTCATTGAAATGTAGGAAATATTGATTTTCTCCAGGAAAAAAGTCGCTCTCTTCAAATAACCAATCATTTCAAGAAAGCATTAAGAAAAAGACAATACAGTCACATTTTGCCAGCCTGCGATCGATCCTGCTTCCTCTCTTTATATTCCATTAATCTATTTTACTGCAGTATTTGTTACCTTTCCTGTCAAAAGAAAAATAAAGAAATACGATAATGTAAAGACATTTAAAAAAATAAAAACAAATAAACAAAGATAAAACCACGTAGCCGTCGGTTATCCACCAGTAGGGTCAGCGGTTGCAATCACCGGCAACTGTTCAGTCCGCCATATTGTTTTAGATCTACGAATTGTCGAAGCAAAAGGTACTTTATTACATCACAGAAAACGATAATTTCGTATAAATATCGGAAAAAAGGTTTAAATTTATTATTATATTTTTTTCATGTTCTTGGCTGGGTAAGACCACAATGAGTAGCATTTTGTGGAGGAATTTGCGAGTTCCGTTGATCAGGCGCATGGCACGTCAAGCTAGTGATCATCCTACAGCAGAAGAACTTGGCCTAAAGGGATGGCAAGTCTACTTTAATAGCTTCACTATTGAGGGAAGACGCAATGTAAGTGTCTAGATTAGTAATTTTTCCCAAAGCTTTCAAAACTTTCGGAGTATTCTCGCCCTGTGATATCGCAAATATTGATTATTCATCAAGAAAGTGTGGAACTCGGGAATCTCACAAATTAGCGACGCTAAAGAGTTTTTGATCCTGGAAGTATTGATTGGAAGAAAAAGACGCAAATTGTTAACTCCTGATCTGAAATTACAAGAAAAATAACAGACCTACAATTACATAATTGTGATTAGACAATAAACTATGATCTCTTATTGTAACCTAGTAAACCAATGGCGATTTTTAAAAAGCAATGGAGTGGACTTTCTCTTCATTTACTGGCTTTTAAGGCTGAATGTTTGTTGGAAGATTCTTGAGCTACTACACAGAGCTTTTTGTCTAGATAATGGCTTGAGTTATATTTTGATCATCTGTGAAACATTACATTACAATTCAAACAACTGGACCCAGGTGGTTGGGAGAAAACTGTTTACGGCTTAACCCCCAGATCAAATTTGTAATTCTCCTACTGTCAGCCATACAATTCCTATAATGTTAGTTCAAAGAATTTAGTATTGGATCAACTAATTATCCTCAAATTGATATTTTCTTTATTCTCATCACTTATTTGGTTGATATTGTATTAATACTGTAAGGAGAAAATCTGCTCCTGGTCAGTCTTGGGAGTTAAAGGGTTAATGCTGGTTTTTTAGTCAGGTCTAAATGTTTAAATCAGGTCAATGTTTAACAAACCAAGTTCTGAGCCATCTTCAATAGCCCTTTTTACAGTTCCTGGTGCCATATTGGATTAGTAACTGCGCACACATGATAACGAGGCTGGGGTTGACCCAGCGGTTCTTTCAAACAGCTGATATGCTGACATTTCACGTTCTAATGCACTTTTCAATGCGATTTCTCCCTTCAAAATGGTTCTTTAATACAACAATATGGAAATTTCGTCATTAGATGACATCCAGAAACTCGAAGCAAAAGATCTCAGGGAGATTTTAAAATCTAATTCAAAATCGACGGGCGGAATTAGAGCCGACTTAGTGTTGAAAGTTCATGCTTTGCTGATGTGACACATCCTTTCATCAAGTAGTGTAGAAAACCGAGAACTTCTTACAGATGTCTAGGACCTAGAACAAAACCAGAGCGACTTCGGATACGAAGCAACTATGATAAGGATTTCAGCCCTTGGATGGTCGAGTGATCTCCGTAATTAACCTGAGATTAATTTAATTCAGCTTTATGATTACCTTGTTGTTTCACGAAAATATCGCCAAATCGTGTTAAGAGGAACACATCACAGGAAGTACCACAGTAGTTGTTCAGTATGGCTTAAAAACCGAGGCAAAGGCTGTAGCCCTCTAGTTAGAGGAGATTTGTTATTGCTGCTGTTGTTGATGTGGTACTTGTTGTTGTACCATATTCTTCAGTTAAAGTTGTTCCCATTTTGTTCACCAAGATGTCTTTTAATTTGCCATTTTTACATTTTATCTTATGGGAAACTATACAATAGAGCCTGTAGAACCACTTGATTATAACCTTCTTTCTATCAACCCATGAGGGAAACTGTAACTAACAGATGTCATAATATTTTGAAACCCATCTAGCCCAGGACAACTTATGCTCGTGATACATTGAAAACCATTTGAGTTTGCGACTCATGGCAATTTATTAGGTGGCAAGACAGCATTGAAAGAATCAGACCAAAATATTAGATAATTTAAAAACTCCCAAAAGTGACTGATTCATGTTACTTCTCCCTATAATATCCAAACACTATCTAGCAAACAGATAATGATAATACTGAAGCTTATCCGGCAGAAGTTATCTTGATCTTACATCAAATTCTCATAACTTATTTACAAGTAAATGTGTAGCAACTAGAAGGGAGAATTAACAATCAGATCTTGGGTATTTAACGGTTAAAGGAAGAGAGCAGAAATGCTTCCTCTTAGCTACAGATCTCAGCAATGCTAGTCCTTCACACACATTTAAGTTTCTGTCAGTGATAAACATTCAGTGAATTGATATTCCCATTCCTAGCACTCAGAGGCCTTCTGACACAAAGGTTTGCTTTTACTAGTTCTTATTGCTTTGTGTTAACCAATGTTATGATAATATAATTTTGAGATACTTAAAAGATTGAGAAATATATCCAAATCAAGATATTTATTTTATACTGTTATGGTTACCATAAAATTTGTTTGAAAGAGAATATTTCAGACCATCCAATTGTATGAGAAATTATTTTTTGCAAGACTTCTATCAAACTTCTTATTATGAGGACAATTTTGTGAATAATAAAATTAAGTGTCAGTTCATCTTTGTATTGAGAACTCTTTTAGTTGGTGAAACTCACTTTTTCTTTTTTACAATTTGAAGCATCAAATTGATTGATACACAAAGCACACAAAATATTTTGTGAGAGCTCCATGTGGCATCCATAGTGGATTACTTTGCTATCATAAAAAACAAAAACAAAAACTACTGAAAACTTCTTTTGTTACAATTGCTACCAAATTTGTGTCAGTGTTCTGGGTCTGCCATAATAAGTGAAAACTCTGAAGATACAGTGTCTTGGTTATTTTATTAAAAGCAATTACTTTCCAAGAGTTTCTCTGCTAGGAGTGTTGTAGGCAAGCAGGTGAGCAGTACTGAACTTATTGACTTACTGCCGCAATGAAAAAAAACTCTATCGAACTTAAAACAATTCAGGTACCTAATTGAAAATTTGTACTAATTTTGCAACAATAGTCACCCTCATCCATAATTCACAGAGAATAAGATAAGTATAGATTGATAATACTTGGCAAAAATACATGCCTCCATGCATAAACTTGAAGAAGTGAAAGCTCGTAGGCAAACCATTGGGGGCCATAAAATGTATTTGAACAACCAAAAGCGGCACACTACTCTCCTTTCTTTTTGGGAGAAAAATTAGCTTTATCGAGATTTCGGCTAGGACCATCCATTTTCCTTAAAAATCGAACAATTTTGCTGCCTAAGTATGAATTTCACCAAAAGCGCTCACAGAGATTTTGCAATTTCCAATATGGCGCTGGGAACTGTAAAAAGGTCTATTTAGCAGAACCTTTTATCTAAACATCATTTTGTGTGAACATTGTCAAGAGAGCCAAAAGCTAATAGTAGAAGGACACTTACATAAACATAATATTATATATAATGGTAATTGAACTGAGTGGAGTGCGCGAGTATTTCAAAATCGAACAAGTGATTTCAGACCAAAATTGAGTGACATAAGGTTCAATTACCACTTTATTACACCCATTTTGAAATCGCTCAAATACAGGACTTGGTCAGTTCAAGTATTATATTGATGCAGTACTAAGCCAGTTTGAAATTGAATTCATCCATTTTTGGGGGAAAAAAAAGTAAGAGTTTTGGAAACAAAAGTTGCACATGATACTCTTTGTCTTTCATTTTCCTGTAATTTGATTGGTTACTTTTAACAAGCCTTGAAATCTGGCTGGTTGTTTTGTTTTTAATGTAGTCTCCTCATTGGCTGGGAAAAAGATGCAAGTTAAAGCAAAAAATGGTGCGATTTGTGAATGAAACACACCGATTAGAGCCAATCAGATTACAGGGACCACCAGTGATTTCAAAATGGGTGTAATAATTAATAAAATCAACCCTCTATAGAGAATCCCTGAAGCCCATTTCTTGTGTAAGACTGCATTTTGGTTAGACATAGGGTGAATAAACCCTTAAAGTTTATGAATTACTCATTCTTGGCTCTTGAATTCACACTTGCTTTGTGCCCTCCTAAGGTTTTGTATGGGTTAGGCTGGTAAAATTTAGAAAAAAAAATGTGATCTGCTTCTCAAATACTGCCGGCCATCTGTACCAAATTGTTTCCAATCACAACCCAATGAAATTTTATATTTGTCACTGATCCTTATATTTAGTAATTTCCCCCATGATTGTTGTTCTTATTTATGTCAAAAGCTGGCTTAGTATGGTTTTTATAATGTTATATGACAATCCTGATTATTATGCACCATCCAAGCTCTATGAAATGTCGTTGTGGGATGTACACATGTCTAGTCTTGGTTCTGTGGTAGGGGACAAAGTCAAATGGAAAACTGCTTTGAACACTTACATTAAAACTCTCTTCTTAATAATCTTGTATGTATGACAGGTATCAAATTTACATGTATTTTGAGAAAATGCTGACCTGAAATTACCAAAAAAATATCAAAAATGGCAATTACCTTTATCATACTACTTTGGATAGTGCAATACTTGCAGTAATGCAGTGCTCTGCTTTGTTGAGGAGCTGTTGCCTATGCAGCAGTTTCAAAAGCAGTAGGGTAATGGCTAGATCTACTCAGTTGTAACGCACTGTCTTTCTGTCCATAGTCTTTATACAAACATTGCACTTCTACCTGATAAATTGTGTAATTCTCTTCAAATCGACTTGTTTTTCCTGGTTGACATCCAGGAAAAACAAAGTGACACAAATTGGAATAGACCCAAAGTGCAGGAAAATGAAACTTTAAGAGTTTTAACCTACAAAATTTTCCAAGGGAGCCTAGCCCTCACCAAGAAGAGGAGGCCCTTCAGGTCTTCAAAAATCTCCCCTGCTATTCTAAACCACCCATTTGTACCAGATTTTAACAAAACTACTGCCTAGCAAACTTTTAGCAGGTTACAAAAGCATTAGACTGGAGCGTCTATCAGTTAACTGCCATGTTGGACAGGTTTTCCTTTCACCAAGAATACTTTTAAAACATAAAAATTAATATCTAAAGAATAAAATGCTGACCTGAAAGGGAAACAGCTGCATAGCAATCCACCATTTTCAACCCAAATATATTGCATCCATATGTGCGTAAATTTTTTTTGTTTTTTCAAGATCAGAAGAATTACCTTAGATGTATTTTCAATTTTTTGTTTTTTTGCAGTTGGTATTTTTAGTCTATGGAACTTTGTTTGGAATCTATGGCCTTCGCAAGCTGACGAAAAAGGACAAGAAAGAGACTCCTGAAAAGACTCCTGAAAAGACTCCTTAAAAATAACTGCAATAGGAAAATTCCTCATTTGACTTCTGTAATCTGTCATGTTTGGGTTTTCGTTTTTGTGGAGGGACGACAGGTCAAATGATCCAGTGATGTAAAGTTTGTCAAATGCATTTGATATGCTAATAAATCAGATTGACATTTTTAATAAAATAGTCAGTGTTTTCTTAACTTTAAGTCTAAACTTTAGTCAGTTATGGTGATTGCAGCTATACTTTTAAGGAGTGACACCAAATTTAATGTCTTGGGCACTATAACAGATAATGGAAAATGAACTCCTGTAAAGATACATTCGAAATTTGTCTTAAAAATTGTCTTTATAAACATTAGACTTGTGGTGAAAACTCTAATTAGTTGAGAGCATACAGTCAATATACAATGATGTGTGAAGTTGAAATGACAGCTCAATATCTGCTGCAGGTTTTGGGTTATCATGCATTGTTATCAGCTTTGTGTCAGGTTTTTTTGAGGGTTAACCCTTCCACTCCCAGATCTCTCTAGTAATTCTCCATATTGTCTGCTATACAATACTTCTGATGTAAGTTCAGAGAATTTGGTATTGGATCATCTATCAATCCCCTTATTGATAATTTCCTTTATTCTCATCACGTATCTTCTTGAAGTTGTATTGATATTGTAAGGGGAAATCCTCTCTTGGTCACTCATGAGAGTTAAGAGGTTCACCAGTACTCATACATCCCTGGGTGGAATGAGTGGCAATGATCTTGGATGGGGTGCAAATGTAGGCTTTTCCACTCATAACTTGTAATGCTAACCCCATCAGAACAGTGTACCTCTGCATAAGTATGAAAATTGTCTGGATGGCCACATCTGATGTGCCCAAAGCTCTCTTTTTTTTTTAAGCAAAGAAAGGGTTTTAAGAAATTGCTGATAGTCTGTTTTCATGTCTTTTGGGAATCAATAAAGGTGTCAAACTTTATAGCTCCTGACATGTCAATGAATTGAGATGACAGAAAATGTTTGATAGCATCGCAGATGTTGCACTTTTTTGAAACAGAGGCTTCTGTTTGAACATGGTCATGTTTAAAAGAAGCTTGACAAGCATTGTCACATGTACATGTTACAGATCACAGGAAAGTTTTACCTAATGCGGGCTAAAAATTGGCTTTCTGACAAAACCCAGAGGCAAAAGATAAATATTTGTTAATCAATCGAATATCAATTGATTCTTCTGCCTATGAGAGGAGGGTACAGAAATGACCAAAATTACCTTGCAGGAGGAGAGAAGATGCGATAGCCTCTCTCTTAGTCAACAGAGAAGGCCTAGGATCTAGTGAAGTCCAAGATGGCTGCCCATAAAGAAGATCTTGTTAGCACTCTTGAATCTTCGCTTCAGGTGAAACCTTAAGGAATTCTGCCTTTCCTAAATTGCTCCTTTTGAAATGTTTGTTGAGCCATTAGGTTTTCTTTCAGGCTTGTGTATCACTTCTTCTTGTCACCGACAACGTCGAGAAGGAAGGAGAGAAGACCAATATCAACAAAAGCGGTGAGATTTATTTCAAATTTAAACCCCCATAATTTCGATTTGATAGTGTCGGATGCACGACAAAGTAACTAAGGTATCCAGTTTAATTAAATATTCTACTGTATCTGCAGGTAAATCGATAGGTTGTTATGCGGAAAACACTTGTTCTAGTCACATCAAATTCGCTGTGTCTGTGTGTCTGGCAGCCGGACAGGTTTTTAAAATACTCCGTGTCTGATAGACCGTGCCCGGCAGTCGGAAATAACTCATGCAAGCGTAATGAAAGTATCTGATGTTTGGTTAAAAAATGCCAAGTGATTAAAGAAAAACTATGATACAGAAAATTTATTGACTAATCATAAGAAACCAATGGAAGTACTTTAAACATTTCCAACTGCCGAGCATGGAGTAAAAAACCAGTCCGGCTGCCAAACATATAGACCCTTCCAATCAGACTTTTCCTCTGCGCTTCAATTGTTTTCAATATTTGTGAATAATTTTAGTATTTACAGCATTGTTTTGTGGTTCTGCATCCTGTTTGATTTTATCATAAACTTAACTTAGTTTTGGTTTTTTTCTTTGTTCCTGTTCTAGGCATTGAAGCTAGCATTACAAAGTTCCTTGATGCTGCAAAAGCTGTGGAAGCTGATTTTCTTAGGAAGCAAATGTACAGCCGTGTACATCATCCCAGAGAAGTCACACAAGATGTAAGAGTGGCTGAGAATTTATCTTTTTACTTGCTGCTTTTCCATGAATGAGCCTTGCCTTAAGACGTTTTTGTTAGGAGACCTAATCCACTGTGCATTGCTTGATTTAGAATTTTCTCGAGGGGGAGGGGGGTACCTGGGTCAATTTTTGTTGGTTATCTGCTGTTGGCCTCTTAGAACAATTTTTGCAATCCCAACTTAGTTACTGTCTGTTCAAGCATCTCCAACAGCAGGAAATACAGTAATAACGTTTTACTTAAAATCCCTACAGACCAGAATTTTCTTACCCCCAAAATTCTGAAAATTTGGGACCCCAGTCTAGTAACTCATCCCTGTCAGTGTTTGGCTTTGCATGATGGGACTATTTTTTGTGTTTAAAACTGTTTTTTTTTTCATCTTAAATTTTGTTTTTGAATCTATTGAGCTGTGTGCATCTGTATATATAATGACAACTTTTGTTCAATAATAAATTGTGTGTATATGTGTGTATTTAATATGGAGAGGTTTTGTGTATGTGTGTGATGTAGTACATGTAATATACTGACTGAATAATTTATAAAGATCTAAATGCATACTGGCACCCAGTCTTGTAAACTCCAAGGTAATCAGCATCGAAAAAGGGCTTTGAAACAGGCTATTCCAGAGCTGATCAAAATACATTTTGCATTTCCTGGTTTTTAATTGAGCTTCAAAATAATTAATATTCACATTTTCTGTTTGAAATAGTACAGAGTTCCTAGTTCTTAAAACAAGAAAAGGTAGAGGGAGGCTTATATTGGAGGGGGGGGGGGGAGAGAGAGAGGAAGGAGAGGGGGCTTAAGATTCAGTGTATTTTTTGTCTACAGGTAGACTGGCGGATGGGCAATTTATGAAATCTTTAAATATCAACTTCTTGCCACAAGTCTGTCAGACAAGGAGGTTTTTCTAACCCCAAAATCAAAAAGATGTGTGACCTTATTCTAGTGACTCTATTGACAATGCAACCCCATTAGAGTTAATTAATCCAGTTGTGAAAATGCAATCCTATCCAGCAGCACATCCTAATTAGCTGGTATCTCTAAATATCAACTTCTTGCCACAAGTCTCTGTCAGACAAGGAGGTTTACATTTTTTGGATCACTCTTCACCCTCTGTGGTATGACAAGGGTGACTGATATTTGTCATTTCTTTTGAAATGTCTTTATTTTTCATTGTGCTCTTCAGGAAGTAGACAAAATGAGAGCTGAGTTAGCACAAAAAGAGGAACTGCTGACAAGAACAAAAGAAAAAGTTGCTTCATGGGCAAATGTTCTCCAAGATCTTGAAACGAAACAGACACGACTTCAGTTGGTGGACATAATACCACAAAGAACTGTATCAGTAGATCCATACTCTTTTGATACATCAAGGAAATAGTTTGTGTAAAATTGTAAATTTGGGTAGCTGTGGTAATGGATATTAAATGTACAGAATTTAGTAATGTTGGTTATGCTGTAATTTTCTTGGGACAAGCACAAGAGATCATTGTAAGATATGGGTTAACCCTTTAACTCTCAGATCAAATTTTTAATTCTCCTCACTGTCAACCATACAATTCTTATAATATTAGTTCAGAGAATTAAGTATTAGATCAACTAACTATCCCCAAGTTGATATTTTTCTTTATTCTCATCACTAATCTGGTTGATATTGTATTGATATTGTAAGGAGAAATTATGTCTTGGTCACACATGGGAGTTAGAGAGTTCATGTATTTTTTTTCCTGGGACAAAAAAGATGTATAAACATTCTTAAAAAGAATAAGCTGTTTGAAAGCTTCTGACAGTGTTTAAATATATGCTTAACTTCCCAGTTTGTCTAAGAGTTCCAAAATACAGAATAAATGGTGTGGTCTTTTTTACAATCTCCTTAACATCCAGGTGAAACATAAATTTGAATTTTCTTACCATGAAGAGGTATGTCAACAAAGCAGAAAGTAATTTTAGGCATGGAGACATTTTTGTAATTTTAGATTGTTGGAGGCAGTTTGCAAATTTAATTCAGGATATTAATGGTGGTAGAGGGGCAGGGAAGGGTGAGTTAAGTTGGTTTTAAGATGTGATCTCAGTTTAAACATATCCTGAATTTCAGATCTCCAGTGTCGGCTTTCCTGTGTTCACATCCTTTTTGGCTATTTTCAGTCATCTTCAACTGTCTTGCAATTTGCTGTAAGCACTAAAATGCCTGATGGAGAACGATGAAACTAATTCTTGCAAGTCTTTCAGAATGGATTACTTTCACTTTAGCGACAATAACTCAATGGCAATCAGAAATACAGAAGAACCCAGCTCATTCGAACCCAGCTCATTCGAACCTGAAACCCAGCTCATTCGAACCTGATTAACTCGAACCTCTCGCTTACTTGAACAAGATTCTATCTCCCTTGGATAAGACCCCATTTTTCCACTTATTTACTATCACTTAACTTAAAATCCCCGCTGACTTGAACCATCTCCTTTTTTGTAGATTCTAATGCAATCTTTAGCATGACATCAGAAGACAATGATCAGGAATATTAGTTGTAGCTTTTGAAACTGAGAATGAGGCTTATGAATGCGAATTTGCTGTATTATAGTGTTATATAGTAGTCCACATAGAGCCCAAGATTGACTCTGAGTATGTATTGCATGACGTCATGGCGTCACGCGAAAGTCACGAGGGTTAATGAGCCGACTTATTTGGAAGGTACGATCCACAGGATGTAAACAGCTGTTTGGAATATATCTAAATCAGTAACAGACTGTTTTCCCCATCGAGCCTGCAGCGGGTGAAAAGAAAAAAAAACCCGAGGGTGATCGAGCTTCATTCAACGAGCTGAAAGGAAAAAAAATCACTGAAAGGACTCGAAACTTCATCGATCAGATCATATCAGACGATCAAGCTGAATAAGTGGAGTGAACCATACTGTGACCGGATATTTTGCAGAAGATAAGAACTGTAGGAACAGAAACAGCATAACAAAGTGGTGTCAGGTTGCTTTTTGAGTTCTGCAGTTGTTAAGGTGAGAGAATTTTATGCTGGAAGAGACAGGGCTTTTCGATCGTAATGAGAAGAGACATGCAGCCCTGACTCGGCCCAATTTGATATCCATTCCTTTCATTTCGTATGTTACGATATAAATTTCTTAAAGTTTACGTATGCGGACTCTTTCGGATTTGTCACTTAACCAGCATTCTCCAGATTTAACCAGTTTTCAACGTGAAATCATTCCTAAATTTCCTGTTAACTGACACAAATTCTGCAAAATTGTAATTACCGAAATTGCTTTGTCATGACATAATTTCTTGACCCTAGTACTTTCTCCACGTCATTTGACAGTTTACATAAGCAATTAAAGAGAAATAATTTATTTTAGCCCCACACTGCTCTAAAAAAAGCCATAGTCCCACAAGTTATGCATCGTTTTCGCTAGTGTTTTCTTTATTTAACAACTGTGACCATAAGGAAGTAGGAGGCAGTACGGAAATCTTGTCGTCTTCAAATTTCTTGGAGTGGATTATACAACCGAAGTGATCATCATGTTTTCTTCTATTGTATTCGATTCAGTTCATCTGTTTTGAAAGCCAATAGACTAAATATTCGTATCCATTTTAAATGGCATTTATTTTGCACTTAGCTGAATATTTTGCAAATTTTCAAGTTGCTTTAATTCGCAATTGTTAATGTTTCTTTAGAATGTGGTCCGGCTGGTATGTGGTTCACGACTTCTTACATTTTTGAATTTTCATTATGCCTATTAATGTTGTGCAGTAAGATTTCATCCGTATGATATTTATTCTTCTTCCTTTCAGATTGTTTTGATAGATACTTGACAAAAAAAATTAACACTTTCGAAAGTGATGATAATTTAAAAAAATAATTATTTTATCATATCATACGATAACTTATGTCATGTATATCATATTATAAACTGCAGCAGGCCATCATGGAAACCAGCTTTAAGGTGAACTGCACTAGCCTGCTTAATCCTTAACACCCTTACATCAGTATGAATATTCTCCATACTGTTCTCTATACATTTTCTAAGGTGCCGACAAGGGGAATTTGTCCATCAATCAAGAGCTTCTTTAGTTTGTGATCATTTCCTTTATTTTTGTGCATGACCTTAATGTGTGATTCAGGGGTGATATTGTAAGAAGAAGTCAGATGCTAGTTACTCTGACTTTTACCATGACATGTATGTTTTTATTGTTAGATTGTTACAAAAATAGTTATGATTATTATACATTGAACTTCCTATCTCTTTTCTGACTCAATCAATCAATCAATTGTTTATTTACCCACATAGTGTCTAGTGAGCTGGAAAGCTCATTCAAAATAGGTATGTGCTAATATAGAATAGCCTTAAAACAAACAGAATTAAAAACATATTATATATGTATAACAACATAAAAAATTTTCATAAAAAACAGAACATGTACAACTATAAATGTCACTATATTAGGATTAAGATGGCTAAAAATTCTGTAAATAAGAATGGAATGGATAAAAGCTGATTTTAGTTTAAAAAAAAAGATGGAATTAAAATGATTTATTCTAAGTCAATGTCACAAACTTTTTTTTTGTTCAAAGTGTAATAAAACAATCATTACATTCAGTTTTTGTGATATCCAGTATTTTCTCGGTAAGGGTTATGAGCTGAAGCCGAAGGCTGAGGCTGGTTACCCCTACCTCCACCTTGATTGTTCTTGATATCACAAAAATGTCATCCAATAATTGTTTATAATTGCACTGTTACTAAAATGCATTCAAATCATTTGTTTTTTTTTTCTTTTGTGTTCTTTCAGAACCTTTCAGCAACTGGAATATGCCTGTACCTGCATGGCTGAAGCTATGTCGACCCACAATAGAGCCAGTGATCTTTCTCTATGCATATGGTCTTTTTATGCATATGCCAGTCATTCAGCAATATGTGTACAAACGTGTTAGTGTTGCCAAGAATTTCCCTTATTCATCGTCAACAAAGGAGAGATGCCAAAACCAAACACTAAATACAACTCTCAAAGAACTGGAAAAGGAGGTAATGTGATACAAAATAATTAAGACAAATTTTTATTTTAAAAATACTTCATTTGACTCTGCTCAAGTGATATGTGTTCATTTAATTTAGGAACTTGTTGCATTATCAGTAATAGATGGTGCGGAAATTTTTTTTGTGCAAGAAAGTAAACATTGCAATTTTTAGATTGTCATAATTATGATAATATTTTCACTCTTTAACTCTCAAGATCTGATTGTTAATTGATGCCCCTCTAACTGCTACACATTTCTTTTTCAATTAGTTAATATGAGAATTTGGTGTCAGATCAAGATAACAACTTTTCAATGATAAGTTTGAGTGTTCTCATTGTCTGTTTGCTGAGCAATATTTGGATATTATGGGGAGAAATTACATATTAATCACTCCTTGGAGTTAAAGCAATAAAAATTTTGTCTTTAGGTTCAGGCTTTGTCCTCCTACATCCATTTGGGAGTAGTCATGTTTGCATCAATCCCCTCTATTTTTACTGCCCTCTTCATTGGAGCCTGGACCGACACAGTGGGGCGTCGACCTGCATTAGCCCTCCCTGCTATTGGAAGCACCCTTGAAGCCTTAGTTGTAATCCTTACCATGTACTTTGAATGGCCAATTTATGTTTTGTTTGTGGGAAGTGCCATCAGTGGCATGTGTGGTTTCTTTACAACAATGGTGCTTGCAGTTATGTCCTATATAGCTGACACTACTGATGAATCAGACAGGAGCTTCCGGTTAGGTAAGTGTCTTAAAAGACCTTGGAATTATCTCTTTTGCCTTGGATCCCATTTGGGGGAAGGGATACTTGGTAAATTTTTGCTTAGTATTTGCCACAGGCCTCTCATATTCCCTTTCCCATAATAGTTTTTTTGTGGCCAATTACGAACCCCATCTTACTTGATTGCCTGATTCTGATTGTGTGTAAAAATATTGTAATGCTGGTGAATGAATAAAGTTGAACAAAATGTTCCCCTTTTTTAAATCCTCATTGTGAATTTCGTTAAATTGTAAACCTCGCATGCCCGAGCCCGCGTTGTTGACCGCATACCTGTGACGTAGCATTTCGTTATTCAGCTCTGCCACCCTAAGGGGGTTAACCTTTTTCTTATTTTTTTCTCTCCCACAGCCATTATGGAGTTGCTTGTGTTCATTGGTGGAATGATCAGTCAACTCACCAGTGGCCTTTGGATAGAAAAGTTCGGTTTTGTGGCTCCGTACTGGTTTATATTTGGCTGTCTCCTCGCTTCAGTCTTTTATGTGATTTTCTTCGTTCCAGAATCAAGGCCCTCTACCTCCAAGGATGGCATGATCCGGAGACTGTTCCGTTTGACGAGCGTGAAACGGGTGTGGTACGTGTACAAGTTTCCGAGAAACGGGACGAGAAGAAATCTGATAATTTTCACATTGTCCACTGGGGTGGTAGTTCTAACCATTCTTGGTATAAGTGGAGTGACTGTGCTGTTTTTGCTCCACAGTCCGCTTTGTTTTTCGGCAGAAAAGGTTGGATATTTCTCAGCTTTCCGTTACTTAATAAACGGAATTGGTGCAGTCCTTGGTATAAAGCTGTTAGGAAAGTGTTTTAGTGAGATCAACATTGCCAGAATTGGGATCATCTCCCTCGCATCAGGGTTGTTAGTCTTTGGGTTTTCAAGGAAGGAGTCGTTGGTGTTTTTGTGTAAGTACCTCTCATCCTATAAAACATTTAAAAATAATTATTTAATTATTACTTGCAAAAGCATCACACTCGACATTCCTATCCTAGCGGTATACAGGAGGCTTGTCGCCATGGATTTAGTTAACCCTTTACCTCCCATGAGTGACCAAGACAGAAATTTTCCCTACAATATCAATACAATATTAAGCAGACAAGTGATGAGAATAAAGAAAAATATCAATTATGGGATTGCTAATTGATCTGATACCAAATTCTCCAACCAACATAATGAGAATCGTTTGGCAGACAGTAAGGAGAATTACTAATGAGATCTTGGGAGTTAAAGGGTTAAACGGCCGAGCCTACCTCGAGTCTTCTATAACTTAGTAGGAGAGCGTCCGAAGTACTGATCTGAAGGTCGTAGGTTAGATTCCTATTTGGAGTACTCGGATTTCTTTTTCTCCGAGTATACCTGTGTGATTCACTAAATAGCATCATCTTTCAAAGGATAAACTGTCATCGCTTTCGCATGCGATTGTGCATACTTAATAAGAGGGCACTTTTTTTCTTGTAGTTCCCCGTCTTCATTTCATGCGCGTTGTAGGCCAAAAAAGAGAGGTTACTGTTATGAAGTGTCTCATGATTTCCTCTCTGGCGCGCGAAAACTGGCGGAAACAGGGCGAGAAATAAGTTAGGGCGTTTCCCCGACAACAAAATTTGCCGTTTGTTATTCACCCACTCTTTCAGCCGCTTCCAATGGCTGAGGGCCTGGAACAGGCTACATTTATATCAATCTTAATGTTTCTGTTTTAAATTCCCACCTGTGAGCCTTTTGTGTGGATTTTCAATAGCAAATTTGTATTTGTATCATTAGCTCCGATTGCTGGTATATTTTCCGGAGCTGTTTCCCCCATTTTCCGTGGAATGATGTCAAGAAGTGTGGGCGAGAATGAGCAAGGTTAGAAATCGAATGCGCACCGTTAACCATTCTTATTTTTTATATTACTAGAGCACTACTCGATTGAGTATCGTAGAACCAAAACCAAAAGTTATCACAACGGCGTATGAGGAGAAAGGAAACTACCCTTAAAAACCAAAGACAAAAAAAAAATAAAATAAAAAATAACCAAACTGCCTAAAGCGCGGGAAAACGCGGGCGACCAAGAGTGGCGCGAGATTTTTTTGACCAATCACAGAGCGAAGTAAAGCAAAACCGATGCAACCCCGGATTTCTTTCGACAGTCAATTGAAAATTGCTGCTTTAATGGTACCAAGTTATTGGCTTATATTGTGGTACGTCAGCATACAAGTGAAACTATTAATTAACTAGAGGCTGCCAAAAGTAGTGAAACAACCAAAACTTTTCTTCTTTTTAGGAGCTCTATTTTCAGCTACAGCGTCATTGGAAACCTTGTGTAATTTTATTGGTGCTTTCATCTTCAACTCCATGTACCCGGCATCGTTAAAACATGACTTTCCAGGATTTGTGTTCTTTCTGGGAGCTTTGCTGTTGATCATACCGTTATTGCTCACCTGGTAAGTTTAAACACAAATACACGAATGCTCTGTAGGAATCTGTTGCAAACTTGAAAGAAAGCATCGCCTGTGCTTTCGGCTTTCGTATGGATTTTTCACCATTCGCTTGTTGCTTAGGTTCCTTCCGACCCCTTCCTTTTGTTATGTAGTTCTTGGCATGTTATCCTAAAGGGAAATCGCTAGAAAATAGGGTACAAAAGTAAGTAATTACAACGGCCGGTAAGAAAATAAATGACTCGTACTAAGAGCCAATGAAAACTCAAAGTAAAACAAGAAAACTGCCCAAAGCGCGCGAAAACACGAGTGATCAGCGAACCATTTGCTATCGTTTTGGATCCGATTGGTTGAGAGGATGACACAATCATGGAGTGAAGTAAGGCGAAACCAACGCAATCCTGGCCAACTTTTGACACTCAGCTGTAAAATTATTCTGCAATAAGGAACGAAGAAGAACTACAAGTGTAAAAAGAACTAATTTGCCTGGAGTGCGTGAAAATTGGCGTGACCAAGTCGAAACTCCTCTTAGATCAGTGTTCAGTGTCAAAAGTAGTCTGGGATTTGATTGGTTTTGCTGTTCTTCGCTCAGTGATACGACCGACCAGATATGATCTTTTTGACGCGCACAAAGCGGTGTGCTTGTAGCTTCTTGGAGTTCTTGTTTACCTCTTGGGATGGTAAACTTTATCTCAGGGTAAGTTTCTAAAGAAACTGTGACGCTGCGTCGGTGGGAGCGTACAACAGGGTAATTTAGTATTACCAACTGAGGTGATAACGTAAATTAGTCGCCGTAAAGAGTTTTGGAGCTGACGTTTCGAGCGTTAGACCTTCGTCATTCGTTTTGGTTTTACAACAATGCATCAAAATGCGCCTTATCCCAGTTTAGATCATCAAAGAATTCAGCAGACTAATCGTTTTGGAACTTCATGTACACTTATAAAGCGCTTTTCGAGCTTGTGTCATGAAACCAAAAACCAAAGAAACAACACCCAATCAGAAGAAAGGTAGCTATCCGCACGAAAAGCCAATGAGAAGTAAAAAGCGAATTCAAGCTAACTGCTGCAAGCGCGGGAAAGCGCGAGTAAACAAGTCACGATTGTTTGAAGTTTAGCATTTGATTGGTTGAGAGGGCGTGCGAACTTTCTTGACCAATCACAGTGCAACTGCTGTTTGCTTTTGAAGCTTTGTTTATAATTTCACAAACGGTGACAACTGAACGAGTAGTTTACCCAGCCGCTAAACAGTCAAACATACTTTCGTCCGTTTATCGCTGCTTTAACTCTAATCGGCACACAACCTTCTTCTGCTTATTTTTGCAGCTGTTTGAAGAATCCTGCAAGCTTCCTGTCAAAGAGAGATTTAATTAAATCTAGCGAGCAGGATGACATGGAAAACAGTTTGATATCAGGCGCTAGAAGTATATCAAGTGAGTCTGAGGGGTCACCTCAGCCTAGCCCTACAGTGGGCAGAGGATATGAGGCGGTAGCATGAAAACAAAAGCTGATCTTTGATGGAAATTAGAGTTCTGATGGAAAAAAAAGGAAAAAAAGGTCGACATGTACATTTATGATTCATAAAATATTTTTGCTCGCGCGCGACTAATCTAAACGCATCACAATGACTAAACATTCTCCAACAAAAACTGGGGGATATTCGAGGATATCACCCAAGTGATATTCCTCATTTTTCAAACCATACATCCACTGAGATAAGTCTTAATTCAAGGTGAGAGAACGTTTTTTGGCTGTTACAGAAGAATGGGAATATTTTGTTTATGAAGTCGCACCAGAGAACGCCCAAAAGCAAACATTTCAAGTAGCATAAAGTAAGCTGTTCTTATATATTTTTTCGCGCGCGTTGCAAAATAATTGAAGGACAATTATCACAAGAGTCTCTATTTTGCGCGAAGATATGATTGTATATTTGTCCTTGGACACTATCTGTTCCTTAAAGCACAAATTTTATCTTGGGGCTTCGTTCTCAGAAAACTGTTTGCATCTTAATTGGAGCAGATTAAGTCCGCGGGCAAACATCCGCGCACATTTCCGCGACAAATAGAGGCTATTGTTTTTATTTTCATTTCGGATTCAAACTAAAACTTAGGTCAATATTTGATGAAGAGTATCATTAAGAAATGTGAAAAAAATGGTAGGTTTTTATCGGGATAAACTCACGCGAGAAAAGCTTGTAAATCACAAGTCGATGTAGTCTTCCGATAGTTGCGGAAGAGCGGAAAAAACGAGAGAGGCGTGGGTCGGGTCGCGTTTATTAGACAGACCAACCCAAACCTCCCTTTGCATTTTCACTCCCCTTCCACAATCGCGCTGTTTACTATCGAGCTTCGTTTTACTAATTGGACGCCTGGAACAGGCCAGTAAATCATGAGTCGAAAGAAAGAAAAAATATTATTTCCTCTAAAAGGGGATATATATTCAAATAGCAATCCTCTTTGGAGTTGTTTTCGTCATCTTAGCGGAAGTTTATTTTTCGGTGAAAACTGTATTGATTAATGAGATCGTGCATACCATTGTAGATCTGTGTACAGTTCTGCTTTCAAATCATTCACCAAGGGCTCGTGTGTGAATATCTGGCAGCATGGCTGTGCATTGTCATCAGGAGTAACTTACTAACAGAATATGTCCAAAATGTATTTCACCCTTTATTAAGGTAATATAATGAGTCTACATTTATTACACTTAAAATATAACTTTAATATATTGTAATGATTATTTATGAAGAAAAAATTGCACTGAAATAGAGATTTCGTCCAACATAGATATTACAGTAAGTTTAAACTCGCGTTGTAAATCTAATTTTTAATTAAGTTTTCTCGATATGTAAAGAATTTCATCCCTCTTATCATTGATTGAAAAATTATTTTTAAAAGTTGTTAATCTGCAATATGTAAAATAGAATTCGCATGGCTTTAACCCTTCAAACCAAAGACTAAAAAAATAACAATAAAACAGATCTTTAAAGCGTTTTGTCTTTAACTGGCTCAGTGATTGATAACTCTTATTAGAGCGCTTTTCGATTGAGTGACATACAAACAAAACCAGAGGTAAGCACAACGGCCTATTAGGAGAAAGGAAAGTACATTTAAGGGCCAATGAGAACTCACATTAAGAGTAGTGACGATTGTCAGTCCGAAATAAGGAAAATTCCTTTAAGAGCCGATGAGGACTTTAAGTAAAAACAAACAAACTGTCTAAAGCGCGGGAAAACGCGTGCTAAAAAGTGGTGATTGGTTTTTCTGTGCATCTGATTGGTTGATAAATAGATTGGCGCGGGTTCACAGGACCAATCACAGAGCTAAGTAAAGCAAAACCAATGCAATTCCTGATTACTTTCGACACTCCAAAAAAAATTGCTTTATCATGCAAAAAAATCGTGCAATTTACTCTAAAGAAATGCACGTGTATATGTTTTCTAAAGTTTATGAGCGCCATGCGGTATTGACGGGAGAAAGTGCGTGCGTGAAATTTTCAAGGCTCTTCTGGAGAAATAACTCCTTGAATCCACGGCAAAAAGTCCTTAATATCAGTATAGACACCAGGCCTCCCAGCTTGTGCACAACCCACTCCCCAACTTGTGGCTCCAACGAGAACGTACCTGCCCCTCTCCAGACACACGAATGGCCCTCCGCTGTCCCCTTTGCAGCTGTCTATCTTCCCCTGTTGGTAGCCGGCGCAGATCATACGGTCTGTGACAGTATCCCCGGTACTTTCCAGGTACTGCTGCTTACAGCGCGCATGCTCAATAATAGGAACCCGGGCTACCCGGAGTTTATTCGACGTCCACCCAGATTGATGGGTCCTGCCCCATCCAGTCACTGAGCAGTTTGTCCCCGGGGGAAAGTTGCTGGAAGCAGTTGGTAAACAGATGGGGCTCATGGTCTCGTTATATCCCGGTAGAGGAGTGGATAAGCGGAGAAGGGCAATGTCATAGTCGAAGATTCTGTGGTCGTAACTGGGATGCATGCAAATTTGGGCTATATCTGGAGAGAAAGAGAACACTGAAACTTAAGTTACACAGATAATATTTGGGTAGCAGAGAGAATGCTTTCCGGAAGACGCAGTGGAATAGCGATTAGCGCGCGAGACTCTGGGTCTTTTTGTTGTGTTCTTGAGAAAAAACTTGACTCTCGCAGAGCTTCTCTCCACCCAAGAGTATAAATGGGTAGCAGTGAACTCTCCGGGTGAGTTCTCCGACAACTTGAGGGTATTCGTAAACCAGGAAGGTTTATCAACAGCTTAGATGAGTTTACCGACAGCTAAGACCAATTGATTGACAATATCGCTGAGCTCGTCACCAACTTTGACCTGTTTGCACGACACTCGACAGACTTCGCCGACGATTGACTTTTTAAAATCAAATTCTGTTTAAAATCATTCTTCTCCCTTTTTTTCTGATTATTGACCAACCAAAGATATCTCAGCGCAACTGGTGCACGTCCGTAGGAAAAGCTTAAGAGGAGTATGGGTATGAATGGGAACAATTTACAAACATTTTAGATCTCTTTCATCCATTCCAACCTCCTTGTCCCCGCCCCTCACTTTTATTTTGGTCGCCCTTTCAGGAAATTCTGTGTTAAAGCTACTTTTTTTCATTATGAAATTTTATCAACGAACTTACTTTTTTTAACCTCATGCCCTTCAATGTTGTCGACATCAAATTCTCCAATGATAATTCTCAATCCTGGATTCGGTGCTACACAGCCTTTTCTGCTCGGATTGTTACGGTAAATACAATGAGCAGCGGTAAGTACCCACTCCCGATTAAGAAGCGATCCGCCACAAAAAATAAAGTCATCTGTGAGAGTCTGGAGCCCAACTTGCCACGGCCAGTCTCGATTGGAGGCTACCTGACCTCCAACAATACGACTCAGCTGTTTTGGGCTGCCACACGTTTCTGTAAAAAGACAAAGACAGCGTTTAGATGAGGAAATTTAGACAGGGACTAATCATCGATACCTCGCAGCGAACTCTCAAACCCCCATGAGTGACCAGCAATCCAATATCACTCTTGAATCCAACATCAAGGTTACAAGGATAAAGGAAATGATCACCAACTAAAGAAGCTCTTGATTGTTAAATAAATTCTCCTTGTCAGCAGCCTAAGAAATGTATACAGAACAGTATGGAGAATATGTTTACTGATCTTAAGGTGTAAAGGGTAAATAAGCTGTTAACTCAACACAATGTCTCCTGATGAATGAGACTTTCAAGTTTCGCTACGCACTTTTTGACGAACAGAAGTCAAAGGTGCGAAAGTCATTTGAAAGCGATGAAAAGGAAAGAAAGAAAAACAGTTTGGGAGAGGGCCTTATTTCCAATTTTCCCTTTCCTTTAAATGTCGTTCTGGCGTCACCTTCGCGCCACCGTTCACCAACTGGAGCTCTATCTAAACAGTAAACCAATCCCATGTTTGATAATCCACATTATTTCTCTTCTTGAAATTATGATAATCTGAAATTTGAACCTACATATTGTTTATTCTTACCGGACAGTCAAAGGTTTAAAATTGTAGGGGTCAGAATGTACCGATCAAGGCTACGTGAAGTGGGGGGGGGGCTGTAGAAAATTGACTGCCAGTGAGGGGAGATTGTTAATTAACCACAGAGCTTATGGGGGGTTAGGTAAATTATATCATGACACAACCCAAATCTCCGAGCCGCCCCCTCTCCTGTCCCTTTCATGACGTGCGACGTACACTATTAAGGAGATGGGTTCCTTCCATCCCACCTTCCCAACCCTCTCCTCCCTCCCTGTTCAGTAGAATGTCATCTTATATCGTGTGCAGTGAAACGTTTTATTTGATGGGATCAAAAGTTAAATCTCAAGAAAAGAGCTCGCTTGAAACAACTTTTGTAAGGTTACTAGTGCCTTTGACAAAAAGTCGTGTAATGAGAAAGCTCTTAAAAGTTAAGGCTACAACAACATTTTTACAGACGCACCAATATTCCGTTGCTTACAGAGATTATGACAAGATAGAACATCTTAACATCTAGTGCCTTAATAGCTTGTAACTCTACAAATGTTTCCTTGGTAGCAAATCCTCTATAAATATTGACTTTTCACCAAATCCTGTGAAACTACGAACGTTTGAGGGATCTATAGAACTCAAAGGAGTCTCTACAGAACAACGCTGTACTCTAAGACTGGCAATACCGGTTATCATCGAGCTCAATCTACGCTAACACAGTGTCAAACGTCTGCGCCTGTGCGCACGTTGCTATGACTAGGCGGTGCGCCATCAAGCTGTCAGAACCAAGTTGTCTCGCACGAGTTACAAACAAACACACAAAGCAGTAGGTCACGGTGTCTCAAACACTTGTAACGTTTTTGGTAAAGCTCAAAACAGAATCTTAAATCAACAGGATACCCGAGCTTCAATAAGCTTAGTCTTCGAAAAGTATCGAGTTTTCCTTCTCCACACTTCTGTTCATTTTAAAGTTTTCTATGACCGTTTCAATTTTGTTTCGGTTATTTAGCAAGACAGCGGCTGTTTTTATTGAAATTTTGCCAAGGTGATTGACGCGCGGCCGGGCATAATTTATTCTTTCGCGCACGTCCGACGCTTGACCGCTGTGTTATCTACGTGCTATCTAACTCCGGTAGGTCAGTGGTCTACCTTAAAATTCTTTGTATTCAAAATTCTTTTCTTGACCAACTACGGAAGGCTAAAAGCCGAAAGTTATGATGACTATGACAACGATGACAGCGTTTAGACGTATTTACCTAAGCAACACAGTGCCAGCACTTAGCTCCAGAAACTCAACAAGAAGTAGTTGTTTTAAGGCAAAATTGCACGTTAATATCAAAGTCAGTATCTGACCAACTACGCCTCTGCCCCTCCCTGATCCAACATAAACCCTAGCTTCTTATCTGGCGACTGCTGTGGGAGTGGGGGTACGTTGCTCAGATACTGACATGGATCCAAACTTTTCCTAAACTACACGGTAACTTGACATATAATAAAGTGGATAGCTGACGCCTTTTTCAACAAGAAAGCTCTCCCACGTTCCCACTAGCCGTTCCTCATAGCCAAATCGATCCAAGACTGAAAGGAAGGAATGTTGGCGTACACCCCGGGTTGATTCCTTTGAGCGCATCCAAAACCCCAGCTTACAGCCCCAGCCAGGACAAAAGCACCGTTTTCCCAACAAGCCAGCGGGCCTCCACTGTCACCTTGGCAACTATCGATTCGACCCTGTTTGTAGCCAGCACAGAGCATGCGTCTTGTAAGGCTCTTTCCTTGGTACATCTTTCTGCACTCGTTATGCTCAATGATCGGGACCTGGGCCACGCGCAGTTTATCGGACGTCGGCCCAGCCTCACGTATTTGGCCCCATCCGGTCACATAACATTGGGAAGTGTTGGAGGAGTTCCATGATGAGCTTGGCATACATATGGGACTCACAGCGTCGGAATAGTTCACTGGTTTGCTAAGGTGAAGCAGAGCGATGTCGAAATCCATTGTTCTCTCGTTGTATTTTTGATGGATGCAAAGTTTCGATACGCCTAGAGTAAATGGAAATTACAATGCGGGTTAAGTGACCATTGTGAAAACCAGGAACTGATAGATCAGCGGGAAAAATTCCTTACGCTCCAAAAAAGAGTTTCAACTAAAGAGGAATTGTTCTCTACGATATCAATACATTTTAAAGCAGAAGGGTGATGATAAAATAAAAATATGGAATAAGGAATAGCGCTCAATTCAACACCAAATGTATAGAAAAGTATGGCAGATATTGCAGGGAATATGATGTTCTGATCTTGGGAGTGAAAAGGTGCTCCCAGAAGCGGTCAACATGTATCTTCTCCCTATAATATCCATACATTATCCAGCAAACAGGTAATGAGAATCCTCAAACTTATCAGGTAGAAGTTGCTATCTTGGTCTAACATCAAATTCTCGTAACTGATTTACAAAGAAATGTGCAGCAGCTAGAGGGGAGAATTAAGCATTAGATCCCGTGAGTTTAAGTGTCAAGACTGGCTGCGCTAAGTTACAAGTTATCTTGACATCTGTGGCGTACTCTATTCATTTCCCATGGTGCTGACAAGGAGAATTTGTTTTACAATCAAGAGCTCTTTTAGTTGGTGACCATTTTCTTTATTCTTGTGAACTTATTGTTTGATTTAGCGGTGCTTTTGAAAGGAGAAATTAGAGACTTAATCAGCCTCAGGTTCAGCCACACCCGACCTTGCCTTTCCTTGCTTGAATCTGGTTTAGATTTAACATAAAACTGTGAGACACAAACAAAAACATAAAAATTACCACTTGAGATCTCGTGTCCTTCGACCTTCTTTAAATCAGACTCTCCAAGAACAACTTGAAGTCGCCGAGTGGAGACTGGGTCGACGCACATTTCATTTTTACGCCTTCTAAGAGCAAGATCTTTAACACAGTGAGCAGCGGTGAGTACCCATTCTTGGTTTAGCAGTGAGCCCCCACAAAAAATGCCCCCACCATGAGGTAGCTTGAGCCCAACTTGCCACGGCCAGTCTCGGATGTGAGTCACTCTTCCACCCACAATACGGCCAGAGGTCAAGGTTGAAGGTGATCGAGCTTTCACTTGTGTGAAAGAGAAAGAAAAAACGTGTTAACTGAAGACCTGACAAAGCGTATAAAGAAACAAGCCAACAATCTTCTTGCACATCGCAATAAAGTGAGGTCTAAAGAAAAAAAAAAGAGCTAATAATTCTTACATGGACACTGTTCCTTCTCGTATCCATACCCCTCGCACGGTCGTCCTCCGTGTTCTGGGGGAGGATTAATGCAGTATCGTAGTCTTGTGCGTGTCTCTATGCCACCGCAGTTTTTTACGCAGCTGCTCCACTTTCCCCAGGATCCCCAGTTCCCGTGAACAACTGCAAACAGTGAAGATTGAAATATTAGAAGCACAAACAACGACCAAGCCGTGCTATAAAACTAGTGCCATTTGATTATTAGACAAATTCTTCTTGTAAATACCACAGGAAATGTTCAGAGGACACTATGGAGAACTTACAACTGATGTTACAGTGCAAAGGGAAGCTAAACGTCAGATGACGCGAAGATGGATAAATCGAAAGAGTTCGAGCAAAAACCGTAGTTCAAAGGGTAAATGATTCTATTCATAGGATTGATCGTAATCCGGCGGATGAGTATAAACAAAATATACTGCGTTGTCTGCCGGATAGAGATCTATTCAGCTGATAATAAGCGCTATCCATCCGTGGCCAGATGGGCACTTGATTCACGTGCGGAGTTTTTCAAGTGAGTGAGGAAAGTAAACTTTTCGCGACGTTTCTATATGCGGGATGTTTCTGCAGGAACTCTTTGTGAACTTTTGAACTTAGCGCAAGAGACAAGTTCTTACCATCGTCGCCAGACATTTCGTCGTCACCTCCGTCGTCTTGACCATCATCGTCAGAATTGGGATTTTCTTCAGAGGTCCAAATTGTCTGAAAATGGAACGTACAAAAACTTTACAGTTTCCCTTGTGAAGTGGCCCAAAAGAAACTCTTTTTCAATTGATAAGTTTTAAATCTAAAAGTTGATGATAAGAAAAAATGAGTCTATAAAAAATACTATGAGGTTAGATTGATGAGTTTGTAATGAGCCTAAGAACGAGGAGTGGGATCAGTATTTCAACCTTTTAACTCAAATGGGTGTCCAAGACAGAATTTCTCCTTACAATATCAATGCAATGTTAAGCTGACAAGTGATGAGAATAAAGAAAAATATCACTAAATGAAGAAATTGCTATTTGATCCAATCCCAAATTCTTCAAACTAATATCATAAAAATTGTATGACAGACAGTAGGGAGAATTTGTAATGAGATCTTAGGAGCGAAAGGGTTAAAAAGAGAAAATTAATACACTTTCTGCACGCCGAGAATTTCGCCATTTGAGGACGTGACTGAACTACTTTAAAACATGTTAAGATTGTTTTTGATCAGCAGGTTGCAGACTTCCCGAGGAAAGGTACATTTTGGACTGTCTTTTTGCTATTATTTCCACGGCATGGTGTGTTCACCTAAATTTGAGAAATAACAATTCCATCCATTTTTCTCAGAACTGTCGGCCTCCAAGGATGATTGAGGTATTTTTGACTCCATGTCGAGCGACATTTATCAGTCAGATTAGTCGACTGATTTATCATTAAACAAAAAGCTATTGCTGTCATAACCTGTCCATTGTACAAGAAGTTCATGCTGTTTGATAACCTTTTAGATAACGCATTTCTCAACAATCACGTAACAGATACTTCAAGGGTAAAATATTTCGGTGGTTTTAAAGTCTGCCTTGTATTTATCGCAATATCAAAGCTCTTCAAGGTTCCACAGAGCATGAGCAAGGATTTATTTGAATAACCCTTTGTCAAACAGCTGGAACTGAAAAAAAAAATTGGATTAGTCGATAAACGATCGACCGCCTCCTAAAAAAAGGACCACTTAACATTTTTTGGTTAATTGGCGGAAAAAACGTTTTGATCAGAAGATTTGCTTTTTTGGGGTCTGTGATTCCGAAAACAATCTTGCTCTAGAAGACAATAGTAACCTCAGCGAATGTGGATTTCAGTGTAAAGAATAGCAATCTATTGAAGATTTGGAATTAACTTTTTTAGCGGTAGTTCTAGGCCAATCAGCATTTTTTTAAACACAAGTTGGTTTGTCTGGCTTGTAGTTATATTCCACACCTCCACTTAGTCTTCGTCGTTATCACTGTGAAAGCACTCAGCATAAAAACTGAAATAAACCAGATTTTCTCCTCTTTTTTTTCACGTGGCCAATTTCTAATTTGGCACCACTGTATTTCTGGCACTTTTCATCTTCAATACACAGCTAATTTTAAGTTAAAATCTGTGGCTGTTTCAGTTACCCTTTTAGTTCGTGGAAAAGTTTGGTTAGTCTCGTTAGTTCAAAGAGTTAAAATATTTTGAGAAAATATGGGACTCAGCGACATCAGGGAGAAACCGTTTAATATCAAACGGGACGACGTGGTTTTTTAGAGAACTGAAGCCCTAATCCTTCTTACAGACAGACCATCAATCAAGAAAACAGCTAAAATCAGACTCACCCTTGTTCCTGCGCATCCGTTGTGCGTGATAAGAAAAACGCTGAAAACAGCCATGAAGATCTTGAAAGCGGAGGCCATCCTGATAACTTTGTTGCCAGTTGCGCGAAAATCTTTTGATTTGTTTCAGTGCAGTTGATGCTGAACAACACAAAAATGGACAAAAGAACGCAGGAGAATTGATCGATTTTCTTTCAGGTCTCTCCGTTTGCCTTTCTGAACCGATCGGTCCTGTTGTGTGATCTTTTGTGGTAAGTCTCGGCGATGACAAGATGTAATTGAGATGCCGGCTTTTACACGCGGTTAGAAAACGCAGAATCTGTTGGGAGCCAACCTCGGTATGCCAAAAAGGAATTTAAGAAAATTTTCGTCCTCAGCTCTAAGTAACTTCGGTCCGTAACTAATAAATCTATTCTTGCTCCGAGCAATTAGCAAAGCACGTGAACGAACTAAGCAACACCTAGAATAGGTACACTGGGCTGAGAATATTTTAAACAAAGGGAAATGACGAAAGCTCAGAGCTATCAATGCGTGGGTCAATTCTACCAGTGTGAGTAGAACATTTCATGACCTCAGGAACTCGGTTAGAAGCGCAGAGTTGGAAAAATTGACCGAAAAAAAAACACATCATATCGCAGCGTGCTAAACAGAGGAATTTGATCTCATGCCAAAATTATGCGCCAAAGATTCAATTGTTGTAAAAATCCTGGAACTTTTCAAGCCCGACGGAAACAGGGGAATTGTGTGAAGTAGTTACTTTATAAACTTAGGATGCGAAGTAACATATTTTTTTTTCGATGACGTCGTTAACGTAAAGATAATTAGGAAACGGCTAAAGTTTTGGAATTCTTAGAGTTAAAACAAGTGCTTGTTAACACTAGGAGTTGGCAAAGGTGCCAACTTTTGGACGAGAATAGATTTTGGTCTCTGGCGGTCTACACAGTGTGAACTATCACATGGTTTCAGCTCACCGCCAAAGAATTAAAAAATTTTCGATTATATTCACAATCACTTTAGTTTGAAATCGACTCCCTTGTGACAATAATTTGTCTCTGATCAACACTGGATAAATGGAAAGTGAGAATTTATTACGGAAGTCAACTTTCAAGGAGGCTTCTCAAAAAGCTTAAAATTACATGATACTGACAAACGCGATTTAGCGCACTTCATTCGGCATGAAGGCTTGAGAAAACAGTTTGAAAAAAGGAAGTTAGCGTACAAATATAATTTACCACTTAATTGTCAAGTTGCTCCTTAATTAGTGGGATTTTTTTGGCAAGAACGGAAAACACGTAACAGAGATGGTGTGCCACCGCGCGTTTCCATTTTCCTTTATTTAAAGCAATTTTAATTCGTTACGAGCTGATATCGACGGGCAGAGACAAAGTAGCAGTCTTCAAATTTTAGACCTTACCTCTCAGCCAGCCACTTAAAAGTAATTTGATCGTGTCTTGCAAGCGCATGGCGAGAATGTTTATGTTATGACTGAACACAAGCACTCTATTAATTCTTAGGAAAGAACTGCTTCTCAGATACACTTTACTCTACCAGCGTAACGTGTCAAAGTTTCCTTACACTTTTGCAAAAAGAAAAAAAAAAAAGGAATGCAGGTTTTTCAGGGTTAAGAACTTTGATACAAATACTGATGGTATCACCGAATTGTCGATTTTTTCCTCTTCTGGACATCCCATTCAAAACCAGCGGGTGCGTTTCAGCTGGATATATATATGGCTCCTGTATATAGCTAGTGTCCTGAGGGTACTGACACGTACAAGGTCGTCCATTCTTAATGTTTTAAAAGGGTTATAGGGCCGCAGCAGGCAAGCATTATGATGACGATGGATTCAAGGGCGGGAAAAAGGAGAGAAAGGAGTATCCCCTATTTCCCTTCCCATCGTCCCTTGCGCAAAGCTCTCACGCACCTTCCCAGCTAATCTTTTAAAAAAATCGAGAGAAGACTGGGGACGAAGTTACTTAGAAAGAGGACGGGAAAGTAATTTTTTTATCGCTAGGGGGAGGGGGTGGGAGGATATTTGGGGGGATCACATAGTCTTCAATGGGAGACGGAGGGGGAACATTTGTCCCTAAAAGAGTAAAAAGGGGACTATAAAAGAATGACAGCTAAAGAGGGAGAGAAGAGGGAGAGGCAATAGAATCCTGCAGAGCCTAAGATGGGATAAGTCAACCTGTGACAAAACCAAAATCCACCGCTCCTCCCCCCCCTTCACCAGCTAAATTATGACCGTCCTTAATCGAGCACGATGTGTGCTCATAAAACTAACCCAGATTCTAAAAGTTACTCACTTCCCCGCCTTTCACGCCGACCTCACAAGCTGAGTGGGAAACGGCAGCACACACAATGACTATTAAATCAATGCACCTCCTACCTGGACATTTCTGATCGTTACAACTGGTTCTCTCAGAACTGGGTCCTTGACATGGACGGCCCCCATTCTGCGGAGCTGGATTGTTACATGTGCGGCTCCTTGACATGTAACCGCCTCCGCAGGTCTTTGAACAAGTGGTCCATTTGCCCCAGACTCCCCATTTTCCATCAACTGGCACTGAAACGAGACAAGAGAAAAACATCTCATTTTTTTGGTCTCCTTTTGCAGTTGCTCTTTACTTTTATTACGAGTAGGGTCGCTCTCTTCCCCAAATTTTTTACGTTACGAGAGCAAACAGCGGCTACAAACGTGACTACGATTTAATAACTATTCATTGACGTAAAACTGGATGCAGGCGCAAATTAACCCCACTTCGAAACAGCGAGGTTTCCGTTTTATATGGGACACGAATGTATACTCGTAACCTGGTATATTCCAAACCAACGGATAGTGGTATTCGTTTTAGATAGAGATAATAATTTGCTTTCTATCCGGAGTTACACTCCAAAGCTACCATTCTCAACTGAGTGCTGGTGAATAATCACTCGCTTGCGAGCAATCCCTCATTATCAGGGCCTCGGCACGAGCGCTTCTTCGCTTGCGGGAAAGAATGAGGCCAGTTGAGCATTGCGAGTGCGTGAGAGATCTGCACGGGTCTAGCTCATTGTTAGTGCCAGACTCCCAGCAAACCTCTAATCTTATCGTAAGCGGAGAAATGCGCGTCCCACAGCTCAAATGATGAAAGGCTGCTGGCAGGCTAACTTATCACTTCAAAGTGTTTTTTTCCTTTCCTTTTTTACCATTTTTAACTGCTCTTATCTTTTTAATAATTGTAAATTAGTTTTATATCTTAGGGGAGGGCCACGAGTTTACCAGTTCGTAACTGTAATGCGTCACCCTCGGTAAATGAAGTTGTTATTATTATTATTATTATTATTATTATTATTATTATTATAAGTTACCTAATCGATCTGTGCGTGCAAAAAAAAAAACCAAAAAAAAACCAAAAAAAAAAAAAACAGAGAAACAATCATGTTTTGTAACATACGAATAGTCTTTAAGGTTGGAATCTTTTTCAACCAAATGTCATTGCAACAGCAGAAAAAATAAAAACAACTCCTATGCCAGCTAAAACAACATCAACAACAACGAAAACGAAAAAAAAAAAGGAAGACAATAACTGAAGCCTTTTACCTTTGCAAGGTGATGTGTTACAAGCCTGGGACTCAGCAGAGGATCCTGTACACGCACGTCCCCCATTTTTGGGGGCTGGATTGGAGCATGTCCTTGTTCTCCTCTTGACACCCCCTCCGCAGGTTTTTGTACACGTAGACCATGGGCGCCAGGCCCCCCAGTTTCCGTTGACTGGTACTGAAAAATTTGAGGGTAAATTTGAATTTGAAAAATTGAAAAAGCAGAACTTGAAATAGCAAGAGTGACAAACCCAAAAGGAAAAATTACTAGAGCCATTAAACCTTTACAAGGAGAGAGAGAGGTGATTGCCAGAGAGCCCTTCACATGCACGTCCCTCTCTCTGAAGGGCACGATTAGTTCACTATATGAGGGCCATTGTCCCGAGGCTCAAGAACCTTTCATTGCCTAAATATCATCAGTTTTTCAAGGGAGAGTAATAATACAATAAATTATGCAAACAATCAATTTTTTTTAAAAAGTTATGGCGTAACGTCAAAAGATGAGAGATGACGAATTGCTCAGTTTTTCAGCTAATATAAATTTTTCATGAATTGCTCAAACGGTCCAGAAAGTGTTTACTTCTCTTACCTTTACAAGGTGTGCGGTTACACTGGAAATATTTGATAGAGTCGCCTGCACAGGTACGGCCGCCATTCCGTGGGGCAGGATTAGAACATGTTCGTCTCCTGCTCATGGTTCCTGCGGTTCCACAGCTCTTGGAGCAGGAAGACAAGGTACCCCAGGAACCCCAGTTACCATTCACAGCTGCAATCGAAAATAGCGAGTTTCAAAATAAAACAGGAAAAAAAGAACATCAAGACATCAAAAGTCCTTAGAGCTCTATTTTTAAAAAAACTTACGGCACCATCCGCAGCTTCTCTTGCAGTAACGATTCATGTAAGCATAATTCCGGCGGCATTCACCATTCCGCCTCCAACCAGCACAGTAGACACTTCTGTCATAGCATGCTGTAATAAAGTGATATTGATATGAGTGATATATCGGTGTGCATTTTACTATTAGTTTCGATTAAATTTTGCAAATAAAATTTTAAAAATTACATGAATAGCCTACTCCAGGCATTAGCTTAGTAAAACGGAGCGAAATAGCAAACAGCGTGATATTAGCGACAGAACGAAAACGCGGGAAGTTTGGGTCGGGTCGTTTATCACGCGATCCGACCCAAGCCTCGCTCGTTTTTATTTTTTTTCACTCCTCCGATACTAACGGAATAATTTTCTCTTATAAATGTGACTCACCGGCTACGGCTACAGGGGTACATATTCTGCAGCTTAATTTGCAGTTGACCTTCATGTACCGTGGATTTTTCCCGCATTCTCCATTTCTTGCCCACGTAGAACAGAGTCGATTGTTGTCTCTGCAACCTGATTTAAGATCAACAATGATTTAGTAAGTTGATGGCGGAGAAGATGAAAACCTGTCTTGTGAGTATCCCACAGGTAACCTACTTATAAAAATTCACCCCCACCCTCCCATCCCCCCGCCAAAAAAAGTCAACATCAATGCCTACAACCCCGGAGAAAAATTATTCACACAATAATCTTTAGCTATTTTGAAATAACTTGTAAAAAATTCGCTTTTGATGCACCACTCTCTCGCCTTTTTCGTAATTTAAACCATGAGATTTAACTTGTTAGAGAGAAGTGATTCATTAAATTCCAAACATTGCCTAGAATGGGATCATTAAGTTGTTTGCGTTTGAATAGATTCATAACCCCCGTGTAATTTTTCAAAATTTTTCACAGTATTTACAAACCTCTTGTCTGTAAGACAGCAGCTAAACTTTGTGCAGTACAAATCACAAGTATTGATAGCGTGATCAGATATGCCGTAATGGAGACCATTTCCAGAGAAAGACTTCAAAGGATCGGTAGAGATGTGGATGGGAATGTTTGAGACCCCGCGTTCGTGTCAAAAACCGTTAAAAATTTACAATTTCGAAAGTTAATGAATATCAATTAGGTGTACAGATTGTTTGTTCTCAGCGGGATTAAACAATAGGTATGTAAACAACTATGCACTGTTTGAAGTTTCTGTATATCGAAAGACATGAATATTGGAGACGGAAAAAATTGAATATTTACCTAGGGTTGTTTTCGTTGAAGTTTTTGCCTACATTTGGACCTTAAAAAACAGTACTGTATGCATAAGCGTTACGCTACAATAATTTGAACAAAAAATGCTCTATTCAGTAGAGAACTTTGAACTGAAGGCTGTTGTAATTTCCATCGATAATCAAGGCACACTGGAACGCTCGAAATATCTCAAATAGGCTCAGGGCTTAGGTTTCGAACGGCGTATGAGCGAGGAACTCGGCTAATTACTATTTGACTCCTTTCTAATAGAATTTGATTTAACTGGGAAATTTCATCTGTACAGAGCAGAAAGAAAAACACAGAGAATCGATTAGCAAACCCTGACCCTAACCCTTACTGGAATTTAAAACCCGATGTCTGCGAGAAAAGCCGGAGGTGGCTCTATTACAGAACCCACAAGAGGGGACACTTCGGTCAGCTCGCATCCCTTGTTAAAGGCTGAAAATCTACTGTAAATATCGTCCAAGTTCGACTTATTTCAGTACAAACTTCTGCTCTCCCGCCTCTCCGCCAGAAGCAAGGGTAGACTCTCCTTTTAGAGCTTCCGGTTCCGGTGTTTCGTAAGAACTAGAAGAAAGCGTCATGTGGCCCGAGCCGCGAATGCGATCGTGAGAAACATGTTTTTAGAACCAGAGGGAAGCCGATTCCAAAATAAGTCCACTCCAAGTAATCGCTTGCTTCAGTAGCAGCATATCGATCAAATAAAGAAAAAAGGAAAACATAACAAGCGAGGAGAAATTCCTGAGTCGCGACCTCAACAAGTTCGACCGTGTTCAGCTGCTATAACTCTCAGAAACTGCAGCATTTTGCTGTCGCTTAAACTCTTTTCTCGGCTGGAAATTGCTCAGCAGTACAGTGTCTCAAAGAAAACCTTCACCACCCTCGTAGATTAATTTCGAACCTCTGTTACATACAATCAGTCTCTAAAATTAGGATGCGGAATATTTAACGCAGTTACTCCTCTTTCTTGCAGGCCTCTAAACTAAAAACATACCACTTCCACCCTAAGTAAAATCCCACAGTGATTTACTTACCATACACCTGTGTCCAAAGGCCACAGTAAATGCATATAAGTGAAGCCAAGTACAGGGAAACCTTCATCTTTTGGAGAGGAAAACAAACAAGATGAGTTGTCTTCGTCAAAAGAGTTACGTGCCAAGTAAAATAAGTGACGCTTAATTTCAACTACTTGATGATGGATTTGCTTTTGTCTGTGACGTCAACCTTCCACTAAGGGGTAACTGTCTTGATATAGAATGTCCAGCTCTTGTTTGGCAGGCAAAATAGTCGACGAGGAAGACTATTGACGCGACTGCATTCACTCAAGTTTTAAGTCTAACAAAGACAAATATATAATCTAAGTTTACAACAATAATACTTCCTCTCTGATCCCTTCTCGTCTCGTATTTGCCAAGACGCGGATCTTCTAATGTCGCGGGTTTGTGATTGAAAGCGACACCTAATTTGTCATCACTCGCGTATCCTTTCTGTAGCTTCCCTTCGCGCGGCCTCGCTCAAAAGAGGGGGGGGGGCCCAATGGTGGGGGAAGGGTAGGACGAAGTTTTGTTGTTAGGAAGGAGCAGACAACTGCAGGCGCCTACAGGACGATCTTTGAATGAAGACAGAGAAGAAGCCTAGTCCTGTATTGATTATCAATCCACTGCAATTGCAAGCTGCTAAAATTTTGTCGGGTGTCAACAAACAGAAACTCGAGATAAGAAATTGCTTGATTGCATAATTCTTCTGTTCTAAAATGGTCTCTTATCGAGGGAGAAGAGGGTCCAGCAGAAGCTTGACCCAAGCTTGGAGTTAGACCGCACCTTGGCGTGTAAGGGTGGCGAGCTGAAAAAAACAAAACAAAAAAACAACAACAAAAAAGGACGTGCACTACTTGAAAAAACACCACGAAGTATCTTCTGATACAATAACAGCGGGGCAAGTACCTAGCGCAAAAAAAAAATATCAAGCTACCTTTCAGACACAGAAGAACTAGCGTCATAAAGGAAGTGAAAAACATCTTCGCGTTTATTCAAGTATTTCTTTATTCACCGAGCGTGATATGATAATGGGCTTTCTATCTCTTTGCACACCATTTTTAACAAAAGCAGAGGAGCTATGAACAATAAATGCCCCTTGATATCGGCTTTTAGGAGAGATGCAAAACAAACCGGCAAAGTACAATGGGATGGAATATGCTCGAATTAATTGACGCGCATTCTTGCAGGAGCCCCTCGAAGAATCGAGATTCGCTTGCGCGCACTAAGCTTTCACGCTATTCATCGGCCTGCGTGACACTTTTTGATCCGCGCGAGATCCGTGCGAGTGGAACTTTACAGGGGGAACTTCCAGTTTTCCATCGCACCAGTTGTCTAAGAGAAGGTCTTCTACTTAGGTACATGAACACCAACACAACAATACAGCATTTAAGTTCTGACAAGAGAAGATGATCTTAAATCACCCTTTCTTGACTCTTACAAATTATTACTGATTCACTGAATGAATGCAACAAACACTTACGTACAAAACCTGGTACTCTTACGTTCAGTAACTTCGCCATCTACTAAGCAGAGTGCGTGTGAATACAATGCGCAACATTGCCACAACACCCCATTTTTTAAAATGAACACGCAAATGTATTAAAAGCAAGATGATCGCCAAATGTCATCATGTTATCAATATTCCTGACACAAAATCTTCGCTTGAAACAAGTCCCTTCTTGGTATGATGTCATATTTCAAGTGGCCCATGATCTCTAGCCACTCAAGAATCCAATGGGATTATCAATTATGTTTTAGTAGCAATTCTTGGAAGGCAGAGATCGTGGATTGAACTAATTCGAATAATTTAGTTTTCTTCTTTCTTCTTCTCCTCCTCTTCACCAGTGCCTGCGGTTTGTTCGCTACCTGAAGACGAGGCTCCACCTTCCCTCTCGGAGGCCATCTACAACAAACACACGAGAAAGATGATTGACTGGGAAGGGAGTGGCGTGAGTTCATGAGCAAAAAGAAAATAAACAAGACGACACAAAGGAAAATCAAAATATACGACCATCGTTGTTTATTATAACTGGATAAAAGCTGCGCGCAAATTCACATTTCCTAAGAGCTGATTTGAGCCTGTGGGAATTCAGTAAAATGGGCACGAGCATCGTGCCAGAGCATCTTTTTTTTTCTGGCAATTAGTTGCTGTTGCTAAACATCATCTCCTGCTCCCCATTTCAGAGTCGAAATCAGCTCTAATACATTGCGACGTAAAGTTTCGCCCGGTACTTTCTCCTTAAACTTCTTTTTTCATCAGTAAATCGCACCTCATCGATAAAATCACAACTGTACCTTCTTGTATGCCATTTCAAACAGTTTGAGTGACTTCTGTTGCAATTCACTGTAGGCTTGTCGAATGGACTCGGCTGTTTCACTGTCTTTTCTCGCCAGCACCTCACGCACTTTGTTTATCTCTTCTTTCAGCTTATCAGTCTGTTATATTAAAAAAAAAAAAAAAAAAAAAAGCGAAAAGACATTCAGGCTTGTGGCCCATTATCTAGGATTCAAAAGTGCTGCTGAAATTAATCCAATTATTTTGACCCTTAAAAATTCGGTGTTAAATCGACCAATTTCATCTGCTTCACAATTTCTTTCTAATGGGAAAATGGAATAAATCTTAACAAGAAACTCCTCTTGGGTCACCGCTGGGAGGGAAAGGGTAAAGATTCCTCCCTGAAAAACGGCAAGTGACCCAACCCAGGTCTCTTCCACCCATTGCATTTGATTGGTTGAGAGAGTCGTACAGGTTTCTGGACCAATGACAGAGTAAAGTAAAGCAAACCCAATCCAATCTTGGATTACTTTCAACACTCAATTGAAAATTGCTCTTCAAGGCAGACACAGACTTCACTGTGAAGCCAATTTTACCTCATCACTTGGCAGCTGATCTTTGAATTCTTCCATTTTCGTTTCTGTATCATGGATGATTCCTTCAGCCTGGTTCACTGCCTCTGTTAGATCCTGAGGAAAATAAAAAGACAAGTCTCCAATTAACATGTACATGTACATGTACACTAAATTAACAAAAATCTTTGAAAATGAAAGATCTTGCATAATGTACCTGTTTTTAGTGCAAAAACCTTTGCCCTTGGAACCATCGATCATTCTTTATTTATCCCCTGTGGGGGGGGGGTGGGGGCCGAGGTTGATGGAGGATTTTGGGGAATCGCTTGATTTTCAAGGAGAGCAGAGGGGAGAGGGGGCTCAGTCGTCATTGACAAAGTTCATGGGGGGGGGGGGGAAAAAGAAAGGAAGTAAGTGAGGGAAGTCATTAGGTCATTAGAATACTAGAAAGCCTTATGAGAAGATCAGTCAAAATTCCTTTGTGACACAACCAAAGTCCAAATTCCCACCGCTTCCCCTTCCCGGAAAAAATAATGACCATATATTCTCCCCATAACTCGTACATATATACTGTATATTTACATATACCTTTACTCCACTTACCTTCCGTTGTCTGTCAGCATCAGCATGTTTCTCTGCCTCTCTCACCATGTTTTCAATTTCATCTTTGCTCAGTCCTCCAGATGACTGGATGACAACTGCAAACAGGAAGCCTCTCCATCAGTAAAAGAGACCGAGGAACAACCTTCTAACATCACCATACTACACTCACTAAAACTAAATGTATTCTACATGTAACTGTAAATTCAAAATGTGACAAAGCAGTGACTTACTTTGTTGTTCTCTGCCTGTTCCTTTGTCTCTGGCAGATACATTCACAATACCATTGGCATCAATGTCAAAGGTCACTTCCACCTGTGGTACACCACGAGGGGCAGGAGGAATTCCAACCTATATTCCATGAAAAAAATCACAACAGAAGTTATGGTTGCAATTGTCCAAACTATAAGTATAACAAAAGACAGAGATACCTTAGAGAAGCTTGTCATGGTTCCTGTCCCTTGAAAACATTTTCTATCTATGGATGTTTCACATTTCTTTCACTTATTTTACGTGACAGCAGTTGTTTTGAAATTTTGTGTGGGAAATCGGCATGCAGTGGGCCATAATTGATCTACTTGTGTATCACTTAAGTTTAACCACTATGTCATTGCACATCCTTGTGCCATCATGTCTTTCCTATCATTACATCCTAAATTGGCGGTTAATTTTTAAAATTATAGTATTTTGGCCAAGGGCCAACAACAGTGTTCCATGAGACGGTTGTCAAGTCTTGCCCCCTTACCAGTTGGAACTGCCCCAGTAGCTTATTATCAGCAGCCATTTCACGCTCTCCTTGGTGTACTTTGATTTCCACCTGAGTTTGGCCATCAGCTGCTGTGGAAAACACCTGAAAACAAACCATAACAAAACTGTACAGTTAAGTAAATTTGCACCAAGAAAGTCTTTCATGTACATGTACATGTACAAGCACATTGCTTTTACTGTGTATTCCCAAGTTTTCTTGATTATTAAAAGTCACCAAACCAGTTAGATACACTGTATTTATATAAGAATGTCTTTTCATTTTACCCATATTTTGATATTTAAAATGAATACAACACTAATTAGAACACCGCAAAAACTGGTGTATAAGCTCACTTGCAGATACAATGTAAGCTGCACCTCGAGTGCACCTTGGCAAGTGAAATTTTGGAAAAAGAGATTTTGAAATGAAATTGAAAGAAGTTAAAAGTGGAGTCTTGAAAAAAGTTCCTTTATTTTGGTTACATCATTGAACATACACACTCATTAGGTCTAACTAATTATGAATCCTTCCTTATATTTCCAGTTATAATGGTATGGAAATCAACTCAACCAAGTAAGACTTATGTTTAATCTTACTCTGATAAATCTTAAAAAAAAAATAGATCAAAAAATGAAACCAAGACAAACATTGATGATATTACTTGCATATAAAATGCATGAAGCCCCAGAGAGCAGATATTTTCTTTCAGTTGCTTACCTGACTTTTCTTTGTTGGAATTGTTGTATTTCTGGGTATCAGCTTCGTGAAGACTCCACCAAGAGTTTCAATTCCCAATGACAGTGGTGTCACATCTAACAAGAGCACATCCTTAACATCACCAGACAACACACCTCCTTGGATGGCTGCACCTACAGCTACAGCTTCATCTGGATTCACAGCTTTGCTAGGGGGACGACCAAAAATCTCTTGAACAGTAGATTGAACCTGGTAATAAAACACATCAGCAAAACTTAATTTATCTTCATTGCTTGCTGCTGCGAGTGCTAATTTCTGCTTGACTTCATACAATATTTTGAACAAATTGCTGTGCTGAGTGAGAAATTAGCTAGCTAGCACAAGCTGAAACAAGATTTATTCTTTTCTTTTGGGGGGGGGGGGGGGGGAGAGTGGGGCTGATGTAGGAGTTTGGGCTCTTACCTAGTGTAGAAGACACAGTATACATCACAATAGAATTTCACCACTACCAGAAATAAGAAACAATGAAAACAATAGTGTGATGTACACTGTGTCTTCTACACCAAGTAAGAGCTGGAGTTTGTTGGTCTAAAGTTGTGGTACACAACACAGCTGGGATGGAAATAATCTGTATTCTGCCACAGTATTATAATTATTACTAAATGTAGTCCAGGTTCATACAAACACAATGCCAGTGAAATTTCTTTGAGCCAAGCAAAATAACAGTACCTTGGGCATTCTTGTCATTCCACCAACCAACAAAATGTCACCAATGTCACTTTTACTAATATCAGCATCTTTCAGGCATTTCTTGCAGGGTTCCACAGTCCTCTGGATCAGGTCACTGACAAGAGACTCAAACTTTGCACGTGTCAACTTCATAGCTAAGTGTTTAGGTCCACTAGAATCCACTGTGATGTAAGGTAAGTTAATGTCTGTCTGTAAAAAATTGAGAAAACAAGATAAATAACTGAAGATATACAAAATAATTTTCAAAGAACAAATTCTATATTAGCAGAAAATAAAAACTTATGAACAGTTAATACATGGAAATTCCTGTAAAACTCTCTTGTAGCAACATCACTTTCGTCCATTTATGATAAAACTGCCATGAAAAAGCATTCATCTCCCTTCAAAATCAATTTTTTTGGATGTTGAAACAACTTCTTGCCATCAATTTTCTTCAGGCAACTTGCAATGTTTTCCCTGTGGTAATCCCAGAAATCTTTGTGCAAATGCAAGGATCCAATAACTGATAACTCATTCATTGGCCACTCCAGAGTTTTTGAGGGTGATAAAGCAGTTGTGCTCTAAAAATCAGATCTGGAAACTTCTTACAGTAGCCAGTTTGGAGTAAAAACTCAGTTGATAAAACCAAATTACAGTATATTGTAATACCCCCTAGCATGCAGCACCACAGTTTCTGTAGAAACTTTCCCAGCTATTCCTTTACAGTAAAAAAAAGTTGGTCTAAATATGGTGTAACTCTTTTTGTGAACTACATTGATGCATTATTCACTGTAAAAGTACGTACTTGGACTGATGATGACAGTTCAATTTTAGCTTTCTCTGCTGCTTCTCTTAGTCTCTGTAAAGCCATGTTATCCTTGGACAAGTCAACTCCACTCTGAAATTTAAATTCAAACTCTATGAGTTTTAGGTTTGATGATATCTCAGAAAAAAGTGAGTTTACAATTGCTCAACATTGATGTAAAAATAGAAAGACCGTGCTGATAAAATTTTGCAAGTAGAATTAACCTCTCTTTTGAATTCTGTAATGAAATGCTGAAGCAGTTTGTTGTCAAAGTCTTCTCCGCCAAGATATGTGTCACCATTTGTGGCTTTAACCTGTGGATCAAGGAAATTAGTTAAGTGCAAGTGTAATTACAGGGTGTACAGGTGTATGTACACTGTACAGTGTTTTTCGGTCGGTAAACCTTGACCCTTTGTACCCTAACATCAGTATGCATATTCTCCATACTGTTCTCTATACATTTCCTAAGGTGCTGACAAGGAGAATTTGTTTAACAATCAAGAGCTTCTTTAGCTGGTGACCATTTTCTTTATTCCTGTGACCTAAATGTGTGATTCAGTGGTGATACAGCAAGGAGAAATTAGATGCTTATCACTCTCAGGGTGTTGAGGGTTAATGCAAATTTGCCAGCAAGTGAAACCTGTGTTAAGTTATCAGAATCACAGTGGTGAAAAAATCAACAAAGCCTGATGAAACTAAAAAAGATCAATGTACATTTACTGCAACTTAAGCACAAGTTTTAACTGCTCGTTCATACTCTATGTAATTATCAGGACTACAGTAGCATGAATTAGTTTTGGTCTTCCTGCACATGGGTACAATGCATGTTTTTAATGTGCATATATCTTTGAGCTACACTTGGATTGTACATTTACATGTAGTTGATGCTGATTCTCACCTCAAAAACTCCTTTCTGTATTTCTAAGATGGAGATATCAAAGGTACCACCACCAAGGTCATACACTGCAATTCTATAGGTTGAAACAAAAAATTCAAAATTCTACTTTAAACTTCCTTCAATCCATTTGCTTCCTCCAATGTCATTTCTTCCTTCAATGCATATTCAAAAGTACATGGGATTGATTAATCTCGCTGTACATGGTCAGGGTTGTTGCTAAGTACCAGCTGCTGGCAAATTTTTTCAGATGAGAAAGCAGGTATTGCAGGCTGCATTTTTAGCTGGAGATCCCTTAGTAAAGCACAACAGCACCTCTGATGTTATAACCCTACAATTGTTCAATATCAAACCCAATATCATCTTACTGAGGGGACTTATGGGTAGATAAATGTATATGTCTGATTAATCTAACATATCACAAGTAAAATAATTCAAAACATTCTTTTGAGCACTTCATTTTCAAAGTGTAGTAAAGAACTGGGAACAAAATGTTGTTACTGAGTCAGGAATCTAGTTGCACCCAAAATACCTTTTTTAAGCTGCCTCACTTGAAATTTCAACTGGCAGGCTAAGTTCTTAGCAAAACCCTGCACTGTTCCCAACAACAATAATACCAGAAATACAATGGGCAACAGTAGCAAGCTGATCAGAAGGGTAGCAACAACTTACATTTTGTCTTCAGATTTGTCCATGCCATAAGCCAATGCAGCTGCTGTGGGTTCATTAATCACCCTCAGAACATTCAATCCAGCTATCTGGCCAGCATCTTTTGTAGCCTGCACAGAAAGAATTTTCACATTCAATTACTAAAATTAATATGTGCATCATTGGCATGGCTCCCATTTTCTGACAGAGTTGAGGTCAACACATGTAAATTATTTCTTGAGGACTTAAATTTACAAGGAAGCTTCCCTGTATTTATGCAAGATCTATTAAGATGTTGTACAGATTTAAAGGAGCTTGTTGCCACAGAAACCTAAATCTTGTCTGTGCTCCCTTTAATTGCAAGTCTGAGGAAGGAGGAACTTTTGATATCTCTGTTACTGGATTCTGGAATTCCCTGCCAAATACTTTAAGGAAAGTTAGGATTTCTAAAACCACCTTCAGAAAGGCAGCCCATGTTTATTTTTTACCAACTGTAGGTACCAAAAAGTGGATTACTCTTACTAAATGAAGATTGATCATGATCAGGCTATTACACTGTCTTGATTGCAATGCTGAAACTGTTATACTGATTTTTCTACTGTGTAGTACTCGCAATCAAAATGCTTTATAAATCTTATTTAGCTGTCCAATCTATCTTGCCATTCCTTTTTATATCAGACTTGTATATATACAGTGTATGTAGTGTTTCTGTGCATACAAGTATTTATCATTATCCATATGGATTGAGGGCTACAAGTTTCTCAGTTGAATAACTGTTTAAAGTTAACTCTTGTTAAATAAAGTTGATACAAGTATTTATCATTATCCATATGGACTGAGGGCTACAAGTTTCTCAGTTGAATAACTGTTTAATGTTAACTCTTGTTAAATAAAGTTGATTCAATTGTAAAGCAACATTGACAAATTTACACCGTAAGTGTATCATGTAGAGCTATCATTTTTTTACATGTAATGCGATACAAACCTGTCTTTGAGAGTCATTGAAGTAGGCAGGCACAGTGACCACAGCATTCTTGACTGTTGTACCTAAGTAACTGTCAGCTGTCTCTTTCATTTTCATGAGTACAAAAGCTCCAACCTGACTTGGTGAATACATCTGGCCATTGGCTTCAAACCATGCATCCCCATTTGAGGCTTTGACTATTTTGAATGACACACTTTGTCTAAAATAGGAAAAAATTAATTAGCTGTTGTTTCATTGACCAGAGTTCTAAGTTGAATGCTCTCTAAAAGCACTTTACATGAAAATGCATCCATGACATAAAATTAATCCAAATACTTACGCATCTTTCTTGATCTCAGGATCATCATATCTGCGACCAATGTACCTTTTGGTGGCATACAATGTATTTTCTGGGTTTGTAACCGCCTGAGTAAAAAGTTTCATATATGATGAAGCTTTAATTAGTAACACAGCACATACCATGGTTGCTGAGTGAACAGTACAGCTTGATGCTTAAAAAGTCTGTACTGTAAAGTTGATCTTTAGATGACAAGTTACTTTGGAAACTTCTGTGTACATTAACCTTTGGACCAGTGCAAGTTTTAGAAGCTACTGGCAAATAAACTAGATGCAAGTGTGCATATTTAAAATGGATAAATTTTCAAAATAATTGTACAATAATTTACCTGTCTCTTAGCAGGGGTACCAACAAGTCTCTCTCCTTCCTTGGTAAAGGCTACAACTGAGGGTGTGGTTCGGGATCCCTCTGCATTTTCAAGCACTTTGGGTGTCTTTCCTTCCATCACAGCCACACAGGAGTTTGTTGTTCCAAGATCAATACCACAAACTGCACCTCGCACAGCTTCAGAGCTATGACATAAATTCAAACTTATTTTGTATGACTTCCAATATAAATTTACAACCATAACACATATGCAAACAGTTCTTCTTACAATGAATTTGACTAACAAAACAATTGTAGGAGATTAGATTGAGTTTTGATTGATAATTCTCCCCTCTAGCTGCAAAACCCTTCCCTGTAAATCAGTTATGGGAATTTAGTGTTGGATCAATATAAAATTTCTACCTGATAGGTTTGAGTATTCTAATTACCTGTTTGCTAGATAATTCATGGATATTATATGAAGAAATTACATATTACGGCCTCTTTTGCTACCATGAGTGAGTGGTAAGTGTATTTGTCAGTAGGTATGAGGTCTCCAAAGTTTAAGTATGATATCTGCAATTTATTATTTACTTCATGAACAACAAATGTAGATGCATGCTACTCCTTACGATATCAGTGCGGGTACATCATCAAGAAGAAAGGCTCAGAGAAAAACGAAAGGTAGCTTATATGAAGGATATTGTATCACCTGATTGTACCTTCTTCTCAAAGGTACATGTAAAATTATACAATTCCCAACAAAAATGTTGGATCATGTTTTGACAAGTGTATCTACGCACAAGTATTATCTGAATTCAGATGATCAGCTAGAAGACATGTAAACATTCCCACTGAATTGCCAGAACTTAGAATTTATGCAATATGGTAGAAGTCTTGCATGAAACCCTACCAAAAATTTTTCATAGTATTTCTAGGGGGCATATGGCGTAAATAAAAGATCTCAAAGAATTAAGCCTACGTAGACAACGTGAATGAGATCGTGAACAACACGGGAACAGTAAAAACCCAGAAACAGTCTCTAAACTGTATGAAGTTTCCTAATGGTCGATTACATAAGATATGTACGTGTACTTACAGTAGATCAATCAAACTTGAAGTTGAACTCGTTTACTGAAAGATATTCTCCTCCAATTTTTTCTCAAGTTGGAAAGTAACAAATCAAGAGAATTTGGTATGAAAATTTTTTTTCCATCTCTATTAGCCACATATAAGAACTGGAGCGATTATTGGCCCTGATGGAGACCACGTGGAAAACTGGATTACCTTTAAAATATCTTAGCTACCCAACAAACTACCGTAATCTTACCTGTAAGGTCGACTTTTACAGAATCCATTTTTTGACAGGATATCTTCGGTAATAATTCTCTGTTGGTGGCGAAAACGAGACCGATAATTAGGAAATCTAGAAGTGGTACATATATGTCAAATAACCGGCACTTATAGCGATCGAGTCGTACCTGATTGCTGACAGACCCAAACGATCTCAGCGAAGCCACATGACGGGCAACCCTGGCAAGATGCTTGAGAGATCTTCGAGAAGTGTTTAAAGTAGACCACATTTTCAATTTCTAGTGATTTTGAGAAAAGGCGTTCGAAGTACAGGCCTTTGGTAGCTGATGCAAGTCGTAAGGTGCAAAAGACTTTTCTTGCGTAAGTGGCGCGCGTGCGTAGGACAACTCACGAGATTGCCATATTAGGAGAAGTAGAGCTCAGGCTCTTCATTGTCAAGTGTCACGCGGACCTTCAATTTCTCATCCCAGTCTTCCACGCGATCCATGGTGTCACAGGAAATTAATAGGGACAAGCACTTTTAGTTTCAAAATTATTCCATCATTTACCTGTAGAAAAAGATGATAAATATTGAAAAACGACAATCAACCGCAACCTGACACAAATTGGGCAATTTTCTGTTCTGAAATGTCGAACATTTTCCCTTGCACTTGCACTTTGGTAATCTCTAAGTTCCACGAGTTTCTTCATTTTTTGCCTTGTACGATTCTTTGTGGAGGAGGAAAGCCAGCCGCAACCAACAAGACTGACTCCAGTTTTCTGCAAGTCGGTGCTTCTAAAATTCCACTCAAAAAGTCGTGTGTCTTTCAACTCCACCACAATTGAATTTCCCTCACAAAAAAGGAATTACTCAATTATTAATGAACAGGAGCTTGTTACCAGTTTTTAGTCCTACGATCTTCTATACTTTAAGTCGCATTGTCCAATAGGCCAACCGGGAAATTCAGCAGGTGGAAAAAGACAATATCGTCTTCACCGCACAGTATTTCTTGCAAACGCAGACAGACAGTAAAAGAAAGAAGTCTTCAACTTTAAAAGAACGCAGTTTGAAGATGAGGCAACTTATAGCCCTAGTTTTATTTTCCAATTTAGCTATATGTAAATGCAGTGAATTCGAAGCCGAGTCACCTCTTGATCGAGGTATGGAATGTTTAGATTCACGTTATGATTTCACTTCTTTGAAAGCAGTTAGAATGAATGTTTTGAGTGACTCTGCCTTGAATTTGAATTTTTCAGGCTGGGGAGAAAAGATAGAATGGAAAACTTTGGAAGATGGTTTGAAAGCAGCGAAAAAGAGGTAAATAACTGAGTTATTTTAATGATCAATGAAATAAAAAGATTGGAGTGAAGAATAAAACAAAATGTGTTTTGAGGGGCGCTCTTTCTGATCAGTAGAAATGTTGCAAATCGATCATGAAACAATTACCGTATGAATGAAAACGAAGCACTCAGATTCCTATGTTTTACATCTACTTTCGAAAAGTATATCGGATAGTTGATGTGTATATCGAAATTCGAAACATACAAAGGAGCATTCTATCAAATCCGTGGTGAGATTTCAATTAAGGAAAATTTGCATTTGGTCTAAATGAATTAGCTAACAACTTTATTCGAGCTTTATGAAAATCAGTCCCTAGTCTCTGTTTATTCTCATCACAAAGTCTGTTTTTAAGTTAGAAGGAATTAAAATTGAAGTCAGTGGAACTCAGAGAATAGGAGATGTCCATAGTCACGTGGTATTAAATCGTAATAAAGCTACATTATATAGAGTCTGGCGAAAGAACTCAACAACTTCAGTTACGGTTACGACAAGTTTTCATGTGCAAGTACGCTTCTATTTGATTGATTCACTGTTAGTAGCTGACATGGAGTAAAAGAGAAACTCTCTGTTTGATAGTTGTTTTATGATTTATAAACACAACGAATTCTTTGTTTAGTTAAGCAAGAGCTGTAGATGTCAACTTTTGACTTGCGACATTTTGCGAGGACAGGTTGTTCCATTATCTATACTGTAGATCATAGAATAACAATGGCTATAATCGGGAAGAAAAAGTCTTTTGCAAGTCGTTTCTCTTAGATTGTGCCATAGTCATTTCTTCAAATCGAAAAAATTCCAAAACTTGTTATGGCGAAGAGAGGCTCCATTTCAAACTCAGATCTAAAAGGCCGATACATTGTATGATAAACGTAAAGGGATGCTCTGATACACTACTTGCTCACATCTACCTTCTATCGATGCGGCTTACGTCGGTCATTTGTAATTGTAACTTTCCAATTTTCTTAGGTTACCACGCTTTCCTTACACTAAATCACAAAAAACTTGAAAAATACAATTCCTCCTTTCACAGTGATAAGCCACTAATGCTGTTGATTTACAAGACCTGGTGTGGAGCCTGTAAAGGTAAAATATTCTCTCTACTTTGTTGCTGAATTACAAAAATAAGGTGAAGCGAAAATATGATTTAAACTCTTCATCGAATGGAAATATACTTCTTTTCGGATAGGTAATCATGGAAATAATAAAAACACCGTGCTAATTTTTCCAAATATTTCTGATTTGCTTTTGTTATGTGTTATGAATTACTAAAATTAGGAATGCTCTGGCTAAGTGTTTGGGAAACGTTTAGGCCTGTTTGATTATCTTGCAGTCCATGCGCGAGTCTTGCGAGCGTTGGTTTGCAAGTTATGCGCTGCAAGACCACACATTTAATTTTACCTTTTGAGTGACGAGTCCTTGACCGTTGTAATAGGGCTTCTAGTAATTCTAGTACGATAATCGTCATCGCTAGTCCTGTTTGGGTTTCTCCTTGACCTTGGTGAAAGTCCTTAACGGGAAATTTTGCTGAGTTTTTTTCTCTAGAAGATTGGTTGTTTTTCAAGTATTTCGTTGTCATTTCGAATGTCTCGTGAAATTTTTTGGGTTAGCGTTCTCAAAATACGTTTACTCTAGCTCGGTCAGTTGTACCGTAACTTCAAACATGCCTACCGATAGGATATTTCAGAGCATTTACTTCAGGCTGAATTAGAGAGAGAGACAGAGACTCAAAGAGTGAATAAAAGTTCCTGATCAGACTCCTAGTGCCTTACAATGGCGCGGGAGTTGATCAAGCTGGTAAACCTTTACAGTCCAACATAAGTTTCTTCTTCGCAGCGTTGAAGCCCGACTTCGCGAATTCTCAAGAAATCGCAGATCTGAGTAAACATTTTGTGATGGTTAATGTAGAGGTAAGCTCGAGAGACCTGAAAAAAATTGCAAAGAATTTGAAGGGGACTTGAAAAGCTTTGAAACGATCTCCCTGTTTCTTGAAACCCATTATTTGATGGATTGATAATGACAGACTCCAAAATCCAAATGTAGCTGGCATTAAATAAACAATTTATGGTAATTTTGTCAACGGAAAAAGCTACGGTAACCATAGTTACACTAAACCTCTAAGAAACATCTTATTCTGGCTCAGTAAAAGCCACTCATTCCCATTTTTTAAAATTTGCAGTCATCAAGTTAGAAAAAACACTGATCTATAGAATAACAAGTTGGTGATGATTTCAAATGTCATTGTGAATCTATTCCTAAATGTGAATAATTAGGGGCACTTTCAGGCCCATATATATATATAAATTATACGTTGATGTATTCTGTATGTCTTTAATTCACACGATCTTTCACTAACAAATAGTTGATTTTTGCTGTAGGATGAAGAGGAGCCAAAGGAGGAAAAGTACCGCCCAGATGGAAGATATATTCCTAGGATCTTGTTTTTGTGTAAGCTTTGTGTTAGTTTCTAGAAACATAGAGCAGTTTTCTCAGCGACCAATCAGAAAGAGGTTTACATCGTCATAAGCCAATGAGAGATCATAATCAAAATAGGCAAACTGCTTGAAGCGCGGGAAAACGCGAATGAAAAAGTCGCAATTGTTTTTAGTTTTACATCTGATTGGTTGAGAGGACGGCGCACGTTTTCGGGACCAATCACATAGCAAAATTAAGAAGAACTAGGGCAATCCCTGATTACTTTGGACATTCAATCGAAAATGACCTTATAGGGGTGAAATTTGATTGGGTGGGTTTTGATTCAAAGCTTGTCTGGTTCTTTTTCCGATTCTATCCTCACAACTTAAAATTAGTGCAGCTGAGTGCAATGATTTAAAATTCTGTCTTTGTTTTTCAGCTGCAGAAGGAGAGGTCATGAAAGAATTTTACAATGAAAACGGGAAACACAAAGACACTAAGTACTACTATGGGAAAACCTCTGAGAGTAAGTGAATAAAAAAACGTGGGGATCTGATCATTGTCAATATGGGAACTTGACTGTTTGTTTGTTTGGTTTGTCTTTCACAGTTATTGACAGTATGAAGTCAGTCCTGAAAAAGACCAAAGGGAGCGATATACTGAAAGAAATTGAAGAACCAGCCGTAAAAAGCAATCCTCTCGCAAGAGGTAAGAAGAACGTCGACATCTGCTGCTGATAAATACTTTAGCACACTTCTATTAAGTTTATTTGGTCAAAACTGGTAAAGCTGGCCATAAGATCAATGAAAACAAAGGCCAAAATCACAAGAGGGCGAAGGGAAATCGAATTAAAACAAACAAATTTCTGGAAGCGCGCGAAACCGTAAATGAAAAAGTTGCTATTAGTGGTGATTGGTTGAGAGGGAATGCGGCGCGAGTTTTCTCAACCAGTCCCAGGGTTAAGTACAGTACATGGACAATGCAACTAGGGGTAATATTTTTTTCAATGCCAGAGTGAGAATTGGTCTAATGCAATTGATAAGGAATACAACAATAGCATTAACTGAGTTTGCAATTAAATTTCTCCCTTCGGTCGCACAGGTTTTGGAGACCGTATAGACTGGGTGACGTTCGAAGATGGATTAAAGCAAATTAAACAGAGGTAAATACGTATTCTTGAACTACGTCCATTTTCCTTTCATCTATGTTTACTTTGGGAGAACTTAAGTTCCTTTTTTTTGTAGTGGCAAGTGGATGTTGCTTCTCATTCACAAGACTTGGTGTGGTTCGTGTAAAGGTAATTCATTTCGAGCTAAGCGCATCCACAATCTGATCTCATTTTATCATATCCTTGGAGAGGGAGGATTAATGAAACCTCTTATTTAAATCTTCGCAGCCCTGAAACCAAAACTTGCTGACTCAAAGGAGTTTGCAGAAATGAGCAGGCATTTTGTGATGGTAAATACAGAAGACGAAGAAGAGCCGAAGGGAAGCCAGTTTGTGGTTGATGGCGAGTACATCCCAAGAGTTCTTTTTCTGAGTAAGTGATTTCACTGGTGTTGAAAAGTCCACCTGTTTTTCAGCAGTTTTTAGCTTTTCATGAAAAAGGAAAGGAAGTAACAATTTGATATACATATAATCAGTCAACCACGCCTTTAATGTGCGGGAATATCTTGACACTGCTTGGTTGTAGTTCCAATTTAGCCCCTTAACAGCCCAATTGATTCTGTTCTTCAGAATGTATCTTAATTCTCAATTACCGTGAAGTTTATTGCATGTCCATTCACGTAAAACGCGTGAGCTAGTTTAACCAACCATTCGAAATATCAAAAAATTACAGAAAACCGATTTAACTCCTTCGTTATTCTATAGCGAACACTTAACAGCTAGTAGAAACCTAAATAAAAGCAGATTCTGAGCAAACAAATCATTCCACAACTAATAGTTGGATTCTGGGAAGGCTAGATCATGCTTTAAATTTTTTTCCTTTTCTCTATAATTTACCTTGCAGATCCCGAAGGAAAAGTAGTTGATGATATTTGGAATGAAGGCACTAAACATCCTCACGTCAAATATTACTACAGTGGTCCTCAAGAACGTATGTTTGTTGTTTTAGCCTGAGTCTATTCCTCGTTATGGTTGTAGTTGCTAATCTTTCTGCTGTCACACTCTTAACATAGAGCTACTTCAAGCAAAGGTTTTAGCCTTTTGGAAGCGTTTCACGCTTTATGGGCAGTTATGTTTTAGATTCGAGATTTCTTAAGATGACGCGGGTTAACGCACTTGATCGGCAAATTATAACTAAGAACAAGGAGACAAAAGCAGAGACACCTTTTTTCTCTTCGTTGCAGTAATAAGTGGGATGAAAAGGGCTCTTAAAATGAAGGAAACTGGAGGTTTAGGTAAGAAACAAATTAATTCTTATCATCAAAATGATTTGTGCATAGGATTATATCCAATGCATGAAGTTCATAGCTGTGATAAGGTTTGAACTTGCACAAGCAATGACCATCTCATGCCATTTGATGTTCAGGTAATAATTAGTGAGTTCCCTTGGCTTCAGAGTACTTTAATATATGGAAATATTGCTACATCATATTATCATATCCAAGAAATTTAGTATGACAATATTATTGTACGCATGGCAAGCTTATAAACGATTGGTCAATTTATCATTTTCAACTTTAACTTGGTCTTTTCTTCTTGTATACTCTAGAAAAAAAAGAAGACAAAAAAGGAGAGGACGTAGAAGAGAAAGACCCATGGTGGAAACCTAAAGAAAATTTGTCCAGAGGTACTCATCTCACGCTTTCCTACTTCTATTTTTGTGGTATGGCTTCAAACATTTCTTTAATTAAAGTTATGGCCTAATTGTTTTTCATGTTATCAGGTTTTGGTGATCATATTAAATGGGTGTCGTACGAGAAGGGTTTAAAGGAAGCAAAGGAAAGGTTTGTGGCTTTTTCCACCGTTTTTCATGTCACTGAATCGCTTAATGCCCGAAAGTTTAGTAGAATAGAATGACAATCAGCTTTTGATAGGAAAGGAAAAGGGGAAAACGAAAGAACAATGGCGAAACTTAAGAGTCAGTCTATGGTACAAAACGAACAGAAATAAAAAGAGAGAAAATAAACAAAGAACGACGAAAAAAAACTCAAAATTTACCACAATTGCCATGGAATGCTGTTGAATATGTCAAATTTCTTGTTGAGGCCAGGATGTAGAGTCATGTATCGATCTTCCCAACAAATATATCTTCAGTCTCCAGAAACTTCCCAGCTTGTCTCCCTCGTGTCGTTGCTTAGGGACCGTCGCATGACGCCACAAAAGATGGGGCCGAAGGGGGCTACTTCACCGCGGGTTCTAAGATGATTGACAGTTATTCATCTTTTTGCTTCATAATGATATACTTGTATTTGTATAGGAGTTAACTGAATCAACCTTGTCTTATCTCTGCAGTAATAAGCATATGCTTCTGATTATTCACAAATCCTGGTGCAGCTCATGCAAAGGTATTTTAATGGTTCCTTTCTGTTTTTATCTCCGCAAATAGCTAAAAAATCATACATACTATTATTCAATAAAAGCTACATGTTTTTTGGCTTGTTCATATTTTTCCTTGTAACTCTCCGAGTCCTGTTTGACGTTGATTAGTTTACAGGTTTTATGCAGTATCTCAGCTTATAAACCATAAATTACAAAACGTAAAATGTACAGAAAATTTTTCCCTCACTTTTAATGATGGATTTTAAGATCTTGCGTTAGGCTTTTGTTTTGAAAAAACATAATTATTCCAATCACGAGCGATGAATATGAAATGGTTATAGCCACGTAAATTCGAACGCGTTTGGAAAATTATTTGAAAATATTGTTATTTCAGCCTTGAAACCGAAGCTGGCAAAGCACAGAGAGTTTGGTGAGCTCAGCAAAAAATTCGTGATGGTCAACACCGATGATAACGAGGAACCGCAAGGAGAGCAATTTGATGTTGACGGGAAATATGTGCCGAGGATTTTCTTCTTAGGTAATATCAATGTACTTAATTTAGCTTAAAACATTCAATTACGGAAGTGGGAGAGGCGGTGGCCTAGTGGTTGATGCGCTGAACTCCGAGTCGAGAGCCGGCTGGGTCAGCTTGACTTTTTGACTTGTCAGTCAGTGTATTTTTTTGGGGTGGAACATTTTACTTTCACAGTGGCTTTCCCCACTCAGGAGTATAAATTGGTATCAGCGAATAAGGCTAGCTCGAGAATAGTAATACTCCTAGTCTCTTCATGCTATTAAACCAGCATAATCTCCAGGTGGATGAACGCTTGGCTCGAGTACAAACTTCACTTAATTAAGTTTAAAATATTCGTAAAAGAGCCAAGCGTGCATTTGATAAGAAGGCGATGAGGGAAGAGGAGACTTCGGGTCGGGTGGTAGTTGTCGGTGGAAGTCACAGAACTGGTGTTTGAGAAACTGAAACGTTGTCGATGTTATCTCCTTGCAATCGACAACAGCAATAATGGAGAAGATAATTATGATTGCGTCGAAGGTGAAAAAACACTTCGAATACTAATAAATGCGAGGATCTGAGATTTTTACTTTAACAGGAAACAATTCTTTTAGTTTCTCACATCTAAATACCTGAGATTCGGCCTTTGAAATTTGCGTTTCATCAGATCCTAATGGTAAAGTGAAAAAAGACATATGGAACGAGGGAACCAAACATAAACACGTGAAATACTACTACCAGGATGGAGAAGAATGTAAGTATAACATTTAGTTGAGATTCTTTGTAGGAAAATCTATTTGAGCCAAAATGTTTCTTTATATTCTCAATGATGTAATAAGAATGACCATTTTCATTCTTGCCGTCTTTCAGTATTGATAGCGATGAAAAAAGCTTTGAAAATTGAGGATCAACCAAAGGCAGTATCTGATCACGGTAAGTAAGGCTGAAAAATTGTGGCTGTTACTTCTTTATGAACAGGAACCATATTGCTTATTGAAAGATGGAAGAGTCGCTGCTTGCGGCTTTCGGTTGAGAATCTTAAAAACTTTCGCTATTGAGGAAAAAATTTAAGCAAGTTACATTTGAATATCTATGCAGCCTGATCACTTCCTCCATTTCTTTGCTAAATAACAATACCTGTTACCGTGGCTAAGTGTTCCTTAAGATCCTGACACTCTGCTAAACTGAACGGTTAGAACAGTGCTTTAACCTCGCCACAATGTCCTCCGTTTAACCTTTCGTAAACTAAGGAATAACGAAAATAGTGTGATAAGGTCAACAAACGTATAACGCGTCTATAAAAACCGAGACAAACTAGCTTGTAAAGGCCAAGAATCGACCTTCTTCGGAACAGCATAAACTCATGACTCGTTAGTGGAACGAGACTCCTGTTCCAAGAGAAACTGTTGGCTAGTGCGCAGGATCGCTAGAAAGAAAGAGAAGGCGACAGAATTCACAGTAAAGCAAGTCGTGTTGGCGCAAATAGCTGAGTCCACTACACTCCTCGATACGTCACCATGAAATCATCAACTCCCGTTCAGTGCTGACTCGTTTTGTAATCTTTTGCAGGATGGGGCGAAGACATCACATGGACGTCGATTGAAGAGGGTTTCGAAAAAGCAAAAGAAGAGTAAGTGAAAATGATTTATATTTTATCCCCCTCCGTTTACCCCTGGAAAGTATGTGATACCCCCCCAAAACCTCTAACACCCACCCTCTTCAGCCGTTTAATGAAGACTGATCCCTAAATACAAATCATTTCGTGAAATCTGCAGAAAGAAGCCATTGATGTTGATAATTCACAAATCATGGTGTGGAGCATGCAAAGGTACGAAGCATTTGCGACAAAACAGCAGAACGTCTCGTAATTCTCGTTAAATCCAAGTATTGTTATTCTTTTTCATCACATTAAGCTATATGATCAGTTTCTTTCGCATTCCTTTTTAAAGACGATTTTTATTTTTATTTCAAAGCTTTGAAGAAGAAGTTTGCTAAGTCCAATGAGGTTGCGGAGTTAAGCAAACAGTTTGTTATGGTTAACATTGAAGTAAGTGATTTGAATTAAATCCGCTGTGCATAGGTTGGTTAATACTTTCTACAAACACAACGACGATAACAACAAAAACAACAACAATAATAACAAGAAGAAATATTATTTAAACGAGAAGGATTGGAAAAACGTTTCTCCCATGGAAACGCATGCGGTCATTTTTTACTTTGACAAAAATATTCACCTAATTCGTTTATTTGACATTAGGATGATAGTGGAAAAACGGCCGACACCTTTGACGTGGATGGCGCTTATGCCCCGAGAATGTACTTCCTGGGTAGGTGAAAAAAAAATTCTCGTCTTATTTCTTGGCCTGTGTGAAGGCTCCCCTAAAGGCTTCAGAAATTGTGGTAAAACCTTGGTAAAACAACTGACGCACGCGCTCATGTTTGACTTTCGATGTTTTTCAGATCCTTTCACGCGTGAGATTATGAAGGAATTTCACAACACCGATAAGTCTTTCAAGGACTACAAATATGCTTATGCAGAACCCAAGGAAAGTAAGACATTCTTCTGTTATTTTAATTGATAAAATCCCTCTAAAATGATATCTTTACATGCTCCCCTCTCTTCCGAAACTGACTTATTTTAAAACCCTCATTTCGTGAAACAACTTCTTATTCCACGAATGATCACTTTTCAAGCTAGACACGGCTTACATCTGATAATTTTCAATTAAAAACACCAATCAATTCTTTGCAAGCCAAAACAACTGACTTATTTCTGTGCACACTTATATGACTCAAAGTCATGTCATAACTGCTGATAATCTCTAACTCGAACGTTACCGCATGTGTTGGGCAAGATGCATGTTTCAGAAGCGATGTCCGCAGTTAGAATAAAGAGATTATACACAAGCGTTTATTTTCCATCTTCTTGCTTCCATCTTGTATGAGGAGTACAGGGAAATTTCTAATCTTCTGATCTTTGTTAAGGGGTTTTTGTTTGGAATTGTATGCGACACTGACATTTTCATGCAATTTATGTTCTGTCGTTGCTGATATTTAGTCGCTGACATGATGAAGAAAGTTCTCGGGAGAGAAATGAGTGCAGGAATTGGCCCAGACAGAGGTAATACACGAAATTATTTAACGCCAATTTTAATTTTAATGAGCAATGACACAAATCAGGGCTTTATTTCTCGTCCTTCGCAGCATGATCAGAAAATCGATATCCTTAACTTTCCCTACGACCAAGTTTCTGTTCGTCAAACATTTCTTTGTTACGAGGGAAATTTTGTTTAGTATTTTATACAGTAAATACAATAATATACCTAAACTGCCTAGCAGACAACACATCTACGAAAACACCAATTTGTTTATCATGAAGTTACTCAAGCCATTATTATGCAGCATGGTCTCCAAGATTTCCACACCCTATGTGAAACGCATTCGATATTTTCTGTAATGACGTTGTTCCACCAATATTCCATTAAGTATTGTCTTTTTCTAGGTTTTGGTGCTCATTTAAAGTGGATGAAGCTTGATCATGTTCTAAAAGAAGCTAAAGTATCGTAAGTTCAGTAATCTTACAAATTAGATTTTCATCTTAAACCCAATGTTTTTAACTTAGTTTGAAACCGAGGGACTCTTGGTCGAACAAAGAACAAGATAGGCATCTTATGACATCGTAGATGGAAATTTTTACATTTTTATCCTACGAAAAAAATATCTCCGCTTGAATGGCTAAACTTCTGTTATCGAAAGAAAATTGCTCTGGCGAATCTATTTTTTAAACCTTATATTCTATCAAAACCTTCGGGGGGGAGGGTAGGGGGGATAAAATTACTCCAGAGCCTCGTGGGGGATCAAGTTGATTTTATCGTGATAAAACCACACTCCAACACACTCCAACACCTCCCCCCCTCAGGCACTAAATAATGACTGGTACGTAACAATCTTAATTTATTTACTGCGTCTTTTCTGTTTTCGTATGTTCTTTGCCTGCTTCCATTTTCAGCAAAAAGCCAATCATGATGGTTTTACATAAAAGCTGGTGTCAGATTAGTCAAGGTCAGTTCTGTTTGCGAGAGAAACATTAGGTGTTAAATTTTGTGGAATTCTTTTAAGTTCATTCTTGGATGCCATGCGAATCATTTATCTCACGGCTTACCTCTTCTATGGCATTTATCCATTTTCAGATCTCAAACCAAAAATTGCTGAATCCAAGGAAATCGCTGAGCTAAGCAAAAACTTTTTGTTGGTCAACCTTGAGGTAAAAGTTGTAATTGAATATTATGGAATCAAAAAGATTGATATATATTTTTAAAGGTTTCACTGTATGCATTATTTTATTTTCAAGGGCCATGATGACATGATGCAACAGTGGTGCTATGTAAAGGGCCATTTTCAGGCACTTTTAGCATATACCACATAAATTCCAAAAAAATTAGTCTATTTCTTTCATCATACCGGAAGATGGTCACAAATTAAACCTTGATGATTTTGTCTCAACTCCTGTTCGGAGGTGAATAGTGCTTGTTATTCACTTCCGAACTACCCAATCAGCGCGCGCGAAAAGTTCAATTCACTTGTGTGGTATATTCTATTTACGATACTGAATCATTGAGCATTATTTTCAGGACGACGAAATCCCCAAGGATGGAAAATATGACGGTGATGGATCTTACGTTCCGAGAATTGTATTCTTGGGTAACAAAAATTTCAAGTTTTTTCTGATCTATCCACCATATTTACTATGATTAAGCTGATTAAGCTAAAGTTTCCTTGGAAGTTTCACCATAGAGAGCCATCGGTGATTTTGTAGTCACAGGATGATAGATAAAAAATATGAGACGCACAAACACTGTCGACTGGGTTGTTATGATAGCCATAAAAAAATAACAAGGAAGCGCACTGTCGCTTAGGGTGGGGTTAAAAGGAGGAGGGATGGGAGTCCTGCGCCTGCGCACGTTTCACGCATCACAAAAAGTAGAAATAACGCATCGCAAAAAATCGAATAAGAAACTTAAACGTTCACGTATCGCGAAAAGCCAAAAAAAAAAAAAAAAATTCACAGTTCACAAGGTTTTAATTTCGTATTTACACAGGGTGCGAAAATTAGAAACCCTTAAACCTTCAACACGCAGAAACCCCTTTAGAAGAAAAAGTTGCTTTCGTTTTAGTTTCCTTATATGTATTTCTCTTAGATGCGTATTGTAATGGTGTTGTGATTATTGTTGTTGTTGTTTATGGTGTTTTATCAATCTACATTCCTAAGGCCATTGGGGAGGAAACAGTTTTTGACCTTCATATACGCACCCTTGTGTTGCAAAGTGCTTGTTGGTGTTGTTGTTTATGTTTTTTTGGTGTATTGCCAGAAAGTGTTTGTTCATTTCTCCTTGATCCTTTTGCGTATTTAGTTGAACCCACCATCACAAAACTTACAAAAACCTCAACTAGTCCGAAAAGCAATACGGGCATTGAGTACTACACTTCATTTTGCCAAAAATCCTCCTTTTTCTCAATAACAGTGATGCAACTAAATGTTGAAAACTTGAGTGATGCACTTCATGATAGTGTTTATACGTATATATTTTTAAACTATCATTTGTTTGGTCGACCCTACATTTTCACAGATTCCGATGGAAAATTGAAGAAAGAAATTGATAATGAAGACACTTCTCTTGACAAAACAAAATACTTTTACAAGACAGCTGAGGAAAGTAAGTAAATCACTTCCCTTTTCACTCCAGTTCACGTCAGGCTTGAGGCAGTCTTTTTAAAAACTTGGTCTGTCAATGCATTCTATTTTGAATTAAACATACAGGTAAGCTAAAAATTACGAAGTCGTCACGGTTGGCTTCAAGTAAAATTTTCTGTGCGAGTTGATCTCAATTTTCTTCTATCCATCTGTATTCACTGTGACCATTTTTCTTGTTTTAATCTGTCTGCAGTCATCAAATCTATGAAAAAGCTGATACCAGAAACAGAAGGTTTGGACAGAGGTATGGATACAAATATGATAACAAAATCCAATTTTTTTTCGAGTGGATGAACTTAACAGCATATTCCTCCTTTTACTTGTCGCACTTGTAACAGTTTTATTTGCATTTATTGACAGGCTTTGGTAAACAGATTAACTGGATGCCAATGGAAAAAGGTCTTGAAGAAGCAAAGAAAAGGTAATAGGCAAAATGAAGAAGGGCTGAAGCTTTCGTTTGGATGGATTCACATTGATTTTAGCTTCGCCGAGCTTAAAGTATATATTCACTTCCAATTTAAAACCTCTGAATCCTTTTATGAGTCTTTTGTACATACATCGTGGATAAACCTTGCAATTCATGATTTGATTCTTTTACCAGTGAGAAACCAGTGATGCTTATCATACACAAGTCGTGGTGTGGCGCGTGTAAAGGTAGAACAAGCACTATCTTTTAAATTTCTCTTCTTAATTACTTCTCTTCTTACTAATACTAAGCGATGCCTGAGGAGGGAGCCAACGTTTCGATAGGAATTATGTTACAGAGCGGTGTTTACCTGAAAAGATTGAGCTAAAAATAGATTTTAAGCTTAAAAGCTAGAGTCTGCGTTATAGTGTTTAGAGGTGGGGTTGGCGAAATTAAGACGGCAGGCGGGTTTTCCTAAAATTTATGGGCACACCAGGTTATCATTGATTATTTCTTTTGTACACAAACAGGGGTGATTACATGTCATTAAGGCGCTTTCGCCTAATGCGCCATTGTGTAATAGGTGTACTGGATCTTGATGGCGCATGAGTTATGAACTGATTATGACCCAGTCAAAGCCTTGTTTGTTCTCTTATCTCTTACCCTCTTCAGGAATAATCATTTTAATGCTTTTATTTCAGCTTTGAAACCATTTATAGCAGAATCTAAACTAATTGCTGAACTCAGCGAGAAATTCGTCATGATCAACGTGGAGGTAAGGCATTCATTTGTTGACTATGAACACAAATTTTGTTGGTATGTCGAGTTCCTTTTGAGAACCAAAGAACATAGGAACTTAAGGAAATTAAAATGTTTGATTTTATCCCACAGTGTCCACTGCTTTGAATACGACCATCTTTTTCTTTTGCACTTTTTGTAGGACGACGAAGAACCCAAGGATGACCAGTTTGATGTGGATGGCAAATACTTCCCTCGAATCTTTTTCCTGAGTAAGTCCTTCCGAGAGGGTACTAATTACTTTGTTTACATGACAAGGTATATAAAACGCTTTTAAGTAAGTGTCGTTAAACCAAAACTAAAGTTATCGCAACGGCCAATGAAAAGAAAGGAAATACCTTTAGGAACCAATGAGAACTCAAAACCACCTCAAGCGCGGAAAAACGCGGGCGCCCAAGTCGTGTTTATTTTCAGTTTTGCATCTGATTGGCTGAAAATGTGGCACGAGTTTTCTGAACCAGTCACATAGTAAAGTAAAGCAAAACGAAAGCAGTCCCGGATTACTTTTGGCGCTCAATTGAAAATTGCCCTTAGTGCAATGATGAAAATATGAGATTCATTAGAGAAGGCTTCATATTCTAAAGTCGTTGTATATGTTTGTTTACACAGATAACGAGGGTAAAGTCCAAAGAGATCTTCACAATATGGACCTCGAGTTCATAAAGTTCAAGTATTTTTACAACGATGACGAGGAATGTAAGTATCGGTCACAATATAATCATCGTGTGCTATACGATTTAGGGCGTCATTTTTCAAATGAATTCTGATGTCAGTCGTTGCAGTTTAAAGCATATACGTGCAAAATTTTCTTCAGCTTGTAGATAACAGCAAAAATTTATTCGGCAAGATGACAAAAAAAACAAAACAATAACAAAAACAAAAACACACACAAAAAAAGGGATTGGCTAAGGATATGGAAGATTCATTATTCATTCGGATTGCTGATCACGAACTTGGATTGAATTAAAGGAAAATTTTTCATAATCCATACATTTCTACGAAGATCCATTGAGACAATTTGTGTTCAGATCCAAAGCATAGTATTTTTTGTTTCTAATATAGATAAAAAGCACACGTTTGATATTAACAAACATTTTGACTGACTATTCAATTTTCTTCTGAAGTGGTAAATACAATGAAAACCGCTTTAAAGAAACTTATCAAGCCGCCGCCTTCGTTGGATAGAGGTGAGATAATGCTCTTTCTGTTCTCCATAATAAATCTTTCTTTCATCCTTTCCAATATCTTCACCGTTGGTGCCTTTACTTATAGCAAGTTTTTAGCAAAGTTATTTCTGTTTGCAATGATTGTCTAGGAGAAACCGGAATAAATTCAAAATATCTTCATGAAATCTATCAAAAAAGCACCATGATGGGATCAAAACTATTCTTGATCATAAGGGTTCGGTCATTATTTGTCGCGCGGGGGGGGGGGAGGGTAAGAAGATTTTAGTTGTGTCAGGATAAAATCTGATCCCCTCGTTAAGCTCTGTATTTAATATTGTTACGATCCCTCCGTTGACAGTTAATTGGCATTAGTAAATTTTCTACAGTCTCCTTCCCCCTTTTACTCTGTTGGTGAGGACTGATTCTCCGTCCGTTCCTTGCTGAAAGTTGTTTGATCCCCTTAAAATCCTCCGATCCTTCCCCCATCCCACCCCTGCTGGTGTTAAATTGCTATTTGTCTCTAAGTAATGATATTCTGCCATGATGTAGGTTGACTCTCGCTCTTCAGAGAATGTTGACTATGGCTGCAAAATTCTTAATGTAATATGATTAATTGGTGATTTTATTCTCAGGTTTAGGAAAAGAAATTAATTGGATGAAGTTAGAAGATGCCTATGTTGAAGCAAAAAAGAGGTGAATAACTTTGTAACAGTTTTGTTAGTTTTACTACGAAATCATTCAGTCTTCACACCGATTCCTCAAGGGAAAAAAATAGAAATAATGCATGATAAAGCGTGTTCGATTTATAATTTGCCTGCTGCGTTTAAAAGTGCAATCGTTTTTTTTTCAGAATTATCTCTAGGCTCGAAATCGACAAATCAGGGGTGATTTAAATTTAGCTTAGGAGGAAATTCGTAAGAAATAAGGGCTTAGTGAGTAATACAATCTCATCTCTTTTTCACTGTTAATGATGATCAAAATATGTTTTTTTTTCTTTAAAAGCTGGAAGCCAATTCTGATCTTTATTCATAAAAGCTGGTGCAGTGCCTGTCAGGGTATGTGATGGAGACTTATATGTACTTAATTCATTAAAAAAAATCAACTCATTCAGTTTGCCAATCTTGGCCATGTTTCAGGTTTGTAACAACATTATGACGATTGAATAGCAGAAATTTGTACTTGCCTATCAAACAAACATATTTTATGCAGCTGCCTCACATTAAAATTCTGTTGGAAGCATAAATTCACCGTTTATTGAATGCCAAAACTGGTTGAATTTTACTTACTCTTTGAATTCTCATATCGATCGTTTTTCAGCTTTTAAACCAAAATTTGCTGCATCCCAGAAGATAAAAGACCTGAGCTCAGAACTTGTCATGGTCAACGTAGAGGTAAATCAACATAAGTTTCCTATTTCAAAGAGCTTCTACCTCTAGCTTTGAGTAATTCCCGGCGTCATCGGAAATTGCCATGAAAATTGAACACCGAGGACATAAAATCATTTCTGTATTGACATTTAATTGTAATTCCTCTTTTTGTAGTTTGGAGCAATCTCAAGTTGAGTGTCGCGGTAACCACTGAGGAATTCAATGTTGTTTTTATCTATTTTTTCAGGACGAATTTGATAACAACCAAAAGAAGTTTGATATTGACGGAGCATACTTTCCAAGGGTCTTATTCATGGGTTTGTACTATATTTTATTCCGCTTCAAAGAATATAAGAAAAAATTTCTTTGATATTATTTTTTTTTTACTTTTTTACCCTGCAGTCTTCTCCCTAACCCTTTTCTTACCATAACTAGATTATGAGAGAACCTCGGTGAAAGCCGCATTTAAATTTTCATCTCAGAGACATTCTAAAAACATGAATTCTGAGCTGTATTTAGTGTAATTCACTTTCTCGGTTGAAGATCATTGTTAGGTAAGTATTAATTTTATCTAAAAATACATTGAATCACTTTCACTCTCAGAAAGTAATGATATGAACTGCGAAGCTACCCTTAGTGGTTTAATTTTCAATTGGCTATTGCCTTTATGCGCGATCTTATTAAATTACTTCACCAAAGCCTATGATTTGCTAATCAAAATGCAAAACTAAACTAATACCTACCTAGTCACTCGCGCTTTCCCGCGCTTCCAACATTTGCTCGTTTTTAGGTTTATGAGATTTTTTTCTGCCATGATTGACTTTTGATTTGGTTTAACAACACTCGGTCAAAATAAGCTGTAATGTCTCTGATACATTATTTTGCAAACTGGCCTCTAAAACAGCCAAGCTGATCAGCCAAAGGCCGTTGGCCTGGCGGAAAAGCACATTCTTTAGTCTAATTCACAATCTTATGGATCTCTGAGGGGGGGTATTACTGAACGAAAGGTTAATTAACACTGTATTTAAATTTGATTAGATCCTTTGGGTAATGTTATGGAGAAAATAGTCAACGCTGGTACTATATACAAAGAAAGCAAATATTATTACTGGGAACCACATTCAGGTAAAGATGTTATTATTTAAAAATGAAGGGGAATAACCAAAGAATAACTGTGGTGCTATGTCGTCGGTGGGGGGAGAGGGGAGGGGAGGGGTAGCAAGATAATTTGGTTTTATCAACTGATTTGATGACGTAAATTGGCCACCGTGAAGAGTTTTAAGCTCACGTTTCGGGCGTTAGCCCTTTGTCAGAGCGAATAGAAAAATTGTGGGTTGTGTGTGTTTTATATGCAGAAAATGGAGCTGCAACTTTGGTGGGAACATGGTAACTTAAAAATAAGTTGAGTCGATACCGAAAAATTTGATAATTTCTAGAGGCTGCGTATTGTATGTCATTTCTTCGAAAACTGGCGCGCACAAACCTTTTTTTTTACGATTTTGGCTGTAAATTACATGTATATAAAACCTTTTTTACGGTAAAAACGCGAAGCAGTCGTCAGGAAGTTTATGAAGAATACAAATTAAAACTCACATGATTTCATTCAAAGATGTGTTAATTTTAAGAATTGTTGTTTGAAACGCCAACAAATCAAACTTCAAGATATGTTTCAAGAAAAAGGACATTAATCATTAAAATGAATGAGTTAGAAAACTAATTTTCTCTGTTCATATTTGATTTTCAGTCGTTAGATCCATGGAAAAAGCTGTAGACAAAGTCAAAACCATGACAAGACCTAAAGATGAATTATGAGGAGAAAGTACTTCGTATAGATAACTCGAATAACATTTCCTAGGTCTTTTAGACGTTTGCTAAACTCTAAAGTGATTTTTGCAGCTTAATCCAGTTTTCGTAAATAAATTAAAGTTGAAATAAAATTGTTGTCTTATATTGGTTATTGCGATTTTTCTTCCGAACCAGCAAATGTAAGAGCTTGCCTTGTATTGTACAGTGTGTACTTTCTTTCGCTTTGGGCAAGCTACAAACCACAAGGAAAAGCCGGGAATAAAGTCTGGAAATCTGGGAACGAGATATCGACGATATTTATACAAAATTAATATCGTGTTTGGCAGATGTTTTCCGTTGCCAAGTAGCGTAAAATCTAGCACCAATTCTTGAAAAAGGTTCAATCCAAAATTTAATTTATTTTTGAAATTCGACGGACTCATAGAGTGTTTTGATTTGATTGAACATCAGCTATTGTATGTAGTGATATTATTTTTTTTAATCTGAAATTGCGACATAAATAATAATTTAAATGAAGAGTTAGATCTTTCGTATTGCATAATTTCTTCTCTAACGCATAATTGTCAAAGACAATGTGGTTTTGAAAAACAACCTTACGAGAGGAGTATCTCTATCGTTCTGTACTTTGCACATTTTCTTTCCCATTATAGTTTTTACGTTTGGAAAAGAGAAGTAAGCTTAGTTTCCTTCTATTGTCAAGATATTATCCACAGCTCTGTAAGATGAATATTCAAGTTCGCCTAAAGCAGACGAATGCTATTCGTATATTCAGCGCATCTTGGCAACACAAGCCCCTTACTCGAGTTAAGTACAGGCCTTATCCTGCGTATAATTATCACTAATATGCAGTCTGAAGAAGGGGATTCAAATATGATTTTATTTCGACGTACGACCAGGATGAAACTAAAAATCGCCGTGGCAGTTTTGGTGTCTGCTCTCGTTTTCGTGTTTGTTTTGTATTACATCAACACAGGACGTAATCCGATGGTGGAAATAAAGGGTCGAGTTGGCTCGCTCCTGGCGAAATATTCCAACAACGAACGAGAGGATGGAAGCCATGAATATTTGACACGAATGGCAGAGACTCACTCCACGCCGAATCCGTTATCCGCTGCAAAACAGTCTTTTAAGACAGATTCTGTGGACGGGATGGATGTCTCAGGCGATAAAAATCGTCTCTCATCTAGCGAGGGAAATGACGCAATGAAGGGAAAACCCTCAGACCACGAACTTGGACACATCCAATTATTCAACAGTAAACCAGATCCTCGAAGAAAGAATGCGTTAGTTGCGAGTGATATCGTCGATTACCGGGAGGGCATCTTACCAAATGCGAGGAAAACATTTTATAGGGAAGTGCGGCCGAAAAACCAGGATAATGAAAAATTCACTGTATTCTTCCTGCACGGTATGGGGCTGACCTCGACAGTTTGGATCAATATTGGAACATTTCAAATCCTAGCAGAATTAGGATATAGAGCTTTAGCTGTGGATTTACCAGGACACGGGAATTCTGACAATGAAAATATTCCATATTCACGGGATGATATTTTGGGCTATATGACAAATTTATTCACTGCGTTGGATCTCCATCAACCTGTCTTAGTTGCGCCTTCGAAAAGCGGAGAGTACGCCATGCCTTTACTGATGGCGTACCCTAACATCCTCCGGGGACTCGTTGCCATGGCTCCCTCCAGCACCTCGCAATACTTTCTCAAGGACTATGAGAAACTCTTGGTCCCAATGCTGATTTTGTTTGGGGAGAAAGATCCAACAATGCTTAGCACTTCTTCTCTAGACAGCTTGTGGCATGTTCCCAATCGCAAGGTTTATATGATCAGGAATGCGACGCATGCGTGTTATGTAGATCATCCTCCAACCTTTCATAAACTACTCCTCGAGTTTTTGGGCAGATTGGATAAAGGAGTTCTTCATCCTTGAGGAAATTAACGAAATGGTTAAACTTACATTGACGCTCTAAATAAGAAAAACGGCCTAGGAGTCTTGATGCAGTTTTAATGGAGAACTTTTAATCTTGGGCTGCCACATCGGAAACAGAACACGCGCTCTATTCCTCACCCTCCTCCCCAGCGAACAAACAAACAAACAAACAAACAAAAACAAAATGAATTAACACCTGTTGCTTCATTTTCAAAGCTTTCCTCTTTTAAATGAGCCAAAAAACAACCATAATTTTCTTCCCTCTTAACCTTGGAAATACAAAACATTCAGCTTCATGCGAACGCCCTTTGCATCTTCCGCCCGAGTTATTATCACGCATGCTTTGCGAAAATTACGATAACGAACTCAAGTTTTGATCGTGAAAACAATCATCATTTGTGATTCGCTAATGGAAGTTTGTGTATCAAGCACTTTAGGAGTGGTAAGTCAGATATCTGGTGTCGGCCATAGAAACACACTATGACAGTCGGATTCTCTACCTTCAACCTTTTTTTTATTAATTCTAATCAATAATAATCCCATAACAGAATTCTTGACCGAGATCTAGAACTCACAATCGTTGTGAAATTGTCTTTAGAAATATCTAATGTCAATCTTCCAATATAGCTCAGCGAATTTCACTCAAGGAAATCCAAGCCGCCGAAATAATTAGAATTAGGAGTCAAGTTTTATTAGTGGATCAAAAAGTCTCAAGAATTGCTCTTAAATCGGAGATTAAGGTTTATTTTGTAAAACTTGAACATCCAAACCACTAGATGAAATACGTGATTGTTTCGGACGCTGCAGCAAATGTCAGACCTCGAAAATTCAGACTCCCGATGCCTGGATGTCTCGAAATGTCAGACCTTGGAAAAACTCTGATCCCTTTATGTCACGAAAGGTCAGAGATAGCGTTTCTTTGGTCATGTCTACTTGAACTAATCATGACTGTATTCAGAAAAAAATTTACCCCTGACGTTCATTCCGAATTGCGATCAAAAAGCTTTGCTTTTAACAGATTTTGGGATAAATGATAGCCGTAGCTTTTATCCAAATTCGAAGAGACCGATATCAGTACAAAAATGGTAGCCTTTTATTATGGTAGAAAACTCAAGTCAAACGTTGTTTAACTTCTTGCCGATCGAACGGTTGAAAGATCACACTAAACTTAATTTAGATCCTTTGCTATATAAAATATTGAAGGAGGAAACTTAGCTTTGAATTGGAGGAATGTCACTTTGAAAGGGCGTAACTACAGTTGTGTTGTTATCATAACACCCCATACGGGATTGATATTGGCCAAGAGTGTAGTTTATTTGCACATACCTTACTGACCAATGAAGCAAAAGATCAGCTTCTAAACTTCCTTTGACATCATAAAATGGGTAAGTGTTTAAACCTTTTACTTGAATAATTATTAGAATTGATTTTGCCGCAGGGGCCTGACCTTTTATATTTGAAGATGTGGTTTCGACGTGAAGTTTAAAATACTCATTGCATAAGAAAAATTGCAATTTAACTTTCTATCATTCATTTTATCCAGATTATTCATTTTAGATGTGTGACCGAGCTCTATTTTATAAGTTTTGGGCTGAAAGTAGCTGGGTAGACGAGTTTGGTTTTGAGTGCACGAAATACGTTTTAGCCTAAAATATATATATATAAAAAAAAAAAAAAGATTTCAGATCTACAAAAGGCGCTTACAATGATAAACATTTGTAATCCTACATATCTGGCGCCTCGCGAACCGATGGGTGGAAACTTTCTTTTGATTTGATTTCAGTCCTTTCTTATGTAAAATGTTGAATGAAGAAACCTAATTCCTAGAATTCAAACCCCCTTTTTTTCTTGTATTTTCCCTTGGATTGCTGGAAAGATATGTAAGATATTTAGGGACGAGCATGTTTCGACGACGGTAGAGTAGTTTGGGACCAAGCAAACATTTTCGATCAGGTCAAGAGAAAATAATGACGCCATCATTTTCTCTTGATCAGTTGATATAGAAAGTAGGACACTTAAAAGAGAACAAAAAAAAAAAAAACGAGTACGTTGTGCTATATCAAAATTTGTGAATATTTCAATAACAAGACAGCATTCAGACAATTATTTCAGAAAGGCAACGGAGGAAACCATATTTTTCCTTTTAATATCAAAATGATGTTACACCTTGAGAGATAAAGCTTTGGTGAGTTTATCTCAGCTTTCATGAAATGATGGAAGATGGTAATCGTCGTATTGTTGCGACGACTTTTCATCCTTAACAGCCTTTTACTGAAGATTGCACCCAGTTTGGCAACACCAACAGTGGTATGGTGGTTTGTCGCAGCAATGGGGTAACGCTCTCGGGTCATGGAAAGAATTCATTATCATACGCGACCACGAAGGATTCGACACATGCCGGGGGAGCGAAACATCTCTATGATCCTGATGACGGGCGAGGCCTTTCATGAAACGTGACCAAGGCAAGTCCATGGTATGCCTCAGCCTTTTGTTGACTGCAGGTGTAGTCTTAAAAACGCCAGAAAGAACAAACAGTGACAAGATCAAAGTGGCCTTCATCTAGGAGAGAACAGAAAACCCTTGGTCAGAACTCTGAAATTAACTGCTAACTACCATTATTGGCAACTGCTGAATGAGACTGACACTGGTTGATGGACTTCGTGTACGATTTACATGGCATTAATATAACCTTTAATTCGGAAAAGAATTTCTGCCTATAAATCGGACAGCTATATTCTGAAATATTCTTTAACGTTTCTCATACACTCCACTTTTTTCCTCACTCTTTGAAAGGCTACTCAATTAAATTGTGAAAACACAACCCCTCCACTATTGTTAGGATTCTTCGCCGAATAGTTCCTGAACAGTCGTGATAGATTTTGCATTCGCTCCTCAGATTTATCAGTAGAGCTGAGGACGATTTTAACATCTGATAACGGAACCCACTTCTTAGCTTCAAATATCAGTTGCCTTGAGCTACTCACTGTTCAGCAGAGGGTCTACTCGCTACACTTTCGATCCCTTCCTCGAAGTAGGAATTTTGACCTGTAAGTTATCGCCTTAGCAGTTTACAATTAAAACTTAGCGTAATTAAAATGTATTATGATTATAGCATCGTTATCTATTATTACAAATTTTTCATAACATAAATTGTGTTAAAGATACCCTCGGTTCGTCTTCGTACATTTAAAATTTCCCTCACTCATCCTGTAAATTAAATCAGTATTCAAATCACGAACATCTGTTTGTATGTTTACTTGCTACATACTAAGATAAACACCTGATCACATCGGTTGTGAAAAGGTCTATAAACTGAACATGCGATATTCGAAAAAACTTCAGCAACGACAAAGCTGATATATTTCTTTCTTATTATTTTCTATTAAATTAAATAGCTTTGTAAATTATGCCTCGGATTCCTAAAATCTCTATGCCTTCGAAATGTGATTTTTTACGTACTTCGCATTCAAATATGCAACATTCAAGGTGCCTTTAAGGGTTTTTTGATTTTGTGTAGATTATTTTTTAGCTTCTATAGTGATTTAAATTTCAAAATCTATTTTTCTTCAAGATCCACAACTATGTTTTGAGGAAATTTTTTAGAACTCGTTTATGTAAAGTGAAGTAAAAAAATTGACAAAGATTGCAAATGAATAAATGGAAAGTGAAAATCTAGGTTTCATTTTTCCTACAGCAAAACGACCATCTTCCCCTTGGATTTGTCTGAATGTGTCATTATTCACACAAACTGCATGCCCTTCTATTTCGCAAGCTGTTAATCTTAGCTGGACAGTTGCGTTCGAGCTTGGATCCACATCTCTGATTATAATCTGGAGGAATGATTTAAACACCAAAAGATGGCAAATAATTTTAGCCTTCTTTGGATTAAAAGGCAAAGTGGTATTTGTTCGATAGCTCGCAAAATCAAATGTCTTAATTTCTCTCATTCTGATTAAGGTTATTTTTCTAAAATACTGTTGGCTATCACAATTGGGATAAAATAAAAGTAAAGGCTAACTTTAAAATATTGAATCAAAGTCCAAAAAGTCGACACATAACCGATAACTACAATAGAGGAATCACTGGAGTCAAACTGATCAAATGATATTTTCCCCCAACACTATAGTTCGTAAACAAACCTTTAAGTCAAGCTCTGGTGTGAATTACAGTGGCACTCCGGCCTACAAGATGATGACTTTTAGCACATCAAGTCTTGAACCATTTTGAACCAATCAGATGCAAATGCAATGAGAATTTACAGTGAACAAGGGTAATATTTGCGTGACCGGAAACCACACTGATTCAATATGTACATAGAGCAACAGGAGATCAAATACATCATGCAAACTCCGCCAACTCTTCCGATTATTTCTTTGACAAAATTTCCTAGAAGTAGGCCCACCATTTTACAGGACAGACCCAAGAGACTATAAACTGTTTATAATTTCTTGTTTTTAAGAATATAGACTATGTCTAAGAGTCAAATGGCTGATGTCAAACTTCCAATATAGCTCAGCGAATTTCATTCATGGAAATCCAAGCCACCGAAATAATTAGAATTAAGAGTCAAGTTTAATCAGTGGATCAAAAAGCCTCAAGTATTACTCTAAAATCTGAAATAAAAGTTCATATTGTAAAACTCACACATCCCAACAACGAGATGAAGTACATCATTGTTTCGGAGGTTGCAACAAATGGTGTATCTAGACTAGAAACATGCAGTCAGTCTCATTTCAAATGACAGTACATTTAAAAAGATGCTCATTTCAGTGAGGTTCACAATGCCTCCAATGGGAAAGGAATCGTCATCATATTACAAGAAACTTGCATGATAATTGAACAAACACCGATTGATAACCATCGTCATCTCTTGGTTCAATATCTTTAAACAGTCAAACTTTTATGACAAACTTAAGAGAAACATCAGTTGCATTTTTAAAACCAGTTCTTGTTGTTGTGAATAAATTTATTTTTATACTCCACACACAATCAGACCTCAAACACCAAATTTACCGCAAGGGTGTGACGAAAACTCAGACCTCGAAAACTCAGACTCCCGATGCCTGGATGTATCGAAACGTTAGACCCTCGAAAAACTCTGATCCCTTGATGTCACGAAGGGTCAGAGGTGGATTTCTTTGGTCATGTCTACTTAAATTAATCATGACTATATTAATCAAGTATTGTACCCCCGTTTTTCATTCTGAATTGCGCGGAAAAGCTTTAATTCTTACAGATTTTGGCATAAATTGTAGCAGGAGCTTTTATCCGAATTCGAAGAGACCAATATCAGTACAAAAATGGGAACCTTTCACCATGGTAGAAAACTAAAGTCAAACGTTGTTCAACTTCTTGACGATCGGGCGGTTGAAAGATCACACGAAAACTTACTTTACATCCTTTGCTACACAAACTTTGAAGGAAGAACTTTGAATCGGAGGAATATAGCCTTGGAAGGGTGTAACTACAATTATGTTGTTATCATGACACGCCATAGAGTATTAATATTCGCCAACAGTGTGGTTAATTTGCATTTATCTCACTGACCAATCAAACAAAAGATCGACATATAAACTTCCCTTGTCATTGTAATATAAGTAAGTTTTTAAACCTATTACTTGAATAATTATTTGAATAAGTTTTGCCGCAGGGGCCTGGCCTTTTATACTTGAAGATGTGGTTTTGACATTAAGTTTAAAATATTAATTGCATAAGAAAAATTGCAATTTAACTCTCTGTCCTTCATTTTATCCAGATTATTTATTTGTGACCGAGCTCTGTTTTAAGTTATTGCTCTGAAATTAGCTGGGTTTAATTTTGGATGCACGAAAATAAGTTTTAGCTTGAAAAAAATATTTTCTAAACTACAAAAGGCCTTAAGAATGATGAACATTTGCAATCCTACATATCTGATGCCAAAGGGTGGAAACTTTCTTTTGATTCGATTTCAATCATTTCTTGTGTTAATATCGAATTAAGATATTTAGATCAGGTCAAGAAAGAATAATGGTCTCATAGATCCACATTTATTTCATTAGTTCAGAACTCGGATAAATGAACTGCTCGAAACCTTATATTTTATGCAGCTTTCTGTTAAGTCCTTTCTGCCAATTAACTGGGTGAAACTTTTACTCTACGACTTACCTTCAAACCTTTGCTATCCAAAATGTTGAGGGTAGAGATTTTGATATGGACACGGCTACTGTAATAACATTTTACTATTTAACTGGGCGTTGTTCACTACGTCGTTAGACGTTTTAGTAGTTTCCAGGCATCAGTAATTTAAGGTGAGCAATTCTTTTTCATGACTAATTTACGTGATTTACATGCAATCATGGTGAGTTATAGCTAAACCTAATCGGAAGCTGTCTCCCCTTGTTCAACTTGTCGACGTGGATGGCAATGTTAAGATAAAGGAGGAGAAAACATACTCCCCCGAACTGACGACTTGTAGGTTTGAAGTAGATAATCAGCTTATGTAAAAGAAAACCTTAAAGTTTATTTTGTCCGTCCCCTCTCGCCTTTTTCTCATTTTCCTGCATGACTTCACAGTTTAAACATCTTCCCTTCTTGGATTAATGGACAAATCAAAGCCTAAGACAATGTTGGGAAGACAACCAGTCAGGTTAGAGGGTTCACGTCTTTTGATACTGAGCCAGTTCAATAAGGCGAAGAGACTGACGCGCAGAGGCATTGAGCTTGTTCCAAAAATAGGATACCTCTGATTCCACATCTGTGGGCTACGGGCTCTAGGAATCTGGTCTTTAGGGAAATCGCTCTTGGATGCGGTTTTCATAAAAATATTTAGACAGTTTGCAAATTGACTTCGCTGCAGGCGTGATAAAAAATTCACCTGTAAGGAGTGTTACGTAATTCAGAAGGCCTATATTTTTCAGGGGGTGAGGAAGGGGGGGGGGGAGGGGAGGTGGTTTCTTTATTATTTCATCTTCTCCCTGAAGAGCTTCAAATCGATGATAAAAGTTGGTGCTTTCTCGCTTATTTGTCCAAGTTCACCTCCACTGAGAAAGCAGGAATAGGAAGGCCAGAATCTCAAAGAAAAGGAAAAGACAATAAAAGACAAACAGTTATAGATGGTTCAGTTGATACCGGATACTTACTCGGCACCTACCGCCGTTTGGCACAAAAATTAAAGAATGCGGGCAGGGAGCATTCCAAAGAAACATCTGGCTTTCTTTCTTTCTTTTCTTTTTCTTTTAGAGACTCTTAAGGGAGTGGTGTTTACAAAACATGGTCACTACTCAGTTTTACCTGTTGATACCTGATTGACAACACGTGGAGAAAAGCTTATGGCAATCTTCGCCAGCGCCGAATACGCTAAGCTGACAGATTCCTTTCTTAAGATTGGCAGAAAAATGTAACATCTGTTTGTGCAGGTATGCGGCAACTCAATACCCGATGCAGTTCACTTATTAGACCATATTATATATAGAACGAGGTCTCTTCAAAATCGAATGGACCGATCATGTTATGTAATCAATTCTTAAAGTGCTATGCTCTATTTTCACCAGTTAAACTCTCGTGAAAAGTCCACTACGACAGACAAGCTTCTCTTCAGACATGACAATTTTTTGTTGTAGGTAGGTCCAATTTGAATGACAGTAAGGTTTATTAGCAGGCGTTGATTGTTATTCTTTGTTTTCCTGGAGAATAGCGAACCTCGTCGGAATGCAGAACCATACAGTTGTGCCACCAGCAGGAGTAACAGTTTATTTGTTTTCAGTGCTGTAACCTTGACTCAAGCGGAATCTATCTACATTTCTCTTAGCATTCCATCTATCGAGCTAATTCCTGTAAGCCATCGATCTTTGGCCTTAGAACCATGTTGGGTTAAGCCGGTTTTACAAATGTAAAAAATGACTGCTATATTTCCTTCTCCTCAGTGTAATCTTCACTAGCGTCTTGACTGTTCTCGTTTTATTTCTTCCCAACTGAAGATCTTGCTTTAAACTGGCCTGTTTGAATTGAACTGACAAAAAATAAAATGAAGAGAAGGATAAATAAAAAAAACAAAAAAGAACCTGTTTTGAAGCTGTTATGACATGAGAAGGCTGCATTTCCCAGGCGCTTTAGTGCATGTAAATCTCAAGATACCTGCGGCGACACGTTCGTCCTCTCTTATCCTAAATGTCCCTGACCGCATTTTTGGAAAGCCCATGCATGATTACATATGCCTTGTTCCCTTTTCAAACAAGCCGCC